GAGTTTAACACTCATTTAACGTTCTAGATTATTTTGCAATATTTTTGTTATACTTTATTTTTTTTTATCTTATTATATAATTTTTTTTTTTTTTTTTATAAAATTACATTATATATTTTTTTCAAGAACAGAAAAAGTACTCAAAGTTAACACTATTCTGAGAATTATATATATACATATGTACGCGTGTATATTATATGTACACTTAATGCATGTATTCTTATATATATATATATATATATATATATATGTACATTTTTTTTAGCTATATAACCCTAGTTTAACTATTTTATCACCTTATACATATATTCAAAATGGCAAGAATTAACAAAAGTTTTGTATTGTTACTTATTTTAACAATTTTGAAAATATGCTACTCCCAAGATGTTATCGAATTAAATGATTCAAACTTTGAAAGTTTGACACAGATATCAACAGGGAATACGACAGGTTACATCACGATTTTTACATCTTTATATAACATTTGTTTATATTTTTTTTTTTGTTTCTTTTAAAGACCCTGAGGAATTAGAGGAGAAAATGATTGTTTTTGTTGTACTTTTGTTTTTAGCATGATTGCTCATATATATTTTTATTGCTGCACGACTTAATCATTTTGTGTTACATAATCTGTTCAACTATTCATAACATTCTTGTTTTCTGTGAATACGAGAATTTGAAAGTTGAAAATGAATATAACTTGTGTTTTTTATTTGTTTATTTGTTTACTTTTATTTGTTTATTTGTTTACTTTTATTTGTTTATTTTTATTTTATTTTTTCATCATGTATTTACGTCTTCCGCTTTTAAACGTCGTTCCTCGCGTGTGTGCATATTCCCAAACACTTTTTGTTTTTCAACCACTCACTATAATCACCACTTCCATTCCCCATAAACAGGATCATGGTTCATCAAATTTTACGCCCCTTGGTGTTCACATTGTAAAGCCATGACAAAGACATGGAATCAGCTAGCGGCCGAATTAAAAGGAACAGTGAATGTTGCAAAAATAGATGTCACCACAAATTCAAAAACGAGAAAGAGGTTTAAAATAGAAGGTTTTCCAACAATCATATATTTTAAAAATGGAAAAATGTATGATTATAAAAATCATGATAGATCATTAGAAGCATTCAAAATCTTTGTTCAAGAAACATATAAAAATGTAAAATCATCTGATCCGCCCAAACCACTTAGTTATGTGGATGTTATCAAAGATATGGCAAATGAAACATTTTCTAATATTGACAGAATATACAAGTATGCTTTTCCATCTCTAGTCGTTATTATCGTTTTGTCATTTTTATTTGGATTCATTACGGCTCTTGTTTTAAAAAATTGTTGCTCCTGCATCAAAGCTTCAAAAAGCGAAACTTCCAAAAAAAAAGATTAAATCGAGAGATAAAGATTAATGATATCCATAATTAGCGTATAAGCACTCATAAAAAATGAAAAAAAAAAAAAAAAATCAAATTCACACTGGAGTGTATATATATATATATATATATATATACATATATGTAACCATTTTTAACACACGCATATGTTCCTTCACACATGTGCACTGAGAAGAAGATAAAATATGTCTTCAGCTTGCCCTCATAAGTGTTTAGGGATATTGAAGGTGCAAATATATATTGCGTAAAAAGAACTATAAATCTTTGTTTTTTGTTATCGCATGTGCATAAAAAAATTGTCCAAACATGTATATGTACATGTTAATGTTTTTTTTTTTTTTTTTTCTTTTTTTTTCTTTTCACACGCGACACCTTAACATATATAATGATTATACATTTCATTGGTTTATTACCACTCGTCAAGCTTATATTTAAGCTCGTATAATTCTAACACATCTGACACCACCACGGCCATCTCATTTAATGCCCTTCTTCCTTTGCCTATAAGTAGATGGCACTCCACAAATTTTTATAAAAATAATAAAAATAAAAAAAAATTTCATCATCTTTTTAATGTGTATAACAGAATCTTTTTAAATAATTTTTATTTAATCATTATGTATAATTTATAATCCTTTTTTTTTTCCCTTTATGCATAGAGTAAAAATATTTAACATTTAAAGATATCTTAATGTTTACATATATATATTGGTTAATATATGTACATATGAATATCATAAAAACATCCTTAACATTTTTGCAATTTTTTTTTTTTTTTTTTATTTTAAAATTACCAATATTCCCATATATCAGTAAACGTTTTTCTTCATTTTTGATCCGATTTGTGTATTATTAGAAAATTAAATGAAATAGATGATTACAAGAAAAGACTTAAAGAATAAAAATTGTTAAATGACAAAATTGCTTAACAGCAAAATGATGGAATGCAAAAATTTAGTGGGTATAAATCCGCTGCAGTTCCAAGCTGCTAGCAGCATGTACTAAAAGTAGACAAGGTGCCACTAAAAATATTTTAGAAGATTTTTGCTTTCTTTACAAAAAAAGATAAGTAACATATGTGTGCATGTATGTATGTAGCATATTCATACACACGCATGTACACGAACAAATGCACCTAATCCCTCATACGTGTGCAAGTACATAAATACACATGTGTACATATTTTTAAATGAAAATTTATACTTCGCGATTTCTTCAAAAAAGGGTTAAAATATTTTGCAGGAAAGCTGTTTCATATGTTTCGAAAAAAGGTTAAAAACGAGAGAAAAATGCAAATACAACACAGCATGAAAACATTATATAAGACCTCATACATAAGCGTCCTCTTGAACATATGTAGGACGTATATGTAACTTGGTTATGTGTACATTTTTATTAATAACGGGTAGTGGAAGAGGAATTACGTAAGCATATATTCATAAAAACAACGGGTCCTATTGGACGGACATATTATATATCTCCTCTAAAGTCTGTTTCATTGAAAAATAAATTCACCTGCTTGCGTGCAGCATGATTGGTTTGTACATATATGCATACGTGTATATATATATATATATATGTATACACATTCATGTGCATACGCGTATATACACATATGCTTCTTCAATGAAGCTTCGATAAACTACGTCTGATTCTTCATAAAAGACGCTTTAACAATAAAGCTTTTCTTTTGTAAATGTGATAATTAAAAAGAAGGATAAAAGAAAACAATAAAGCAGTGCTGACAGTGATGGTGATGTTGATAGTGATGGCGAGGATGAAGATGGTAGCCATGATAATAAATACATGGGTTAAAATCTTTCGGTAAAAGGACTCGTAGGGTAAAGGCAGACGAACATGCGATCTCTATAATGATGCTGATGCCATCTCATTTTCTAAAGGTAAAGCCTCTTCTTGGGTAGGAGGGTGGAGGGAGTACAAAAAATATATAAAATCGACAGAACAATATAAAAAGAACCATTCAATGTCTTCTCAAACTCGCAGAGGGTGTTAAAACCTAGATGTGAATCAACAAAAACTTGTCAAATTACATATACTTTCGAATATTACTAGAATAACGATCGTTTGGGTTGAAATTTTTATACCTGTTGTTCCTGTAGTCGTTTTCATTATACATTGGATTCATATCATTAACATCTCTGTTGCTAAAAAAATTCCCCAATTTTGCATTCGGTGTTTTATTTTCTGTGTCACTTGCAAAGTGATTAGCATCTGATGATTCCCGATACATGTCATTGTGCATGTACATATTATTATTTTTATTATGATTAGTACTATTTGCATTTAAATCCATACTCATATTTCTATAGCTATGCAAATCATTTTTTAACACATAAGAATCATAATTATTACTACCGATATTACTTGAATGGTATCTATTCGTGTTATGAGTGTAATAATAATCATTTAAATTATCATATTCATCATTCATTAATTTGGAACTCTCCGTTCGATCATATAATCTATTGTATCTCATCCGTTCTGGAGATGGGTAAAAATTGGGGTTTTTCATATCATTTAAAATATGTTGATCATTTTCCAAATTGAACATATGTCCACTTTTATTTTGCATACGTCTCGAATCTACATGATTGTTGTATTCATTTCTTGTGTTCCCATAAGTATTATCATTCATATCATCGTCCTTTCGGTTAAAAATGTTTATTTTCTTTAGGTAAGACCATTTTTTATCAGATTCATTTTGCTTCTTATTATTTTCATTTAAATAATCACCATAATTGGCATAATTTTGATCTTTCATCATATTACTGTTCATATAATAATCGTTGTACATATCATTCTCACTATATTTTTGATTCCCCTTAAAATAATAAGGTGTGGTGTTGTTAATACCACCATTATTTAAATTCATATTATCAATGGGAGAAGTATAAAAATTTCTTACATTTTTCATAGGAGTTTTGTTTAAATAATCATCATTATTGTTCATGTAATTATTGTATCCTTTCATAGGACTTGCAAAATGTTCTCTGTGCTCATTTATCTTACTTTTGTTATATAACAAAGGGTTATTTAAATTTCTTCCTAGATATTCTTTTCCCGTGAATTTATCTCTTCCTCTTAGCGGATGATTATTAAATATATTTTGTTTATGCAAATGTGGATAATCATTACTGTTATCATTAATATTGTATAAAAATATGTTTTTAGGATTTTCCAACACTTTAAGTAATTTTTCATCATCTTTCCTGAAATATTCTTTCATTTTTGTAACTCTATTTAGAGAACTATAAGAGGAATATATAAACGAATTTTTGATCGTTGCCCATTTTATAAATAAGAAATATTCATTTTCATTAAACTTGGCATTTATTACATATACATGTAGTGGGAAAAACAATTTTTTATGATTCTTAATTATGTAAAGAAGATTATATTTAATATACTTATTCAATTTTTTCGTATTCACATATATATAATCATTATATATTTTCCATTCCTCTTTTAGTACAGATTCATTTTTCATATAATTCGAGTAAAACATATATAACGAATTGTTGTTCATATTGTAAGGACTGTTTTTTAACATTTCTAAAGCATCATCATCTAGATATACATTTTTTCTAATTTTGTAAATATACACATTATCTGTTTCTGTGTCTAGTGCTATAAGATGCTTATTATCAGACTTTTCTATGGTAAAAAAGCGAACATTTAAAAAATTCTTATGACTATAATCATCACTTGAGCTGTAATATCTAGGTAATAAAATATTAATAATACTTTCATTCTTTAAATTATATAAATGTTTTTTTACATCTTTTATGTAATTCACAAGCAACTTTTTCATAGAAAACTCTCCATTTGTATTATCATTTCCTATCATATTATTTTCTTCTCCACTTTCTGTACCATATAAATTATTATTCACATCTTTAATAGTTGAAATGTAATTATTAAAATCTTTTATGTTAATATGTAACATATTTTCAAGATTCACATCATCCTCTTCTAAATTATTTCCATTCTCAATTAATCTTTCCAATATTTTTATTTGTTTCATGTTATTTTCTAAATCTGACATGTTGTCTTTTAGAAGATTCATACCACCAATCATGTTATCATCAGTTTTTGACCCTCCTCCTCCTCTTCTACCTCCACCTCCATCATAATCATTATCCACACTTTTATACACATCTGAACTTAAATCGATAATGATAAAATTACAATCATATTTGTAAAAGTAATCATCACTTATATGTTTATTTTTTTTCTTTTTTTTCTTCTTAAACAAATGACTTACGTTTTTCTTCCTTCTCTTTTTTTCTATTTCTCCAGTATACAAATAAATACAATTACTATACAAATGATATTCACAAATGGAATTAAAATAAATAGCCTGATCTATGGAAAATGTTTTGATTAATGAAAAGCTGTTGAGGCTATCATTTTTTAAACTCTTCTCATAAATGTACACATTCCCATTATCATTGAATACTGAATAGCAATTGTTATTTATCCACAAAAAATTCACAAATTGAGAATTGTAACAATTATTTGTAATCTCATAAATAGAAAAATAAAAAAAATTGCAAATATATAACGTTTTACTTGTTAATACTAAACAAAAAAAACCGTTCGGTGCAAATGCAACTTTAATCACTGCACCATTTAAAAATACTCTTTTGCTTAATTCGTAAGAAAATTTTTTATTCTTTTTTGAATAATAATCTATTAACAAATCACAATGACTAATATTACTGTATACAATCTTTCCATATATATATTCAATTTTTCCCGTATTATATCCAAGAACAAAATTGTTTATCAAGTTACAATTATTTGAATTATTATCAAAACATACACATGTCACATATTCACAATTATTCTTTTTGTCCTTCAATAAATGTGATGGAGAATTATATACGTACTCCTTTACATCAGACAATTTGTATAACTCCTTCCTGTGCATATCTACACTATCGGAAACTGTTGTTGCGTCTTCTTTGTTCCTCACAGGACTATATTCATGCTTATTTTCTTCTCTTTCTCGTGCATACTTTTCTGAAAATTCATTTTCATCGTATATAAATTGTCTCGGATTTTCATCATTAATGACTATATCTGGATATTTCTTTTTAATATTTTTCAATATATTTGATATCAATATATCTGTATATTTTATGTGCTCCTTTTTTTCATATCCCAAAATTAAACTACTAACTTGTACTCTCTCATTTTTTATTTCTATATTACCAATCACATTGTTCATATTCTTTTCTAACTGCTTAAAATTTATGAATATCATTTGTGCTTTTCCTGAAAAAAGGATATCTTGAATTAATTCCCCTTCTTCGTTTATACTATTTTCAAATTTTTTTAAAAATTCAGTGTACTCACTGGTGTTGTTGCTTCTTCCATCTCCTCCATCTGAGTATTCATTACATCCATCATTTGCTGAAGAATTTCCTGAAAAAAATGAACCAAAGAAAAAGTTTCCAATTCTTCTACAAGAATCTATGAATCTACCACCCATTAATCCAACACCTTTTCTGCTCTTTTCATTATTCAGTATACGATATAATTCTTCTTCTTTTGTTCTAATTTCTTTTAATTTGTAATCATAATCAAAACTATGAATAAATGGTAAAATAGATGACAATATTATAATCCCATTATCATTGGTATTATAATTACAGTCAACACAATTATATACAAAATATGGAGGTATGTATTTTCTTCTTGATAGAAAATCATGATTAATCAGCCTTGGATCTTCATGCTTTTTTAAATATTTCATATAATCAATTACATTTGTATCAAAGTAATTTGTTAATGAATAATTTTTTATATATGTGTAATCTAAAAAGTTAAAATGAAATATTTTACTTAAAAACATAAAAATGTTCTTTATCCAATCTTTTAATGAAAAAAAGGTGTTACACATGTGTATTAACATATTGTCTGATTCTATCATATTTTCAATTATAGTATTCTTATTTTCATCTAATGTATATTTAATTTTCATATTTCCATCTTCCTCCTTTTCATCCTTATTTATTTTAAATTTATAATATGCGTTATCATTTAGGTATACATATTCTTCATTTTCTCTTACCATATTACAAGTAAGACGACGTGGCTTCTCTTCTATTTGATAATAATTATTCTCTAAATCTGTTTGATTTGTTATATATTCATACACATTTTTCTTATTCGCATGAATATAATATACTACTTCATTTACTTTAGCTAACTCATTAATGCTGCTCCTTTTTGAATTCATTTCTCGCTTCTTAATATCTTTATCACTTTCATTTTTTAACCTTTTGGAATATAAAAATTTGTCATCTTTCTCAAAACCACTTAAAGTGTTGCTATATTTCTCATATTTACTTTTTAAATAAAAATCTTTTTCATATTTCTCTCTCCCGAAATGTCTTTCTTCGTCTTTCTTATTAATCAAATCCTTGTTTAATGTGTAATCATTATTACTGTGTCCATCAATTTTATGAATTCTTTGCATGAAATCGTACTCCTCACTGAAGTCATTCATTTTTCCCTCGCGCCGCCTTGCGGCTCGTCAACTTGTAGTTATTTTTTAATGCAACTTCAGCTTAATCCTGTTATCTGTTCTCTTTTATCTTTTTTCTCTTCTCTTTTCTCTCTTCTATTTTCTTCTTTTTTTTTTTTTTTATTATTTTATTTTTTTTTTTACATTTTAGTTATGGTTCATTTACTCATATATAATGGGGAATTTTCCTGCATGTTTCTCAAACTTTCCTGCTATGCGTCCTAGACTTGTGTATCCTGAGATTGTTACAGATATACTAACCTTATATTAATTTCACTTCGAAATGACACAAATAAGAGAAATGAAAAAAAAAAAAAAAAAAAAAAAAAAAAAAAGCTCTTGCTAATTGTTTTCATTATTTTTATTATGACATGTTAAAAATAATCCTTTTAAAGAACATAAAATGGGATAACAATTTGGTTTTGAACGTAAAATCCCAAATATGGGGGAAAAAAAAAAAAAAAAAAAAAAAAAGGGATATATATTACAATTTTTAAAAAGGTTTTGGGACACAGTAAAAAGCTAGTATATATAAATGAATTGGCATTTTTAACAATCATAGGATTATCATAAAAAGGTTTCTTCCCAAAATGCACTTTTTAAATTTTTTCTCACTTGAAGAAAAACGCATTTTTTACTAGAAAGCAAATTTTTTCCCCTATATGTGTTTCTTCCTCAGAATTCCCCTATCTTTCCCCTTTTTTATTTTTTTTTTTTTTTTTTTGTATTAGCAAGAAAAATACATAAAAGTGTGTGCGCTTATGCATATGTATATATATACATACATAAATACATATATGCATATATACATAAATACATATATGCATATATACATAAATACATGTATACATATAGGGACTTACAAATATATGTTTCCCATCATCCTTTTCTATCAAATTCACGTATAATAAAAAATATAAAAATAAAAGAGTAGTGTGGGAATAGGAAAAAAAAAAAAAAATTTAAACCGGAAAAAAAAAAAAAAAAAAAAAAAAGGTAAATGCATTTCAAAACGTATAGATAGAGAAACATTTATATTAATAATTTTTAAGCAATGTGTTGAAGAATACATATCCCATTTATTTTCTCAAGCACTCACAGTATTCCTATTAATAGTTTATTGTGCTCTTAACATATAATTAAAGAACAATTTTGTTTAACCCTCTTAGGAGAGTTGTTCAAAAGAAATATTTTGGGCAGTATGGGTGGGGTGTTATTTACACCTATATTGAAATTATCAATATGTAAATTTCCATTCATTTGGAGAAGGATAGGAAGAGAGGCAGGATAAGTTTATTCTATCCTTCATAATACTCAAAGGGGAAAGGAAAACGATCCACAACAAAATATATATAATAAGATAGCCCTTTAGTTTTTTTACAAAATGAACAGAAAAAAAAAAAAAAAAAAAAAGAGAGCAGAGGAGAGTCAGATTAAGATAGATGCAGATCGATAATGGTGGACGAGAAAAAGCTAACGAGAATTAAATCTAAAATAAAATATGCTTTTCTTTTTTTTCATATTTTGACAAAATTAAAAAACAACTTCGAACAAAAATTTTAAATATCCTTTTTTTTTTTTTTTTTTTTTTTTTTTTTTTTTGGTATAACCTTTTTTCTATTATGTTCTAAACTTACACATAGAATTGTATTCATAAAAAAGTAGGAAAGTAAATTGACTTTATTTTTTTTATTTTTTTTTTTTTTTTTTCCTCGCCACCACAACTTCAATGCATCTTTGCCGATTTAAATTGCACAGTTGCAAACCTGTAGCTAGGAAAAAGTTACACATTTTTAGCGATGAACAAAGTTACGTAAACAATTTGACCCATTTGTATATATACAATCAATTAGACGAAAAGATAATAAATAAGAAAAAAAAATGCGATGAAAATATAAACAAATATGTAGGAAAAATAGCTATACATTTAAAATTAAACAAAGAAAATTGTAATATAATATTTTCCTTACCCACGTTTTTAGACATATTTTTTTTTAATTATTTCAAATTTAATTTGAAATCGAAATTAATTTTTCTCAGCAATTTTTTCAACATTAAGACGCAAAAAAAAAATCATTTTTCTTTAAAGCACGAAAAATTTGAGAAAAAAAAAGTGGAAATTTTAACACATTTATGTAAAACTTTAGTAAACTCTAATTTACAGTATGTACATGAAATACGCCAAAAATATATAAACAAACATTCTAAGTTACGCAGTAGCAATAAAAAAGAAAACAACATTTATCAGAACAAGGTTAATTACATTTTGCACACTCCTATTCCAGTATATAACAAAACATTCTTGCAAGATTTACTAAATCAAACACATAATTTAAAAGATTTATGCATTGTTATATACATTATAAGAAATGTAATTCTATTTCACACATTCGATTACAGTACAATACTAGACTCTGTGTTGAGAAAAGTTTATTTATATTTTAATGAAATATCCATATCAGTAAAAAACAACTATGAGCACAACTTGACAATCTTCTCTCCCCCAACTACAAGTGATAAAAACAAAATAGAAAAAACGAAAACGGTAAAGATTCGGGATCTCATTTATTCCTTCTACCAACTTACTTACCTCCACAAGGGAAATAAAATTCAGTTTCTTTTTTTAAAAATATTGATCATACTTGGCAGAAATTATGCCTACATTGGGCTGCAAAATCAAGACACTTCATTGAATGGTAGAAATGGCACTAACGAAATTTCTACACCAACCCTACATAACCCACACAGAACACCCATCGCAAATAATCTATACCTGTCAAACAAAGACATTGAACAGTTATTTTACCTTCTCAGCAAAAATTCCTATCTGAAGCTCCACTTTATGCATCCCTTAGTTATACAGTTTTATATAAAGCTATTCTCGTTAGACCCTTCAGTCATCTATTTCAACAAATTAATTATAAAAAATAATAATTCGAATTATATATTCTGCCCGATTACTTTGTTTCCAAAATGTACTTTATCCTACTTGGAATTTTTAAAAAAAGAAGATGTAAAAAATTATTTTCACATCTTTTATCAAACTATATGCATTAAATATTTGTTAAAAAGGAAAATAACATTTCAAGAAAAGTTCAATAACTTTCACGATTTCGTATGCAGAAACATGTCTCATAAAATATATGTGAACCATTCTGTATTTTACAAAAATATAATTAACAAAATAATCAACCGTTCTTTTAACCTATATATAACCAAAGTCAAGAGACGAAGGGGACGGGAAGAAAAACGACACAGTAATAATAAATGGATCAAACAAATTATGAACACTTTATATAATAAATTTTCAGAAAATTATATTTATGATTTTACCAAATGTAAGTTTTTTTATTTAATATATATAAGAAGAATAATGAGTGCAAACAGACGAAATGGAATGATACTTGAAAAAAAATCCACATCATTTTTGCCGAAGCAAACAAAAAAAAAGAAAAAAAAGGTATAAAAAAATTTTTACTCTATCAGCACTAAGACCTGTGTGGTAAGCGTATGTGTAAATTAAACAAAAGGAAGGAGAGAGTATAATTTGTTCACTTTCCTCTCCATTTTAACAAGTAATTATTTTTCTTATATTTTCTGTGTTTGTAATTTTTTTTGCATGGTTTGGATTTTCCAAAAAACCGTTCCTCATTTATTCCCCCAATTTTGTCTTTCAATCATGTTTAATTCTTGTTTAATTCATGTTTAATTCATTTTTTTTTTTTTATCCATGTGATGAAATCCTACATGCTTACTGGAGTTCGTGCTTTTTTCACTTCCTTCGCATTAGCTCCTCATATATGAGTTCATCATGTGCATGAACAATTTTTACAAATAGTAAACCTTGCATTTGCATTTATTTCATTTGATTAATGTCAAATTTGATGAATAAAAGCACGATTTGTTGTTTATTTTTTATTTACTTTTTATTTGCTCTGTATTTGCTGTTTATTTGCTGTTTATTTTCTGCCTATTTTAAGTTTATTGTTAACTGTTTATTATTTACTGTGTATTATTTACCGTGTATTATTTACTGTGTATTATTTACTGTTTATTGTTTTTTGTTTATAACATTAACAATTAATTAGGTAATGATATACGAATGGTATTAAAAAAGTTGGGAACATAATAATGGGATATGGTATTCAAAAAAAAGAAAAGAAAAAAGGGTATACATTTCAAAAAAATTAATAAAAAAAATGTGCGCTTTACAAATAGTATTTGTACTATAATCACATGTGGGTTATTGTAAACAGAAAAAAAAAAATATATATATTAGTAATTGCCATAGTGGGGTAGACACAGAGTCAACCGTAATGGTAACTACAAACTTGAGTCCGAGGAATTACTCAAAAATTGTTCAAGTAGCAACACTTCATTTCTTGTGTGTACAAAAACAGGTATTCATTTAATTTTTCAGAAAATCTGCAATGTCTTTTAAATTCTGATAATACTTCATAAACTTTTGTGTGTTCTCAAATCCCTGTTCAGGTAAGAACGAAAAAAAAAAAAAAAAAAGGAAATAAATGATCAGCTGGAAATGATAAAAAAAGAGTAATTAGACAAAAAAAAAAAAAAAAAAAAAAAAAATGCAATATTGTTCACACACATTAAACATTCCCATCCACTACATTCTTCTGCCACTTTACAAAATTACAATTGTTCCTTTGTTATTTTGTCAGTTTGCTATTTTCCCATTCTTACCCTCTTCAAGCCGTTCAATTCATCCAGCACTTGAGCATTCCTCGTAGTTGCAATCCATTTATTTGCGCCTACAAATATTAACATAAAAATATACACACAAATATAAATATGTAAAAACTGCAAGAAAAAGAAAGGTAAAGGAGAAATTTCAAAAAATGAAAAATATGCTCATCACATTTAATGATAACTTACGGAAAAAGGAAAAAAAAAACTCAAACATTAGAACATCAATTACGAATTTTTTTCTGAAAAAAGCTAACACTTTTATTGTATCCTCAATTGAATATGTTCGACATGCCTGGATCAAAACTTTGTGCTTTGAAAGGTAATCTAGCAGTGACAGCATTCCATCCGGACTAAGCGTTGCAAAAAAAAAAAAATAAAATAAAATAAAATAAATAAATAAAATAATAAAATAAAATAATAAAATAAAATAATAAAATAAAATAATAAAATAAAATAATAAAACAAGATAATAAAATAAATCGGTAAAAATAATATCTAGTATATATGCCTTGTGAATTGCGTGAATAGAAATTACTGCCTACATTGTGTAAGCAGTTTTTTCTTTATATTTAGCCTCTTTCTTCTTAAGAATTTGCTCTAAAAAGTCTCTCTAGTGTAATTACTGTTTTTTTATCATCCTTATGAGAGCCTCATTATATTTGAATGTTTTTAAATATTGATTTATTTCTTCGTCTGTGTATGAAAACGTCTCCTCCTAAAATGGATATAAAACATGAAATGTGCACATGTGTATAAGCGTACGAATAAACAAAAAAAAAAAAAAAAAAAAGTGCTCATAAAATTTGCATAAACAGTTATCTTTTGTCCAGAACAATAGTATGTTTTCTCTGCTCTGTTCTTCGCTTTTCCCTTTTTTGTATGTTTTTTCCTCGCCAGCTGTTTATCTCATATGCATACCTGAATGTCTATAATAAATCGACTGTCCTTGTGCTTAATTTTTTTTTTTTTTGCCTTCTCATTGTAAACTTCGATAAGCCATTTTCCATTCCTATTTGGGGAAAACATAAAAAATATATATATATTTATAAGTTCATATTTGTACATATTTACAAAATAAACGCAGGCATAAAGCACACTCAAAAAGTATACAACATAAATTTGTTACACCGAATGTACACAACGAATTTCACAACAAAAATAACATTTTTTCCTCATGAAAAAAATTTACATTTCTCCTAGTACTAGTACACCATTTGAAAATTCAGCAGATTTGGGGGAATTCAAAAAATTTGCTATGCTCACTACTTTTATTTTCTACATGAGGAGAAGGGGAAGAAAAAAAAAAAAAAAAAAAAGGGATCATTTAAAAAGATTTATATGGATGACGCTTGTGCAGTTATCTTCCATGCCAGGATCTGTTAAATATAGACATGCGAATTTAGTACGGGCTATATATACATATATATATATATATATATAAATACACCACTTTGCACACACAGCACGTGAACTGAAGTTTCTCTCCTTTTTTTCAATAAAAATGAATATAAGTACGTTGCTAATGCACCCATACCTTAGTGCCCTTGTAAAAAGGATCCAAGAAATATACAGATAAATCTAAACTAGCAACAACAAGAAAATGCTTAAAACTTGTCAAATGGAAACAAGTCTTGGGAGAAATTATGAGATCCTTTACAAATTCTAACTTTTCTAATGTATAAAATTTAATTACATTTTTAACAGATAAAACTATATATTCATTTTTAAAAATGTTTAAACATTCTATTGGTTCTTCTAATTCTATTTTATTTATATTCTTATTCAAATTTAAATCATAAAAGTAAACATAACCATCATAACTTGAACTAATTAAATGTGAATTACTATTATTATTAAACGTATACAAACAAATACTTGTTATATTATCAATGTGATAATCTAGCGTATGTTCACAACTCCCTTCCCAAATATTCCATATTTTAATGGTAAAATCACGTGAACATGAATATAAATGTTGAAAATTTGAACTAAAAATTAAATCATTAACTGCTGATTTATGTCCACACATACTTTTTATTCTATCAAAACAAAATAGACCTATCAGTTCTATATTCCCATTCTCAAGACCAATACCTAACATCTTATCATCTCGAAATTTCAATTTGCTTATACTTTCTGTGCACTTATATTTCTTATTTAAATTCTCTCCAGTTATGCTATGCAGCAGCACCTAACGGAAAAAAAAAAAAAAAACACACAATTTTCTTAAAGTGTACAAAACTCATAATATAAGTAATCTAAGTTTTCATAAAAAATATCATTTTTACATCTCCTCTCATGGTACAAATTGTATAGGCACATGCATGAGAACACAGACGTGTGTATATATTCAAAAAGTGCTCAAGTGCCTTAATGTATATTATATATTGCTCTTTGTTCTTTTTGAGTGATCGTCTTAATGAATATTATATATTGCTCTTTGTTCTTTTTGGGTGATCGTCTTAATGAATATTATATTTTCATTTTATTTTTTTCTTTTTTGGTGTGAGGAAGGTAAATCCTCATTCCACCTTCCCTTTTCTTTTTCTGTATTACCATATTATTGCAACCAATGGCAATATACTTATTACAAATACTTATAGATTTAATACTTCCTTTTTCATTTCCTGCTTTTAAAACTTTAAAGTCAAATAGGTAATCATTGGTTTCATTTTTTCTTTTTCTTTTCTGTGTTAGTATTACAGGTGGAAATTTTGACATTTTTTCTCTTGTACTGTTGTTAATGTAGTTTTGGAATAGAAAATGTTTTTTTAAAACATGGAATGGCAGGGAAAGGCACAGAAAACTTAAGTAAAAAAAAATTAATTATTTTGTTATTTCTTGTTCAGTACATTTTCCTCATTCAATAAATATGTATATGTAATCTTTATGTACTTACAAATGGATGTACATATTACATATATACATTTGCAAAATGCCATAATATTCCATGTTTTACGCGTTTGATATAACAATGTGAGGACGTAAAATAAAAAAAAAAAAAAAAAAAAAAAAACAGTTTTGACGCCTATTCCTATTCTCTTTCTATGACTTTTTTTTCTTTTTCCCCTTTTCAAAAGTAACTAATTCGATTGAAGTAAACGAATAAAAACAAACATGTATTTTTATATAGCTCGTAGGTAAAGCTCATATTCGTGTTGTACATTTATGCCCTTTTTCCTATGTAAAAAAAAAAAAAAAAAAAAAAAAAAAAGTAAAATGTAAATAATACATATGCATTATATAAAAAAGAGCAACAAGATATGTTCAAATGAAAATTAGATATGCTGTTGCCCCCTCTCCTCTGTCCCAATGGTATTACATAATTTTTGAAATTTTTCAAAAGACCTTATAAGCAACGTCCATATATGTTTAGGTATATTAATCTGTACAAATGCCCTATTTTTTTTTTTTTTTTTTTTTTTTTTTTTTTTTGCCTTTTTATTTAAAAATATAGAAACCATTTGTTTTCCGTTTTTCATACTTTTCCTTTGTTCAAAACATATCTGTATATACATGCAAGAACTTGTATATATATTTTATATATATTATATATATATATATTTTTTTTTTGTGATTTTTTCTTTCCCCCTCCATCCCAAACCATTGTTGTGTATTTTTTTTGTGACCTTCCATGCAATGTTGCCACCTGCACATGCAACAGTGTTATTGCTCTAAATTATATTGATTCATTATAAGCAAAAATATGTATACACGCATATACATTTTTACATATACATATAATATTCGCTTTTCAAAAATGTAGAATAATGCTTATCATGTATTTAAAGTAAACACTTGCTATTTTTTTTTTTTTTTTTTTTTTTTTTTTTTTACTCCTTTTCCCGTTGATGTGGGGGTGGCATATAAGCTTACTCACTTTGTTATTTTTTTTATTATTGTTTTATTTTTTTTATTTTTTCTATTTTTGATTATAATGTGAAGAAAGTTTTTATATATTAGCATTTTTTCATACATATTTCTATCCTTTTTTACAGTTTTTTATTATTTTCCTTTTTTTTATAACATTTTAAACAGAGTTCACAGTTGCTCTATCTCAATAAATATAATAGCGTCCAATAACTAAATTCATGACAATATTTATACCATATGGATAAATAATACATACATAGAAAAAAGCAGATGCTCATAATACATAATAAACAACCTGTTTTAGTGATTTTTTTTTTTTTTTTTTTTTTTTAAAAAGTGAGTAAAAACTCATTTGTGTATGAATTTGAAAAGGTCATAAAAAACCAAGTCTCACAATTGGAGATCTAAAGAAAGTAGGATGTTTTCTTTCTTCGTGCATATCTTGACCTGTGATTATTAGACGCTTTCCCCATGTGATATATACATTAACAAATACATGCATATAAGTGTGAATATACATGCTTACACACATATGTATGTATTTTGTATGTGATTGTGGAGGAATACACATGTTCACATGCGCTACACATATAGGGAAGAAAAAATACACATCTAAAATATGCAAAGTTACAAAAGTTTCAAGAAAAATTCACTACTATCAAAACATTTTTTTTGTCAACATGCATCAACTTTAAAAAGAAAAAAAAGTCTCTTAATTTCCGAAGACACCAAAAGAAACCAAAGAGTAGTAGAACAAATTTATCTTACATTAGCAGATAGTCATTACATCTGTAAGAAGAAACAAAATGAATTCTTTTCCTTCTCCTTAAAAAAAATCATTTTCTCATATATATTACACAAAATAAAAAATATAGGAAAAGTGCATGGTTGGACGAGCAGTACAATAACTAATCAGAACAATTCCCATATTCATGCTCAAGTTAGAAATAATACTCAGAAATTTCATTCTTTCAACTCTTATCACGATAAGTTCCATCGTCACAATCATAGCCTTTCAAAAAATGAAATATCCCACAACTGCATTCACCCTTATATGGACTATCCGAGGAATGCCAGAAAAAAATTTTTAGCACATAACTACCAACGCAAAACTAAACGTAACTTAAAAAACTGTAAAAATGAAAAACTGAATCTTGAAAAATTTCATTCATGTCAATACACAAAATGCAACAAGACTCTGTATCCGAATTATTATCCTTTCGAAAAGGGAATAACAAACAGGTATCAATACTTCTCATATGTGTCTTTTAAACAGTTCGGGACGGATGTTCAGAAGGGGAGGGATAAAAAGAAACAAACTGATTGCCTGAATAAGGTCAGGCAAAAGGGAGACGAAGCAGAAGGAAGCATACACATAACAAGCAGTTACATTGATGTTGATCTTAATGATTGTGAAATTCATACCAACCATTGCAGTAATATAGATAATACACACCTAATCTGTAAGAACGAAAAAAGGGAAACCAAAAATGCACATCCAGAGGAAAGAGAACAAGTTTTTTCTCCCCCAAAAAATGTCCCTAATAGTAGTAGTAGCAGCAGTAGTAGCAGTAGAAGTGGAGATGATAAAAATTTCTCACCGAATGAAGAGTACGAACATTTAAAAGTTAAGGAACTTGAAAAAATTTTACATAATTTAGAAAAGTTGTACGAAAATAAGAACAGCAGAATTAATATAAATATAAAAATATTAGTATATGTGTTTAAAAATTTTATACATAAGAATAAGGAATTAAAAATAAAGATTTTTTTTTCCTTTATTTTTTTATTATGTTCCAAAATATCTATTATATATACTCCAATATTATTATCGTCCTTTATTGAAAATGTAAATTTACAAAAAAGTTTAAATAACAAATTGGATTCATCTTTTTTCAACAATAACTCCAGTGTAATGATTTTACTCTCTTATGTACTTTCACGCATCCTATCGTCAAGTTTAAACGAATTAAGAAATAGTGTCTTTAGTACCATAAGTCAAAGAATATCAACTTATGTAAGTAAGTTATTTTTTTACAAAATTCACAATTTAAATCTGAGTTATATATTATCCAAAAAAAATGGGGAATTGTCTTTTATTTTTAATAGAGGATGTAAAAGTATTACAAACTTATTGAACGTCTTAGTATTTCAAATTATTCCTATTATTATAGAATTTGTTTTATATTTATATATACTAACATACAAAATACATTACAGTGTTTCTCTTGTTACTTGTTTGAATATGTTATTATACATCATTTTTACAACCCTAGTTACGAAAAGAAGAACTATTATTAGAAAATATATGAACAAGTCAGAACAAAATACATTCAACATATTTTTAGATTCTATACAAAATATAGAACAAGTAAAATATTATACAAATGAAATGCATGAATTAAAAAAATTTATAAAAGAACAAAAAAAATTTGAAAAAGAAGCTATTAATGTTCAAAAATCTTTATCTTTCCTAAATTTTGGACAACAAATTATTTTAAATTTTAATTTATTTCTGTGTTTATATCTAACTTATATAAATATAGCTAATGATATATTCCCATTTAGTTATCTCATATTAGTGAATACTCTCCTGTTTCAGCTAGCTATGCCACTAAATATGTTTGGAACCATTTACAGAGAAACAAAACTTAGTTTAGTAGACATAGAATGTATGATCAAAATTCTTGTCAAAAAAATACAATCCATGGATTACACAAGCAAATTAGAAATACAAACTGGAAATATCAAATTTGAAAACGTTTCATTTAAGTATCCAATCTTAGATGAAAAAAAAAAACAATCGGATATTCATATCAATGGGGATGAAAAAAATTCAAAAAATGAAAAGGGATTATTTCTCAACATCTTTACAAAGTTGAAAAATATGCTTTTTTTTCAAAAAAAATTCATAAATCCGATCATCGATTCTGTAATTCCTCCAAAAAATGATGAAATAAAAAACAATCTAAAAAGTGCAATTAAGGAGAATGTAAATGCAACTGTATACCCATTTAAAATCCGTTCTCAAAACGGAGAAACCAACATGAAGGAAAATAATAACTACATTTTCCAAAACTTCACGTGTAACATAGGACATGGAGAAAAAGTAGCCATCATAGGAAAAAGTGGATTGGGAAAAAGTACACTTATAAAACTGCTGCTAAAATTTTACGAAATAAATAGTGGTAACATATATATTGATAACAAAAATATCAAGAATATTAATTTATATACATTAAGAAAAAGCATAAGTGTAGTACCACAAGACACCATACTATTTAACAACACAATTTCTTATAATATAAAATATGGGAATTTTCAATGCACAGATCAGCAAATGATGGATGCATGTATTCAATCAGAATTGCATGAAAAAATTTTACAAATGGATAAGCAATATGACACGCTTGTTGGAGAAAGAGGTACCAAATTGTCTATTGGGGAAAAGCAAAGAATATGCATAGCTAGATGTTTTTTAAAAAATTCCAAAATTGTTGTTTTAGATGAACATGCAAGTAATCTCGATAATGAAAATAAAAAGTGTATAGAAAAAGCTCTACAAAAATTATGCAATGGAAAAACTACCTTCTTAATTACGCACGTAATGGAAAATTTACAAAATATGGATAAAATTATTTTCTTCAGTGGAAACAATAACATATATGTTGGTAATCATAACGAATTGATGACTGGAAATACATTTTACCGAGAGTTTTATGATTCCAAAAATAATCAACTCATATGATCAACTCATATGATCAACTAATATGATCAACTAATATGATCAACTGTATATGATCAACTAATATGGTCAACTGTATATGATCAACTAATATGATCAACTAATATGATCAACTGCATATGCTCTATAATGGAGAAAAAAAAAAAAAATAATGTGATGTCTGTTCATCCAACACAGGCCACTTGGTAGTGCCTTTCCCTTCTTACAATTTACTCAAGCGCTTTTTTTTTTTTTTTTTTTTTTTTTCTTTTTTTATCACCATCACTGATGTTATGCATACATATCAATATTTAATCATGTCTCTGTCTTCATAGTCATTTCTGATTTTCTATTTATTTACTCCAAAATGTTGTGTATACAGATTTGCATAACACATTTCTATAATTTAGTATGTATGCCTACTTAGCACTTTTTCTTTTTTTTAAATGTATTTGTTTTAAAACTAATTGGTGAAATGTGCAAATTAGTTTTTTTTTTTTTTTTTTCTTTTCTTTTCCTTTTTTGCACATTCCCCAGTTTTTGCAAATTTGAATTTTTCATTTATTATACTTTTTTCATCACGAATGTGAAGAGAGTAAAATTGATGTGTTTGAACGGTGTTCAAAGAGCGATTTAATTGGTGCAATTAAATCCTCATAGAAAAAGACAAAAAAAAAAAAGAAAAACGAAACAAAAAAACAATAACAACAATAGTGGTCATAATAGTGATCATAATAGAGGCCATAATAGTGGTCATAATAGAGGCCATAATAGTGGTCATAATAGAGGCCATAATAGTGGTCATAATAGTGGTCATAATAGAGGCCATAATAGTGGTCATAATAGTGGTCATAATAGAGGCCATAATAGTGGTCATAATAGTAGTAATAAGAGAGTAAAGACAGGTGAAGAAAAACGGAGAATTGATAGACCTGCAGGCCGACTAACCAACTGATACGCAAACATGTAGATATAAGAGCTTCATTTATGTGAAACACAATTTACAAATGAACTTGCAATTCTCGTGGTCATCGCTCAGGGTAAGCATTGCGATGCAGTATTTTTTTTCCATTTTTCCCCATTTTTCCCCATTTTTTTTCTACGTTTTATTTATTCGGTTTTGCTTTTTTACACCCCCTCCTGCCTTGTAGAACAACTTCAGGCCCGCCTCGACAAAACTACAACTCCTTATTCGAAATGTTCAACTTCCCATACTTCCTATGATATGGCATTAAGGAAGGCCTGGAAACGACATCCACATTTTTAAATGTATACAAATTAAATTCAATACTTTCAAAGGAGTAAAATGTAATGCACCCCAAACCTTGTACATGTATGTCATAACTGCCACTATCACTATTAACGCACGGGCTTGTTATGTTAAAATAACACTTTTTGAAATCTCTTAATTGGTCAAATCTTTCAACTGAGAACGGGGGATAAATAAATCCAGTTTTTATTTTTTTCCTTAAAAAGTCAGTTGCATCCTTTGAAAAATTCTTTCTTTTTATAATAGGAATTTTTTCTGATATAAAAAAAGACATGATACAATAAAACCTTTTAATATCTAAAATATGAATATATAAAAGCCCACCAATAAAAATATAATCATTTTTATTTATATATATTGCTGATACTTTCTTCTTCAATTTTGTACAAACCACATATTTCATTTCATCATAGTTCAGATATGACAAAATGGAATTACTTGAAATAATTCCAGGGGTGTCATTAATGGTTATATTTTTATTTAATTTTATTTGTATATTCTTTAGAGTTGTTCCTGGAATAATACTATTGCTAATTTGAATATTTCTATTGTCCTTTTTTTTTACATTTTTAAGTATGTAATTTATCAGGGAGGATTTCCCACTATTGGCATTTCCTATAATATAAATGTTCAAATGTTTTATGAAAAATTTATTATTCTTTTCTGCAATTTTTCCTAATGGATCCTCTTCAAAACTGTGCTTCCTCCTCTCCACATGGTTCTTATCTCCCAGAGCTTCTTCCCATTCCCAGTCTTCTCCATAGTTAGGATTTTCTCCATTCAGATCATCCTCCACATCACCATCGTCCTCTTCACCATTGCATGCTTCATCATCCTCTTCACCATCCTCTTCATCACCACTGTATGCTTCACGCTCGCTTCCTTCCAATTGGAACCCCATTCGTTTACCCCTCTTTTTCTTCCTCTTAAGAACGCTCCTGCTTCTAACATAAGCAGTATAAAGAAGCTTCTTCACGTTGAACCCCGTCTTGGCACTAACCAAAAATATATTCCTAAAAAGCACATTTATTTTGTTGCTTCTTAAAAAATTATACACGTAATTCTTAACAGTGAATTCTCTATGATCAGGTAATAGATCAACCTTATTTACACAAAAGTAAAATCCTTCTATCTTACTTTTATCTGAGTGCATCTTCTTATATAAAGAAATCAACTTTTTCAAATTCGAATAAATGTACAAATCTAATATATCAACGATGTAAATAATACAACATCTCTTTTTGAAAATATTTATAACATACTTTTCGAAATCAAGTGCACTAATTTCATTATTATTTCTATAATTAATTATTAAGTTGTTGCTTATTTCATTTCTATATTTTAAGTTGAAACATCTTTCACACAGGTACACCTTTTCCTCACTCGCTTCTTCCACTTTCATTTCATCCATTCTTCTTTTTTCATACTTATCTTTCATAATAATACACCTTTCTAAAGCTCTCTCTGCACTTCCCCTCGAACTAAACGTATGCTCAATCTCGTTTCTTTTTTCTTCCTTCGATTTACTATCGTCTTCTTCACTTTTCTTATTTATTTCCATCTCATCAACTATATTCCTACTCCTTTCCTCCAAAACATTTTCCTTATACATTTCTTCATCTCCTCGCGAATTCCCAAGTGCATTCTCACTGTCATCCACATCGATCTTCCACTCCTCCTTTGCATCCTTCTCCACATCTGTTCCCTTCTCCACCTCTTCTTCGTCATAAATATCACGTAGTATGTCACTCCTCTCGTGTCCTTCCCCTTTATTTACCACCCTATCAAACACGTGATCTTTCAAAAAACCGAACCTCTTTTGGTCCTTTGATTGAAAGGGTATTCCACACCCCACGCATGTGCTCTTTGATAATTTAACTTCAACATTCATATTTTTAAAAAATTCCTCAATTTTTTTTTTTTCTTCAACATGTTTCTCATTTTCTTTTTTGTCACCCAATTTTTCTTCATCTACTTGTTTTTTCTCTTCAAATTGATGCAACTGATTTTCTCCTGCATTGGGATTCTTATTCCTTAAAATGTTTTTAATTTCTCTTTCAATTTCTTTTTCATCCATATCGCTCAATCCTGCATCTACTGAAATGTCATCCTTAGCAATGTTGTCCTTTTTTCCAACGACCTGTTTGTTCTGTTTTGATTTACTCTTTAACTCGTTCTTCAACTGTTTGAAGGCTTCTTCATAATTTATCACATTAATATGTTTTTTTACATTATCATCCATTTTCTCTAAACTTAAAAAATCCTTTGATATTTTCTCTTTCTCTAAAACTTTTTCTAAATAATTATTGTTTTTCTCATTGTTTGTGGTACCTTTATCTCCAATTTGTATCTTTTCGTTTTTATTTTTTTCCTTACCCTTTATGGTAGTACTCTTATTATATTCCATATTATTATCAGCCCAAATCCCTCCGTTTTTACTGTCCTTCCTTTCGCACCTATCCTCACTTAAACCAATAATATTATCTATTTTCTCAAAATGGAACAAATCTGCATCTATCTCGTCACTAAGCGTGTCTTCCTCGTTATGAACACTACTTCTTGGGTAGCCATTCCTAATGTTGTCTTTTTTTCTCTTTTTTTCTTCACCTCGTTTGGCCTCACCCTGTTTGGTCTCTCCCTGTTTGGCCTCTCCCTGTTTTGGCTCGCCCCTTCTCTCTCCCCTGGTGCAGAAAATGTTGCGCTCCCTAACCGTTTGGAATAAATTCCTCTCGCGTTTACCATCTGATAAACCATCATAAAAGTAAAACAATTTGAAATTGTTTTTTTTCCCCCCTTTGCTTCTATAGTCTGAATTTGGAAAAAGAGAATAATATCTACTCTCAACCATACATCTGTGCATAATTTTGTTGAAGCTAAAAATTTCGTCCTCTTCATCAAAAGGGTGATTCATTAAAAACTCCTCAATGGAGACAAAAAAGAAATCTTCCTTTATTTTATTCAAACGATTCAATATGATTCTACTTAAATTGGAATTTGTACATGCTAGCACCCTAACTAAATCATCATAGTTATTAATTTCTTTCCTATTATTAATAAATAATTTCAAATTAAAAGAAATATAGTCATATTTCAAAAAATCTCCTTCCTTACTCAATTCATAAATATTCTTATTCGTTTTACCATTTTCCCTACTAACAATTTCTTTGTAAATATCACTATCAATTAGTATATCTACACTTTTATTATGTTCTTTATAATTGTGCAAAAAATTGTATTTCATTTTTTCACTTGTATTATTTCCTTCATTTTTTTCTTTTCTCACCTTTTCTTTGTATTGCTCCAAGTCTTTTATTTCTACTTTATTTAATTCATAACAATGTAAATCTTCTTCCCATACTTTTAAATAACCATAAAGTAATCTATGCATATCAATTCCTTCTAAATCTTCACTACCTATTATTTTTTTATTCATTTCTTTAATGATTTTCTGTTTTCTTGAAAATCGGTTCTTATAAGGCATCTCATAAAGTTCTTCAAAGTTTATATCTTTAAATAATTCCTCAAACGAACTACCTTTCAACAAATCATCCCCAAGACACACTTTACTATCACTACTATTAATATATATTCTTTTCATGCTTTCCTTTAACTCATCTGATATACTCATTCCATATACCTCATATGCTACCACACCTATATCGGTTCGAAATTCACATGTATACTTATTGTCATATACAAATTTTATCAAAATGATGTTTCCACTAGTATCACCCTTCGTACCTTCTTCCCTGATACTGTTGTCATCCCTTTTTTCAATTTTCTCTTTTCCTCTTACCCCACCATCATCATCATCATCATCATCATTATCATTTGCTTCTTCATTATTAAATACTTCACATGAAATACAATTCAGAATTTCTAATTTAACTCTGTCCTCATCCTCCTCCTGTTCTTTCTCTTCCTTTTTACCCGATAATTTTTCATATCTCTTTGTGTTCCCCATTTCTGTGTTTTCTTCACTCGCAGAGATTTCTTCTTGCTTCTCATGGTTTTCGTTCCTACAGTTCATACCTTGTGTTGCATGCCTATCTCCTCCGCTTCCATCACTTCTGCCATTTTCACCACTTTCTCCATTTTCATCACTTCTGCCATTTTCACCACTTTCTCCATTTTCACCACTTTCTCCATTTTCACCATTTCTGCCACTTCCACCACTTTCTCCATTTTCACCACTTCTGCCACTTCCACCACCTCCACCACTTCCTCCTCTCTCATCGCTGTTATCATCTCCGGGTAAAATCCAATCGTCATCCGATCCACTCCATTCATCGTTCATCTCATCCTCCTGAACTTCCCCTATGTCTCCTCCAAAACTATGGCTTTCCCTTTTCCTACTTCTCCCCAAATGTTTTTCCATTTCCCTGTTTTTCTTATTTTTTTTTTTCTTCTTTTCTTCTGTCTGATGTGCAGCTGTGTTCTCACCATTGTACAGGATCCTTTCTACAGCGTTTACATCCCTCCTCTCTTCCAACTCGCTTAAATCTGTCATGTAATCATCAAACGATTTGGAGGCATTCCTGACATGAACTTTTTTATTCTTGTGCAAGTTTCGCTCCTCGTGTTCTACAAACTTCTGCAATTCCATAACATTCTCTTTTTCATTACATTTTTCAAAAAGGGCTATATTTAACGTGTCATATATTTTTTGTATGTCAATATTGTTCTTAACAAATACAGTCTCATACATATTTTTTCCAAAGAACAAATCGATATACGGTTTGATATGTTTAATTTCCAAAGTATTAAATTCCATCATTTTGATATACTCATCTAATTTTTCATTTTCTTCTTTGGAATTTTTATTGTCAATATTTATATTTACATTTTCCTCTGTCTCTTCGTACAAAAGTTCATTTTCTTCACCCCCTTTAAATTTTCTTTTATTTAAATCCTTTTTCTTTTTTCTTCTTTTCTTCTTAAGTTCTGCATTCACATCATATTCAAAATTAACCAACTTCAGGATGTTCATAAGACTATAATCAAAGGAGTAATCAATATTTTCTGTCTTCTTTTCTTCCTTAATCTTTAAAAATTCAATAACGATATTTGTGCAAATGCACGCTAATATAGACACTAATTCGCTTTTCTTCAACCTATCACTTTCGTTAAAATTTTCTTTAAATGCTTTTTCAAATTCGCTTGCGAATAGTTCTTTTTTTCCTTTTCTACAACCTCTGCACGTGATGGTCCTACTCCTCAGCCTGCTCCCGATACATTCACTAGAACATCTCCACATACTTCTCAAACGCAGGTCTCTGCCACACCGATTCATGTCACAACCATTTCTGCCACACCCATTTCTATTCACAGTGCAGACATGGCGATCCTCGTTATCATCTCGCGAGGGAGGTGTGTGCCCTCCTTGTGCAAAACTCACATTAGACTTAAAAAAAAAAATTCTTGTAGAATTATAGATCTCTTTTTTCTTAACCCATCTCTTAACGGATTTCCTATAAAATCTTTCATTCAAATTAACATTCCTATTTGTTTCTATAAATTTCAGAGGAAAGTAGGACACACCCGTTCTTCTTTTTTTATTTCCATATATTTTGACCACCTTTTTTTTCTTGTCATTCTTATTACAATCTTTTATATTCCGATTTACAAAAAACAAGTTTTCAAAATGTTTCTTTTTTAAAAAATAAGAATTACATTTTCTACATGTGATAAAAATATGGACTAAAAAAAATACAAATGATTTTAAAAACATTTTTTTTTTTTTTTTTTTTTTTCTTTTATTTTTTATTTCTACACAATAACAAAGAATTTTCTCACTAAAGAGGGGAAAGATGAAAGAAAAAAAAAATAAAAATAAAGGGGTATGAAAAACAATTTCAAATTTTCACTTCCATTTTTCATTCTTATTATATCTCCTCCTCGTTCTGTTTACATTTAATCATAATTTTATCACTATCTCTTGTTTGCCCCTCTAACATATATATATATATATATATAAGAGGAAGTATCAAGTCCTAATCCATATCTCTCTTGTCATTTTACTCCCCCAACTTGTGGTAAAAAAATTTGTGAATGCAAATTGTGTGACATCCTACCAACTTCCAAGTGGAAAAAAAGGGAAAAAAAAAAACGTCCTATTTATGCTCTATTTCATTCTTGCCATTCGGGACGACTATAAAACACCGTTTGGTAAAAAATACATTGGAGCAAAAATAAATCTGGGGAACAGGTTTTCCCATGGGAAGAAGTTGAATATTTGCATACATAACGTTGTGAAGAAAAAAAAAAAAAAAAAAATGTAAATAAATAAATGAAGAAATAAATGAGTGAATAAATAAATGAATAAATAAATGAATAAATAAATGAATAAATAAATGAATACATTAACATGTAAACGAAAAATAGGAAATGCCACAGGAATAACGAAATGATGAGGCACCATTCCTGAGGCAGGGACCTTTTTTTTTTTTTTTTTTTGCCCACTCGCTCTCCCCAAAAAAAAAAAAAAAAAAAAAAAAAAAAAAAAGAAAAAAAAAAAAAAAAAAAAAAAAAAAAAAAAAAAAAAAAAAAAAAAAAAAAAAGAAAAAAAAATACTAAAGAAAGGAAAATTTTTTTTTTTTTTTTTTGCCCACTCGCTCTCCCCAAAAAAAAAAAAAAAAAAAAGAGGCAAAAACGGAAAATGTAAAATAAAAGTTATACATAAAAATATATAAAAAAAGCAAAACTGTGTATCAAATTAGGTAACAAATTTTAGCCGAATAACAAAATGAATGACGATGAGAAAACGAAGAAGGTGATAAATGAACATACATCTCAATCTCAACTGAAAGAAAAATCCTTAATACCAAAAAAATGGAGCTACCAGATGAAATCACACTGTCAGGAAAAAGATCCAAAAGAACAAGACAAAAATAAAAAGGAAATGGAAAATTTCCCAAAAAATCAATGCCACCAAAAATCAATTAATAAATCACTGGAATTGCAGACAAATACAAACAATGATGAGTCTAAGCGAAATCTTGAAAATTTATTGGCATCTTACAATTCCACTGATGAAGAAAAAGAAGAAATTCGCACTCACGGAAAAAAAGTTCTACAAACGGATGCAATTAAGTGTGATATTACAACAAGAGAAGAAATGCACCCTCAAGGGTATCAGCACCACAAAAAGGGTAGTACCGTGCGTGATGATGATGCTGATAATGGTAGTGATAATGATAATGGTAGTGATAAAGATAATGGTAGTGATAATGATAATGGTAGTGATGCTGATAATGGTAGTGATAATGATAATGGTAGTGATAATGATAATGATGATGATAGTGATGATGATAGTGATGATAACGATTATCTCGCCATTGCTGAAGGAGAAAGGATTCATGGAACGCAAAAGACAAAACAGAGTAAAGACAAAGACGCAAAGACAAATGATGAAAATGGGAAAAGTGAGGAGAGGCAAAAAATATCTTTGCAAAAAAATTATCAGGATGGAGCAGACACCGAAGGGAAATGCAAAGAGGAAAAAACCTCAACATCAAGTAAATATCAAAACAATGAAAAAGGTACATACCACTCCCAAAGGAAAAAACATCTTAAAATAAGTGACGAAATAGATGTATGTAAATCTCAACTCAATATGTGTAAAAATAGTTTCGAAATGGAAAGTAGAAATTCTTTATTTCATAAGGAATATGGCACAGGTCTCCCCAATTGGGGAATGACGAACTCTATATCTACTTATTCCCAACAACATCCATGTCACGACAAAAACAACTTTCATAATGTTAATTATTATGCAAATAGCTACTATACGAGTACCAGAAATAACCACTATGCTGGGGAGTCAAGCATAACAAAAATGCCCCTTACGAATCTAGGGTTCTCAAAAAAGAAAGAAATTAATGTTAACCTAGAAAATATACCCGTAATAGATCAGAGGGAAATTTTGAAGGATTGGAAACCTGCCATCACGCATGAAGAAACCAAGAGCCAAAAATATAATATAAAAACTAAAGTTTACAACGCGACTAGTAATACTTTTGATAAAGTAATTGTTCATGGAAAAAATCAAAAACGAAAACATCAGATAAATTGGCTAGCCAAGGAAGCCGTGGAAAAAGAATATGAAATTTTGCAAAAAACAAACTACACCAAAAGAAGAACAACGAGCGATAAATATGGGTGGTAAAACCTGACACAGACCATTAACTTATTCTTTTTTACTCCATACATCTGCTTTCCTCTACAGTTTTATTGCTCTATTTTTATCGATAAATTTCGGCGCTCTATTTTTTTTTCTTTTCCTTTTTTTTTTTTTGTAAATCGAATTCTTCTCACAGCCTCTCCTTCCCCCACAAACACACGCACACTGCAGTTCCCACGTCTTTCATTTTTTTTTTTTTTTTTCATTTTTTAAATATAATAATTTTGTTCTATTACATCTAAACATAAGTTCGCACCGTCTCGTGGGTATTATATACTTTATGTGATAACTCATATCCTTTTTTTTTTTTTTTTTTTTTTCTTTTTTTAATTTATTTTATTTTTTAGTAAACACCTTTTCTTTCCACTTTTAAAATAGTAAATTTTGTAACCTTCCCCATATACATATGTGTATATATATAGTATACAATTCTATTCTCAAATGCATAACCAACTGTGTATACAAAGCTAGCCATATACACTAAAGAAAGGTAACTTAACTCTGGCCAATTTACTCATCCTGTTCTTAACATAAACGGGACGGAGAAAAGCGTTGAATGTTAAAATGCAATTGATTCTACATTAGCATAGTTGGGTTCATCATGATGCGAACACATGAATAGACAAAAAAAAAAAAAAGAAAAAAAAGAAAAACAAAGCAAAGCAAAACAAAAAAACAAAACAAAAGCGTCTATGCTTTTAAGGCAATGTGCTTTACTTATAATGTGATAGTGCAGAAGGTGTTGAAAATAATAACATACAGGTACTTGTGTGAATGGGCCTACGCATGAATGTATTAAACTATAATGCATGTAAATTATGTGCACATGTTGTTTTCTCCATCTTCATTCTTCATTTTCATCTTCATTTTTCACTTTTTTTTTTTTTTTTTTTTTTTTTTTTTTGGTTTTCTTCCCTTTTGATAAGAACGCCTTCGATTTGTCACTTCTAGATGGACACATGCGTTTATTAATTCAGTTCCTCATAGGATACATTAGAGCACTTGACTCACTACATTCATATTTTTTGGCACTTGCATCATGAGTAACATTTAGTATCAAAATGTTATATGCATATTCTTTTTTTAAAAAAAAAAATATTTATAAAATTCATCATCCAAGTGTAACAACAACTATAAAATGTGTGTACACTCCTATTCACACAAAATTAATGTTTAGTCGTATAGTTTTGATGTTTATTTTATTTTATATTGTTTTCTTTTTTTTTTTTTTTTTAGCTTAAGTATTGGTTCCATTCCTGACAAAAAATTTCATTCTTCTGATTCCTCAAAATTGTCATCGTCACTGTCATACTCATTGTCATTGCCATTCTCACTGTCACCGTCATTGCCATTCTCACTGTCACCGTCATTGCCATTCTCACTGTCACCGTCATTGCCATTCTCACTGTCACCGTCATTGTCATTCTCACTGTCACCGTCACTGCCATTGTCACTGCCATTGTCAATGCCATTGTCACTGCCATTGTCACTACCATTGTCACTACCATTCTCACTACCATTCTCACTTCCATTCTCACTACCATCTACTTTTTCCAGCAAATGTTTATAAAACTTAATAATTTCATCCGATTCGAACATGATGAAATTATCTATTTCCAGCGCTGGGACTTGAATTTTCCCTCCTTTCTCAAAAAGCTCTGTGTAAAAGATACTTCTATCAACTGCATTTCCTTTATTTATATTTTTCATCAAAACGACTATTGGTTTATCTGTTTTTACTAATTCTTCTACTTTGCTGTCTTCATCAAATTTAATAATTTCCACATTTTCATTGCTTTTCAAGACATCAGTTACTTTACTACAATAGGAACACATTGAACTATGGTAAATATAAGTTATGTACTGAATCTTCATAGGTTTTTCCTCTATTTTACTTATTAAATCCTTAGAGTTAAAAATCATTTCGAGCTTTTTGGATTTATTTCTGCCAAATGTTCCATTGTGTTCGTTTTTACATAATCCTAGGAAAAAAAAAACTACGATCAGAAGAAAAAATGCATTCATGGGGTTCACAATCTCATAAAAAATATTCAAAACAAAATGTGTTGCAATGGCGCAGTAATAATTGCGTAGTAATAGAATGCAGAAGCAAAAGAATAAATTGACGTACGTAATTGCTAATACAATTAATTAGATGTAAATAAATGTAATTAGATGTAAATAAATGTAATCAGATGTAAATATATGTAATTAGATGTAAATAAATGTAATTAGATGTAAATGAATGTAATTAGATGTAAATAAATGTAATCAGATGTAAATGAATGTAATTAGATGTAAATAAATGTAATTAGATGTAAATAAATGTAATTAGATGTAAATGAATGTAATTAGATGTAAATAAATGTAATTAGATGTAAATAAATGTAATTAGATGTAAATAAATGTAATTAGATGTAAATGAATGTAATTAGATGTAAATAAATGTAATCAGATGTAAATGAATGTAATTAGATGTAATTTGGTATAAATGGATAAAGGTAGGTAAAAATAGCTATAAAATAGCTATAAAATAGCTATAAAATAATATAAATAAGCTCATATAAACAACTATAAAATAGATACAAATGACTATATTTATGTAGCCAAAATGTTTGAGTATATATCGAATTTGTTCGCAATATAAATTCTTAAATTTAGCCATGCAAATGCTAGTTAAATTTTTTCACATCTAATTAATGTTTAAATTTCAAAAAGCTCCTTAGGTTTTAGCTTTACTTTTAGTTTTTGCTTTACTTTTAGTTTTTGCTTTATTTTCAGTTTTTGCTTTATTTTTAGTTTTTGCTTTATTTTTAGTTTTTGCTTTATTTTCAGTTTCCGCTTTATTTTTAGTTTTACTTTTATTTTTTAGTTCTATTTTTATTTTTTTCTTTATTTTTAGTTCTCTTTTTAGTTCTCTTTTTTTCTTCTTTTTTTTTTCCCCCTTAACGCGTAATTCATATATAAATAAATTCACATATATTATACACGTGTGTATATACAGCAAAAAGTATATTGTTCACCTAAATTGTAGAATGGCACTAGTCCACACACACACACACACGCACGTCATATATACCTTAACAAATCATTGTGCACGAAACAAAGGAATTAAAAACAAGAAAAGAAAAAAAAAATTGTTAGAAAAATTTTATTACCAGGCCTAGCTTCCTTTATGCAGAAGGATCGAATCGAAGATAAAATGAAAAAAACGTAGTAAACCCAAAAATCCATCTCCCTTACTATTTTTTCTATATATATACATACATATATACATGTATATAAAAAGTTTCAAAAATGAACATTAAGCTACTTTTATTAAACACCAGAGAAGTGTGAAGAGGAGAGTAGCTCAATTTGTTTAACTATAAAAAGTAGAACGAAAGCAATCCATAGAAAAGGCAGAAAAAAAAAAAAAAAAAAAAATTTAAATGATATAAAATAAGGTAAGATAAAATAAGGTAAGATAAAATAAGGTAAGATAAAATAAGGAAAAATAAAATAAGGAAAAATAAAATATAATGATGAATAAATAAGACGATAAATTAATTAGAGAGGCAAAAGTACATAAACGCAAAGCTAGTGAAAGGCAAAATAAATCGAAGCGCCAAAAAAATTACGCGCAATGAAATAAGGTCTACCCAAATGAAACTTAAAAAAAAAAAAAATTATCATCTCCATAAATAATTTATGTAAACTTATGTATGTATATATATATATATATATATAAATACATTAATATCTTTTCTCCCATGCGTCAAAATCTTCCCTCTTGACAAATGAGATTCTTTGCAACTGATGATTACGCAAAAGCACGTTTATGTCAGCATGCATACCTGGCAAAGCCTCTATATACACGTTTACATATGTATATATATATATATATAAAAACCCCGCTTTTTATAATTGCTTCAAAAATTTTCTACAACTTATTTGCCACTGTAGAACCAATTTCCTCCCCTCGGTTTCAACGCAATCTCAAAGGATTTATCCTATCCATATAAATATACACCATGATGTATACATTTTTGCACTTGTTTATTATTGCTGCATGTGTGTTTATATGGCACAAAGCATTTCTGCATGCATTTTTCAATTCCATTTCGAAACTTAAAACAATGTTGTGACAAAAGAAAAAAAAAAAAAAAAAAAAAAAAAAAGTGTAAATAACTTTCAGGATATTCCAAAAAATGCATCTAATAATATTTCGCGGAACCAAATAAGTCTTTGAAATGTATAAATATATAAATGCTTTCGAAAAATGTAGAATGTTACAAATGAAATTGCACCTATTCACACATCTGTAATTGTGTAAGTATTTGCTTGATCGCATAATAGCCACACACGTAAATATCATAACGAGAAAAAGGCACTAGAAAAATAAAATTAAAAAAAAAAAAAAAAGCACACAACCATATACACATACATACAAAAGCATATACATATTGTAACAAAATGTGTAAACTATGATGGCACTGAGAAAAACAGAACAACAACAACAAAAAAAAAAAAAAAAAAAAAAAAAAAAAAAAAAAAAACACTTTAAAAACGAGAGATGTATAAGAACACAAATACATGTGTACCAGTCATATATATGCATACATGCACACCACACATATACGTTCACATGTAGTATTCACTATTTGAACTTAGCATATTCGCACGAATCTATGGGGGTTACTAAAATTGAATGATAACAAACACGCCGCCACCAGCAGCACCCGAATTTAACAATAACTAAATCAGAATAACACTCACTATAAGTGTTAAAAACAACAGTTTTAGACTTTTATTTTTGAAGATAAGAAAAAGAAATTTACCCTAAATACATAATTTTTCCTTTTTTTTTTTTTTCTCCCCCATTTCTTATTTCCCAAGTGAAAGGCAAAACTGCATGACTCTTTTTAGATGCAACGATGTGTGTGAGATGTTCTTTTCTTTCACACGTCCACACATACATGCATGAACCCTAAAAATTATTCATTCTTCGAATTAAACACTGTTCCATTGAAAGAATAATTACTACCTATGTCATCTGCCAATTGATTGCTTAACCCATTGGAAAACCCACCTTCACGAAAATTTTTGTCTTCATCATCTACATACTCAACAACATAAGCACTAATTCCATCGGCTGAACATGCACTAGGGCTCCTAGATCGCAATGCACATGTTGCATTGTTTCCTTCCTGCCCATTGTTCACGCTGCTCATCGTGTTCATATTGCTCATGCTGTTCATATTTTTTATACTGTTCATATTTTTTATGCTGTTCATGTTGCTTATACTGTTCATGTTGCTTATACTGTTCATGTTGCTTATACTGTTCATGTTGCTTAGGCTGTTCATGTTGCTTAGGCTGTTCATATTGCTTAGGCTCTTCACGTTGCTTATTTTCCCACCACACTGTAAAGCATTTGTTCGGACACAGGAATCGTAACGCCTTAAGCATTCACCATCCTTAAATGTATTGGTCGTATTATTTACATGATCATTTGTATTCCAATCAGTAAGTTCCTTCTTTTCGCACACAGGATTGCTACTAGAAAACGGATGAACACAATTTGATCTATTTGCTCCATCGCTATGTATATTATCATTATTACTATTAAAATGGGCGCTGTTTGGAAAATTCCTTAAAAAGGGTAAAATGGTTCCATCATTTCTTTCATTGTTATAATTTGAATTATACGTCGAATTAGGCGTTGTAAAATTGTTATTCAGTTGTCCATAATTGTTAGATGCACTAGCCGAATTTCTGGTATTATCCAACCATGTTTTCGTGTTCATACCTCCATAATCAACCTTTCCATTCGAATTAAACATATTCACATTCATCAGAATATCGTTTGAATAAAAATCATCCCTTTTTGGCATTACATCAAAGTTAGAAGTGTTTTTATCCACACTGCTATTTAAGCTTTTCGAAAAACTCAGGCCGTTTGGAGGGGTAGCATTTCCGGTCCGATTTGGGGTACCACTTCCGATCCCACTTCCGATCCCACTTCCGATCCCACTTCCGAACCCACTTCCGAACCCACTTCTGAACTCACTTCCAATCCCACTTCCAATCCCACTTCCGAACCCACTTCCGAACCCACTTCCAAGACCGCCCTCAGAACCCATGCGACGCCCATAAATGTGGTTATCCACGCTCATAGACCTCTCCAAGTTAAAGTTATTTCTGTTCACCAAATTGAATAATTCATTTCTTTTTATCGGATCGAAAGAATTTAAATCCAACTTCTTAGCATAAACTGAGCATCTGCCATTGTTCGTGCTGCTATCTACACTCTTAGGCACAACCGTATTGTGCGTAACAATATAGGGCTTATGAATAGGTATTTCTACTACCTTTTTACCCCCATATTTATATATAGGTTTCACTGTTTTTGAAACAGGTACAACGACAGGATGATCGATATATTTATTTATATAATAAGGCTTGTCTATAACTTTTATTTTTGGAATTTTTACCGGAACAGGTATATCAATAATTTTAGGTATAGTTTTAACTAATTCTACTGTTTGAATTTTAGGCACATATCTTATTTTTTCTATTGGAACATCACGATATTTTATAATAGGGACATAATTAGGCTCTTCAACAATTTTTTTAATAGGTACTTTAACTTTTCTAATTACTTCATTTGGGATTTCTACAATTTTTTTTACAGGTACAGTTTTTATTACTTCTCCTATGTCATCATAACTTTCATATCTGTTTACTACTTTTACTACAGGAATTTCAATATATTTAGGGATAATTTTTGTCTCAATTTTATTTTTATATATAATTCTCTCTTTTATTTCTGGCTTTTCTACAATTTTTACAACTTCTTGTAATTCAGGTACTTCTATAATTTTATCTTGAAAATGCAATTCAGGTACTTCGATTTTCGTTTCCACATATTTATTAATTGGTTTCTTAACAACCTTTTCAACTTCTTTAATTTCATATTTATTTATATATTTATTCACTTTATGCACAACTGGAACTTCTACTATCTTTTCCACAATTTCTACTTCTCTATATTTTGGAATTTTAATCGTGTCAAATCCTTCATGAACTATTCGTTTATCTATGACATGTGAACTGTGTGTAGCCCGAGAGTAATCTGTGTGTGATGTAACTTGTTCACAAACAGATACATCATTTTGTATTTTCTCATTATTTTTTATCTCATTTGGTTTCATTATATTGTTACTATTCATCATTACTTCTCCGTCTACACCACTACTATTCTTGAATGTAAAATCTGTGTAGTTTGAAAATTCTGCCGTTTTGGCTCTCATAACATCTCCACTATTCGGGAGGAAATTTGTATTGTTATTTGTATTGCTATTTATATTGCTATTTATATTGCTATTTGTATTGTTATTTGCATTACCATCTGTGTATACACTTATATTGTTTCCTCCTATGTTGTGCTCATTAGCAGAATCAATTAAAACATTATCATACACGTTCTTTCTGTTTACTAGTTGATCAAAATGAACCCCTCCTCTAAGAGATGCATCTACGCTAGCATTATTTGCATAATAAGGTACATTATCAGACAAATAAACATTCTCCTTATTCACATAATTCAACGACGTGGTCATTTTACCACTATCGTTACTACCTATAGGAGTATGACTTGTGTACATATTTGTAAAGTCCATTTCATTTGCTAAATTAGTATGGGTATAATACCTTTCATCTAGTGATTTATTGTATTCTTGTGCGCACTCAGCACTGTATTCTTCAATGTTCTTCGGATATACAAAAGGATAAGGATAAGTAGGGGTAGGAGACGTGTTCAAGTTCAGGTTTAAGTTCAATGCTTCACTGAAACCTAGTTTTTTTTGTTCATATGAATTTAAGTTATTTCCGTTCAGACCCCAATTACCCCTAGGATACCCTCCGAAATTGTCACTACCGTAAGTCCACAAATTGTTACTTCGATAATTTCCGATATTACCACTTTGACAAGTTCCGATATTGTTACTTGAATACGCATACAAGTTTTTCCTTTGAAAGGAGTAAAAATTATTCCCCTTGTTTTCCACGCTGTTACCAATATTCGGGCTCAAATTGTTAGTGGTAAGTAATTTCAAATCGCTACTCTTATTTGCATCCACATGGATATCATTATATGGGCTAATGCTATTCCCTTCTCTGAAAGTTAAACTAGTGTTTGTGTAAGGATATGAATTTTGAGGCGCGTTATAATAATCGAGTTTATGTGCATAAAAATCAACTTTGCTAGGTGGATAAAGATACGTAGGACCTTCGTTAATACTAGTATATATTTTATTCTCTGTGCTCGTTAAATTATCCTTAAAGGAAATTGTGCGAGACAAACTTTTAGAAGAATTATCAGCGTCTATATTTTCACCCCTGTTTAAGTTTTGTGGGATATTTTCTTCGATATTTAAGATACCTACGCCCTTTCTTTGTAATTTTTTCTTAATATTGTAGTCCTGATTATTGATTGGGGAACTTTCAACTATGACACTCTCGCTCTTGCTTGAAATTTTATTTTCATCTAAACGTATGCTTCCTCTTTTATATTTTCCTGCTGATGTGCCACTGTGTGCCTTCGTGTCGTTTGCTTTATCTAATACGTTCACTTTGTTCAACTTATTTCGTTGATTCTTCTTATTTACCTTACTAGAACCCCCTTTGGACTGTGCCTTTTGGTCACATATAAACGAATCTGTGTTATTAGCATCTAACGTTCTTGGAATATTTGTCTTTTCAGATATATTCAAGCTGACGTTGCTGCTGGTGTTTGATCCTCCTTCTCTATCTTCAGAAGAATCCTATAAAAAGTAATAAAAACGTGCCGTTATATATATATATATATATGTGTGTGTTTAATTCATTTCGTTTCATGTCTGTGAAGAAATATGTACAATGAGCACTCAAAATGATACTTAAATTTTTTCATTATTACACAAAATTTGGTGGACGTCACCGAGTCTTTGGATAGTTTTTTTTCTAACAATATCCTGCTCTACAAAAAAGAAAAAAAAAAAAAAAAATTAAAATATAGCAAAAAAAAAAATAAAATAAAATAATACTATCAATAGGAATAATACGAAAACCACAATGATCAAATAAATAAATCGTAAGCACAGTCAAATGCGCTTCAAATATATTTGCCCATTTTTTTTCCAAAAAAATCAGATTAACACTTGGGGAAAAAATAAAAAAAAAGAATTTTTTACTTGTTCTCGCTTTGTTCTATCAATCTTTGAAGTACTTTTCAACATATTGATAAAATTTTTACTACTTAGCAATTTTTTAAATGTCTAAAAGTGCAATCAATGTGTACATATATATACATGGAGGCATACATATATACATACACACATACATGTATATTTTTATGCCAGTAGAATTCTCCCCAATTCTGAAAACGTTGTAGATATTTTTTTTTTTTTTTTTTTTTCTTTTATTCTATCACTATTTTTTAGTATATTTATAGGATACAACGAATTGGTTACAAGAAAGACATACGATAAATGTGCACACACATATACTTCACATTAAGAACACGGAGATATGTGTATAATATATATAATGTTTCTATAATGAGAGATAGTAAATAAAAAGTGGAAACAAAATAACATGTATAAGGGAAAAAAAGAAAAAAAAAATGTGAAAAAAATATATGTAGAATAATAAAATAACCCCTTTTTACAAAATGTTCTCTTATAAATGTGGTTAAAATAAAAACAAACAAAATAGATAAAAGAATATATAAAACAAGTGGAAAGGTTGTAAAAGTAAAAATTGTGTTGCCTTATTATATGTTTTTTTTTTTTTTTTTTTTTTTTTTTTTTTTTTTTTTTTTTTTTTTTTTTTTTTTTTTTTTTAATTAAAATTTTCAAAAAAAAAAAAAAAAAAAAAAAAAAAAAAAAAAAAAAAATAAAAAAAAAAAAAAAAAAAATTATAAAATTTTAAAAAAAAAAAAAAAAAAAAAAAAAAAAAAACATTCAGAAAACTAACCTTTAATTCATAAAAAATATTGAATTAACATAAAATAGGCACAAGTCAAGACTAATTAAATTTTAAACTTTTCCAGTTACCTGCTTACATATATACAAATTTCTTTTTTTTTTTTTTTTTTTTAATGTTTTACGCTTGTACAAAGAAAAAAATATATAAATTTGTTCCTAAATTATATGAACAGTTCATGAGATTTTTATTTAGTATACATTTATATATATACATGTATATGTTTGTAAAAAAAGATAAAAAAAAAAAAAATAACTGTACAAAAAATTTGGCAATTTTCAATAAATATTCGAAAAATAAACAAAATTTTTTGTTCTGTTGTAAATAAAAAAAAAAAAAAAGAAAGAAAAATCGGTTATAAACAGCAATTTTATGGTACCGGAAAATTTGCAGACATCCCGTTGTTTACGACAGAAAAGTTTGTAGAACAAATGTAATTTTAAAGAAAATAAAATTAACTAAAAAATGCGGAAAATGTCATTGTAAAAAGTATATTAAGAAGTGTGCAAGGAAAAATTAAAATAAAAACAAAAATAAAAAATAAAATAAAATAAAATAAAGCAAAATAGAACAAAGTAAAACAGAACAAAGTAAAATAGAACAAAGTAAAATAAAATAAAATAAAGTGGAATAAAATAACGCGAAATAAAATAGAGCAAAATAAATAAGGTAAAAATGTCAAAAGTGAGGGATGAAAAATGAGAAGTAAAACGTGAAAAGCAAAGAGGAAAAGAGAATTGTAATCATTTTAGGTTTATACCTATCTTTACCCCTATTCTGTCCTATGTACTTTTTTTATGTTTAAATAGAATAATTAAATTAGGTGTAAATTCGGGTATATATTGTGCCTATATATATATATATATATATGTACCTAATGGAGAAAAAAAATTCCTCATTTGAATATGTTAAATAGTTCCCATACTGTTCCTACAAAAAAAGTAAACAGTCGTCTCCATCCGTGTACAAATCGTGTACATATATATAATATGTATATATATATATGCATGTGTGCACACAAAAATGTATTTTTCCTCATACTCTTCCCCTAAAATTTTTAATTTCATGATCTCCCTTCAGTTTCTAATCGATTCCTATTCCAGAACATTGCATTGGTTTTTTTTCTCAATGATTATTTTTTCCATCAAAATTTGACAGAAAAAATAAATGTACTTTTAAAAATATTTTCATAAAAATTTTTTTACCATTATCTCTTTCTAAACATTCTTATTCGTTAATTTTGTATAGGATAAGCTTTTTGCATTACATTACAACATCATGAAAAATTATATTTACTTGTTCTTTGTAAATGAAAAAAAAAAAAAAAACAATTCCATGTTACCGCCTCTTCAGCAAAAATTTAAATATAACTTACCGTATGTTGTGTGTTAATAATCCACTGCATAGGTGAATTTTTACACACATATTTGCTAAACAGAAATATATATATATATATTCTAAATCGGTTAAATCATCAAATGGTTAACAAATTGAACACTTCCAACGACCTACCTTGCCACAAAAGCAATGTGCACACTGTATATTCCTTCTTAAAAGAAGTCAACATATTTAAGAAGGAAAATGTCTTGCATATTTTCCCCTATAAATAATTTTTTTTTCTTTTCGTTTTTTTATTCAATCACTTAAAATTTCTTTGAGACTACATCTTTTCTAAACAATATACATAAAATTGTAGAAGTAAAAGACATTAATTTCAACTAAACCAGTGTGCATAAGTAGACAAGCACACATTAACATATGTGCATGCACCACTGAAGGATAAAAAAAATGAAAACAAAATAAAGTAAAACAAGACAAAATAAAACTAAACAAAATAAAATAGAATAAAACTAAACAAAATAAAATAGAATAAAACTAAACAAAATAAAACTTTTTTCTCTAGAATATCCCTCACAACAACTTCATGCTATGCTAATTGTGCAAATGTCATTCTCTGAAACATTTGCTTTACGTGAAGTGAAAGTTAAAAAAAAAAAAAAAATCAGCAAACAGACAAAAAAATAAACAAAGAAGCAAGCAACAAGGGTGATGAGTATATACGATGAGAAAACGTCCCATTTTTTTTAGCGACCAAACGGATTCTCACAGGTTAGTAATATTGTTGTTTTATTTTATAATTTTATTTCACTTTGTTTTATTATTTTATTATGATTTTTTATTTTTTATTTTTTTTTATTTTATTTTATTATTTTATAATTTTATTATTAGTATTTTTTTCTTCCTTATTTTATTTTATTATTTTATAATTTTATTATTATTATTTTTTTCTTCTTTATTTTATTTTTTTTTTTAAATCGGTTCTTTCGTTTTGTAGTTTTTATCGAAACAAGTTAACAACCAAGCTCATATATCAAATGAAAAAAAAAAAAAATTCTAATATTTATCCCCCATTGTAAAACAAGCACTACTTTAATATTTTTTTTCTTTTTCCTTTAAATATTAGAGTTGTATAAACTATTCAAAAGTGTGCATAATATATGTGTATATAAACGTGTAAAAATACATATATTTATATGCATGTACGTCTGGGGATATGCACATGCATGTAGGTACATATATACAAAACATTTATATCTGGCAGCATGTTAAAACATGCACATTTCTGAAATGGTTAAAAAAAAAAAAAAAAAAAAAAAAAAAACTGTCGCATTAACAAAAACAATTAGAGAGATGAGACAAACTAATAAAAATAATTTGTCCAAACAAGTTACATCTGCAACAATGATCTCTCGACGGCTTTATTCCACTCGGTAATTTTTTTTTTTCTGTTTTTTTCATCCATTTTTGAATTAAATGTAAAATCGCTATTTCGTATTAAGAGTTTAACAGAATCTAAATCGTTCCATATTTTTTTCCCCAAACCAGCCAATACAGCAGCACCTAAAGCTGTTACTTCTGCATGTGTAGAAACTTCAATTCTTGTATTTATTATGTCAGAATTAAATTGCATAAATGCTTTATTTTTAGTCATTCCTCCATCACATCTTAAGACATGTAACATTTCTATTCCCATGTCTGAAATTAATGATCCTACAATTTCATTTAATTGAAAAACAATGCCTTCTAAGAGGGATCTAACAATGTGTTCCTTTCCAGTGTTAAATGTCATACCTGTTATACATGCCCTTGCATCTGATCTCCATCTGGGTGCATATAAGCCACTAAAAGCTGGGACAAATACAACACCACCAGTATTTTCACAATTTTCCATAATATAGCTAGTTTCACTTGGATGTGAAATTAAATTATTTTTTAAAAGCCATGATACACCAGAACCTGCTGTACCTATAGAACCTTCCAGAGCATATTTCGCTTTATCATTTTCATTCAATTTATAACACACTGTAGTAATTAAACCGCAAGACGAATATACAACTTTATTTCCTGTATTTATTAATAAAAAAACTCCTGTACCATATGTACATTTCGCTTCTCCTTCATCATATATAGCTTGGCCAATACATGCACTTTGCTGATCTCCAATACAACCAGTAATTGGTATATTAGCATAATCTGGTACTTGCTCAGATTTTACTGAACCGAAATTAAAAGTGTTATGTTTAATTTCTGGTAAAACTGACATATTTGTAATACCAAACATTTTACACAAATTTTCATCCCACGTTAATGTATTAATATCCATCAAAAGGGTTCTAGATGCATTTGTTACATCTGTGTAACAATTTCCTTTCGTTAAATTGTATATTATCCATGTGTTTATATTTCCAATTACCACTGTACCATCATCTACCTTTTTCTTAATTTCTGGATTGTTTTGAATTAGCCATAAAATTTTAAAAGCGCTAAAATATGTGTTAAAATAGGTTCCTGTTTTTTTCTGGAAATCATCATTATTATACTTTTTTGAAAACTCCGAAACTGTATCTTCCACTCTCGTATCTAACCATACAATGGCATTATATAGCGGTTTTCCTGTTATTTTATCCCATATGATTACAGTTTCTCTTTGATTCGTAATACCTATACATGTGATTGTTACATCTTTGTGCTTTTCTTTTAAACTTTTTAAACCCTCGTTCATAAGTGTGTATAAGTTATTCATAATTTCAATCGGGTTATGTTCATACCACCCTGGTTTAAAGCATTTCTGCTCATGGTTCATGCTGTTCATGTGCAGCACTTTTAATTCCTCATCGAAAAATATCAATTTCGTTGACTGGGTACTTTGGTCGATACTTAATATAACATTCATTTTCTCTTCTTTGCTTCGTTGTCTCTTTGCTTCGTTGTCTCTTTCCTTTTTTGTCTCTTCCCTTTTTTGCCTTTTCCCTTTTTCGAAAGTGTGTAATTCTTAGTTTTATTTACGCAAATTGCATGTAAAAAGGAGGATCGATCTGATGAGGAGATAAAAAAAAAGAAAAAAAAAAAATTCCAAGTTACCGTTTCTAAAGTGTTGTTTTAACACTTTGTACAAAAAAACTGTTTCAATATGTGAGGATGCCAAAAACATGAAAAAATAGCGAGTGACAAAGTGTGCTGAAAAAATAAAAGTTTTGAATGTATTCGTGGTATATTTATGCCTGAAAAAAAAAAAAAAAAAAAAAAAAAAATCTCATAGCTTTGGTAGGAGTATTTTCCAGAATATTCGTTAGGCAGTTTTAATTTAATAGGCAATCTTGAATTTGTTATAATGTTGTGTATTTGAAACAATTTCTCAATTTTTGTCGTTTTTTTTTTTTTTTTTTTTTTAACGCATAATTAGAAATGAATTGGTGTATAGGGCATATTTACAAAATTTGTTTAAGGTGTTTTCCATGTCACGCACAAAAAGGGGATCATAATTATCCTCGCATTTATTCATATATGTACACTTTATTTTTATTTTATTTTTTATAGTCACCACTACCCTTAGAAGAAGACCGTACATTTTGGGTTCTCGTAGGGATGCAATAAAGCAGAAATTCAAGCATGTGTTTGTGTATGTGTTTGTGCACGTTTTTTATACACGTATTTACACAAGTGCTGACCGATGGATCTACACCCGTTATTTTTTTATTTTATTTTTTGAATAAGATCATTTTTAACCTCTGCTCTTCTTGGAGATTAAGGGACGCAAATTAAAAGACAATTTTTCAATTTGGAAAAAAAAAAAAAACCACACTAGTGTACATATGTACCCGTATTTACGTATGTATATATTATATATGTATATATTTTATATGTATATATTATATATGTATATATTATATATGTATATATTATATATGTATATATTATATATGTATATATTTTATATGTATATATTTATACACACGCACAACATGAAAGAGACTGTATCAATTCACGTGAGATACACCTCTTAACTTATGACACCGGTACGTGGCTCAACATCTCATTTCCACGTCATTAAATTTCCCCTTTTAAGTTTCATGATCGGTTAAATCAGGAAATGAATCATTTCATCTTTCACACCACATTTCAACTTTAGCAATCACTTCCCCATTTGGTGTACTAATTTAATTCCTTCACTTTTATAGTTTGATATGCCAACAGAATAAGTTTGGGGTCTGATATGCTTCGATGAACCGATTTGTCAAGCTTTATTTCATTTCACCTTATTTTGCCATATTTTGCCATATTTTGCCTTTTTTTTTTACCATTCTTCGCCATATTGTGCCTTATTTTACCTTTCCGATGAACCTTCTTTTATCAAGTCAGTGTCTCAACATGGAGAAAAATACATGCACGCATTTACTAAGAACAGAGAACAATATGTACTTAGCAATCATCCCTTATATCCCCTTTAAAATAGTTTTTTCATAACAGAAAATCTAGTGTACATATAAAATGTAATCCTTTTTATTTTTTTTTTTTTTTTTTTCTACACGTTACCTCTGCTTGTGAAGTAGAATTCGGAGGGTCTGCTGACTCGACATATATTGGCGAATTTCATTTATGTATTTGAGTCCAAGTGGGGTGAGGGGTATACATTTGTGTGCCTTTAATCTTCCCACTAATTTTCAACATAAAAAATTCCACTACAAATTAAAGAGACCATGTCAAACGAATACCTCCATACTCAAAGCAACATTTTTTTTGTGTAGACAAAAAATAAAATTTCCTTGTAAAAAGGAGGTTTAACTATATACATATACATATATATATATATATATATATATATATATATATATATATATATATATAGATATATAGATATATAGATTTCATTCCCAAGACGCCACATACCAGTGCTTATTTTGCAATGCACACGGCAGTTTTATAATGACATGTTTTTATATTTTTATGTATTTTTGTATTTAGTTTTTTTCATTCCATCATGTGTACATAAAGATGTGCAGTACATACACATATATATAAATATATACACAAACATAAGTGATCGTTTTAAAGTTTTTTCTTTCCTTTTTTTTTTTTTTTTTTTTTTTTATAAATCCATTTTAATGATACCTATTTTACATTAACAATCAAAAAATAACACGGGAATATTTTTTAAAAAAAAAAAAAAAAAAAAAAAAAAAGCATGCATATTTTATAACACCACTTACTTTACGGTCTTTTTTTCTTGTTCTTTTTATTAATTTGCTGTTTAGATATATTTAATTTTATCAATTTTTTTAACGTAATTTTAAATGGGAGTTCCTTCTCCTTTTCTGCATTCGTCAAAAGAGATTTCTTCGCAGGTTTCGTTATCTCTTTAGCAATTATTTGTATGTGACATGGTGAAGACATAAAAGGATTAATTCGACCATGAGCTTTAAACGTTCTTCTTCGTCCTGCACGAGCTCTATTAACCATCACATGGATTAATCTCAATTTGCTTACTTCCAAATTTCTTGCCTATTCATCAAAGGGAAATATACGGAAAAAAAAAAAAAAAAAAAAAAAAAAAAAGAAATAGTATAAAATGGGGTCGAGAAAAAAGGAAAATAACAAAAAACGGGAGGAAAGAATGAAAAAATAATAATAAAGGTATCATCTTCTTTGTCTCTTTAAAACTTGAAAAATGCAATTAATGCCAATACTTTTATTGCCCTATAGGTCTACACATATGAACGGGCTTATATACATATATATATGTACACAACACAGTAACGTACAAATTTTCTACAAACAATCTGCACAGAAAAAATCAAGCAAAAGGACGTTCCATACTTATACCATGTGCATTTTTTTTTTAACATGTTGTAATAGAAGTAAAACATAAAAATGTATAAAAGTATTCACTATTATATATTGACAAAAAAAAAAAAAAAAAAAAAAAAAAAAAAAAAAAGGGGGAGAGAGGAGAGGTGACAAAAAATAAATGACAGTATGTATATCTTCCTGTTTACACAAATATGCACACTTTTCATATTTTCATACTTTCATATTTTCGTGTATTTTTTTTTTTTTTTTTTTCAGTCAAATGCCTCAAATAATCATTCTTTAAAAATAAAGAAAGTTATTCATTACGAATTAATAAATACATAAAACATGTACTTAAAAATGGTAATAAATTATCTTTATTTTTTCATACTCGTCATCGTATCATCATTAAAAAAAAAAAAAAAAAAAAAAAAAAAAAATTAAAATAACAAAAAATTGGACAGGAGTGGAGGAAATAAAAATGGAGAATCAGAATAGAATGAAAATGAAACGTGACAAATATAGTCCTTTGTTCGTTCTAGGTAAACGAAAAGGTTGGCAAAAAATTATTACCTCTGCATTGGCTTGTACATTATCCAAAACATTTAAAAGAAATTTACATGATTTTGTTGGCCATCTTCCTTGGGTATGTCCAAATTCTTTTGCTTGATTTGTTCTTCCTACACCTCCATTATACCTACGAAATGGCACACACCTTTTTTTTTCAATAACATCATTCAAATACTTTTTTGCGTCCAACAATTTCATTCTTCTTATAGCCCTCGCAGTTTCATATGTATTTTTGAAATGGACCCTTAAATCCATACCTGCCCCTTTGGCACCTGAAAATGGAGAAAAAAAAAAAAAAAAAAAAAAGGGAATAAAATTTGCGAATAAATTTGGTAATGTGAAAACAAATCTACATTTTATAAACAAAAAGAGTGGGTGTGAGGGGGGAGATATACGATTATATCAACATTTCCACAATTTTCCACTCAAATTTATGTGCATTTTTAAGCAACGTCAAATACTTGAGTAGCACACTGAAAGCAAGAAAAAAAAACAAAAAAAAAAAGCGCTACTGAGCAGTTAGCCTTATTTTATTTTTTCTTCTTTCTTTCTTACATTTCCCAAGGTCCCTCAACTTTTTGGCATATTTAACCATTTCAGAAAAATTGTAAATTCAAAGCAAAAAGGAATTTTTAAAAAGTGTTCAAAGATGGAATATGTTTTTATATATATATTACATATATAATAATATATATATATGTATTTTTTTTTTTTTATTGCTTTTACATATTTTCTTAATTATTTATCCTTGCGGAAGAAATAACTACATAAATCAAAGTTCCATTCTCAATTAAAATTCGAAGTAAAAAATTTTAACTGTTCTTTTATTTAAAGTTTTTTAAATAAAAGGATATTTATTTTATTTTATTTTATTTTTTTTTTTTTGGAGAGTAGCATAAAATTAAACGTAAATTTTTTATCACTTATATTTATAGGAGGATAACAATTATAATATGCTCACACTATAACCCAATAAAAATGACACATAAATTGTAATCTCTCAAGATTGTAATAACCAATAAAAAGCTTGAAATTTACTGATAATTGTGCATATGTCGAAGTGTTCAAAATATAAAATCTAGCGCTACTTCAAATTATGCATTTTTTTTTTTTTTTTTCTTTGTGCACAAATATTTGTTACTCATTTAAATGTGCGAACATGAAAAAAAAAAAAAGGTAAAAAAAAAAAAAAAAAGAGGAACACTAAAAAACAGAAGCATGTTTTTCTTTATCTAATATATATGTAACACACATGAAATTAGGGATGGGCGTGAGGAAAAGTTGTCCTTTTAGAATTATTTCTATACATTTTCGTCGTGCATATATAAGTCGCTTTTAGTTATATAATAATATGATTGATACCCTCCCATACCGACTTGGATAGGAGGGATTATACATAAAATATAAATAAAATGCACATATAAAAAACAACGTTACCTGAGCAATATTATATGTGATACATTTAAGAATATATTTAATGGTGATAGTGGGTTTGCTTAAATGTTTCGTAAATATTATATGTAAAATGTATTATATGCTAACAATTTTTTTTTTCCCCATACCCGCTGGATATCTGAGGTAAGGAAGGGGGAGAGAGAGAGAGAGCAAAGGGTTCGCCGCACTTTTTTTTTTTTTTTTTTTTTTTATGGGGGAATTTTTATCTTGTAAAAGTTGTGTATCATTTTATTTTCTCTAAAACGTTATCAAATACATTGTTTTGAGCATATCTATGTATATACCTTTAAAAAAAAAAAAAAAAAAAAAAAAAAAACACCACTATACTATTACACTATCAGAACAAAATGAGAAATATTATCCATATGAGGCTCCATCCATCCTTTCGCGCACTTTTGTGGGTTATACTTTATATATACATATATATATGTGTGATTTTTCCCCTATGCTTAATATTCACAATATTCCGTTTCTTGTATTGCATTTTATGTTTGAATATAATCTTGTTCCTAGAAAATCAATTGTTCAAAATAACTTTTCTGTTCCCCCGTACAACCAATGCTTATAGAGAAGAAATATATTACAAAAAAAAAAAAAAAAAAAAACTAGTTTCCAAAATTCAAAACGGGAAAAGTGGAAATGCGCAAGTTTTATAAAGACGGGCATATATAAAATTAAAGGTTTGCTCAATAAACCAAATGGGATTAAACATAATAATTCTACATATTGGGGGAAACAAAATAAAAATATGTTTGAGAAAATATGTTTGAGAAAATATGTTTGAGAAAATATGTTTGAGAAAATATAATTGAGTAAATATTTCATACACTTAATAAGACAAAAAACATTTCTTGCAGTTCTGCTTTTACGAATACAAAATTTTCCAGGTATTAGCAAAAGAAATTCGCACAAAACTCACATATAGGTACATCACCAAACGTTTATGGGGTGAATTTGTATATATATATCCAAATTGTTATGAACTCTTTTTTTTTTTTTTTTCTTCTTTTTTTTCATGTGGTCGATCACAAATAATTCTGGAGAATACACAGCCTACAAGGGGGGTGACATCAATTCCTTATATGTCAGATTTCACACAGTGGTACACATTTTTTTTTTTTTTTTTCTTTGTCATTACATGTCATTATTGTTCAGACAAAAATAGTATTCTCCAATGAGTCATATTTATGTGTTAGTTCCTACAGGTCATACATATATATATATATATATATATATATATATATATACAAAATAAATAAAATAATAAGACCTCATTAAGAAAGGCGCAAAATTTGCATGTGTCGTTTAGCCGTGTTACACATATATATGCTATGACCATTTTGCATGGAATATTTATTTAATTAAACAAACACGCTGAGAAAGGGACACCTTTTGATCTTATGTGTATGAAAACCTATTAATTTTCTAACCATTATTTTTTTTTTTTTTTTTTTTTTTTCCCAAACATGTCAAAATAGTTTGTAGTTCCAAAAATAGCTCATACGAAACACACATGCCTATTTATATGTACGTATATACATACGAACATGTGAGCGAATTAGAAGAGAATTATTTCTCTATTCACATTTACAAAGTTGTCACACCTATTTGTTAAGCCTACAACATGTCTCTCAGCGTCGTTGGGACAATTAATTATTCAGGAGTAAAGACCTTGAGAGTAATCTCCCCCATCACATACGCACCATCATAAACTTTAGGACGCATTAATAAAAATGAATAAACATGCATAAACATTCAATTTTGGCACCATAAAAAAAAAAAAAAAAAATGACCCCCTAAGCTCATGCAATCCATATGTATAGAGAGAAATGAACAAAAAAAATATGCCCATCACACACAGTTATGATTCTTAAATTCTTGAAATTTGACAAACCTCTTTTGCGATAATATAAATGATGTTTATGCTGAAATGAAAAAGTTTATAGTGATGAATTAAAAAGCTGAATAATAGAAAATGTAATAATTGTACGTTGTTCGTCACATGGTAAGGACACTACGCTCTCTCCCTACACTCACCCACATCTTAACATTCAAGCATTTCAAAATTTATACTCTTGTTTCAAAAAGAGAGTAATGAACTGTGCAAGAGATGGTGTTCCTCCTTAAAGTTGTTCTCAAGGAAACGCACAGAGACAAATGAAAAATGAATGTCGAAAAAATGTGGGAAGAATGTGCCATAAATGCATACGAAAATGTGGCGTGTCATAAATGCACAAGAAAATGTGGCCTGCCAAAAATGCATAAGAAAATGTGACCTGCCATAAATGCACAAGAAAATGTGGCCTGCCAGAAATGCATAAGAAAATGCGACCTGCCATAAATGCAGAAAGCAATACGAAATCGTGCCGTGGGAACGAAACATAAAAGGTAGTAAAAATAAAATAATAAAAACAAAATAAAGGTTGGTAACACTCTCACTTAAACGTTTTAAAAACTTAAATACTTTTCCATATATAAATGCATATATGTGCGAGTGACTAACAGCAACCTGTTTCCTATACGCACGAATAATTTTTCCCTCCTCTGAATACCTACGAGTTAAAATAGTCATAAATGTATAACACCATGATGTTGTAAAATCTTCATTTTTCTCTCCCTTTTTTTGGCATATTCTACTTCGCTAAACCACAAACGCAGGTGCTCACACACATATTATATATAAACAAGTATTCTTATAAATGAGCGAATGAATGCACAAATGAAGGTACAAAAAAATGTACAAATGAATGCACAAACGAATGTACAAATGAATGCACAATTGAATGCACAAACGAATGCACAATTGAATGTACAAATGAATTCACAAATGAATTCACAAATGAATGCACAAATGAATGCACAAATGAATGTACAAATTAATGCACAAGTAAAGATGCGGGTGAACAACTGCATTAATTTATGCCCTCCTTTGCGCAATAATTTAACGCACACATGCACTTGTTGCTCATTGCGTTACATGTTACATATTACATTTTTTTTTTTTTTTTTTTTCTTTGTACTCTCAACAGAGCATTTGTGAATTAAGGATTCAAATGAAACATCAATTTTCTTCGAACAGAAAATCCCATAGAAAAAATATGCACAGAATGGTCCAGAATTTTCTATTCCTTCACTCTACGTTTTTTTGCCTGAACAAAAAAAAAAAAAAAAAAAAATGCATATACATATGTACATATATATGTTTATATATATACCTAAAAATATGCATGTTCATAATTTTTTTTTCTATTTTGTCATTTTTTTGTGCCTTCTTTTCCTTTTTTTTTTTTTTTTTTTTTTTTTTCTCTCCATTATATTATTTACAAGAATTAATGACGCCGAAGCACCTAACAGTTTACTGCTAAAGAATTGTACATTTTCTACTTTTATTTCACATCACGTGTATGTTTATATTATAATATACACATGTGTACTTTTCCCTTGTTTTACGAGTTTATTTCCCACATGCCGTCCACTTGGAAAGGGAGTTAAAATTACGCAAAGCAAAATTTCAAGGATGACATGTGGCTAGCTGTTAAAAAAAAAAAAAAAAACAATCCCCACAGTTTTGTGTATAAAAGCGAAATGTTTACTGTAGGATAATGGGCCTTAGGAAAAACAAGATTTAATTTTAATAGTTTAACGTTTACTTATGTAAGAACCTTTTGTTTACATATCAAGCATGATTTAAACTTGGTTCGAAATGACATTTTGTGCTTCATCAAGATATGCCATAACGGATAGTAGTATGGGCATTTAAAGTAAAAGGAATAGCAGAAATAACAAAATAGAATGAAACGTAAGTAGAATAAAAAGAGACAGAATAAAAACAAATAGAACAAAAAAAAAAAAAAAAAAAAAAAAAAAAAAAAAACAAAAAAAAAAAAAAAAAAAAAAAAAAAAAAAAAAAAAAAAAAAAAAAAAAAAAAAAAATAGAACAAAAAGAAACAGAATAAAAAGAAACAGAATAAAAAGAAACAGAATAAAAACAAATTGAACAAAAATAGAATAAAAACAAAGTCCAATAAAGAGCAAGTAGAGGAAAGGAAACCAAGCACGAGTTGCAGCATAACCAAAGCTAGTTAAAACCAAGGGGGACGTGAATTAAAAAAAAAGTCAACACTAGAGAGAAGGAACTAAAATACGAATTAGGAATATGAGCGAGCAATGCGTCCTAATACCGGGAGAATTTGGAGTGTTCGTGCAGCTCTTCATCGGCTTTGTATCCATGGGAATATTATTAACAAAATATGCTTTTGAAAAACCCAGAAGAACCTTTATTAAATTTTTAAAAGATGTAATTGTCATCATATGTGGATCTATAGTATTACATATGACAAACATATTTACATGCATATTCATTTCCCGATATCATATATTGTCATATTTATACAAAATTGATATGGACGAATGTTCCATATATTTTATTCAAATAATAATTGATGCAACATTAGGTTTATATGTAGAATATAAATTATTTGCTTTATTTAAATTTATGAAATTTAGAAAGGAATATTTATATAACAATTCCACACCAACTATATATAAACCGGTTGATGCATTATCACATTATTCTTCTTTTATCAATTTTTCAAATAATAAGGATGAAAAAAAATTGAAAGATCACAAAAACATAAGCAATAATAAAATAAATCAGAATTTTCATCCAAACTCGTTAAGCTTAAATAATGAACACATAGAACAAAAAAATTCCAATGCATCTAACATAAATCAATCGAAAAATATATCGACCCAATCTGATTCTAACAATTTGGAAACGTTTAATATTAGTAACACATACACAACGGATAATGCTTTGTATAATTTTGCATCCCAGGAAAGTATTGGAAATCAACTTATTACATCCCATAGTGCCACCGAGAAAACATTAGAAATTGGATCAACTAGAACGAATGAGATAAACAACATTAGTAAATACCAAGAGGGAGTAGTAAGAAAAGGTGATAAGTTTCACGAAACACACAAATGTGATACGTATGAAAAAGAGGATGAAAATGTTAATAACGATATTGACATTGACAATATTAGTGCGAAAAGGAATGAACATAACACGTATGAAGAATGCAACCAATATGATAAGTATAAAAAATATTATAATAGTAATTCCCAAGATTACAAAAATGAATTAAAATTATTAACAGACGAAACACCTAATGAAGAAGTATGTATTCAGTTAAATGAAAATAATGAAAATAATAAAGAAACTACAGTTATATATGAAAACAAAAATTCAGATATGTACAAAAAAATTGAAGAAAGCTATATGGATCTTGATTTATTTCAAAATATTTTAATATGGCTTTCTGTAGTCATAACGGCAAAGTGTATTTCTTTTCTTATTTTTTTTTTATTTTCCCCTTTTTTTAACATGTTTGTATTGGGAACAATAGCCAATATTACTGATATGAGATACAAACTTCTCGTAGTGATGGTCATTTTGCCTTTTTGTTTTAACTTCATTATATATTTTTATACCGATAGTATAGTTAAATCCAAGCATACGTGTAGAAGTGTAAATAACGACAAGATATAGTTTTTTTTTTTTGGCTCTCACGTCCGCTAAATTCTTTTACTTATACAACAAGCATATTCGTTGCGTCCTTTTGTTCTGTTTTTTTTTTTTTTTTTGTTCCGTTCTTTTGTTACAACCATTTGGGTGTTGTTTTAATCTACAACACGTCATCTTTGATGTAAAATTTTCGTTTCTTATAAAACATATTAACACTTTTTATCATATTTAGATGTGTAACCAGAATATACATCTATTCGTTTGTTCGTTCCTTCATTTGATATTCCTTTTTTTTTTTTTTTTTTTTTTTTTTAACGTATGCTTTTTTTTTTTTTGTACCCCTTCCCCCTAATAATGCATATTTTGAATGCAGAAAAAAACTTATGTTTTAAAATTCTCCAACATGTAGTTATCATTCCTTTTTTTTTTTTTTTTTTTAAAAGTATTAAGCACAAATTACTTTTAAAAATTAATTGAATGAATCTTAGCAGTTTTTCATAAAAAGGGAGGAAAGATATTCACACATATGCAACCGGGGTAGCCGTGCATGTACACATATACACCATTTGCTATTCTTGCAGAATGAGTAATATGTATAAGAAGTATTTTCCCAAAAAAAAAAAAAAAATAAAATAACAGTTTATTTAGGGAACAAAAAAAAAAAAAAAAAAAAAAAAAAAATTGTACCGCATGCGTAAAACCATTTTAATATACACATTAAAAAACACATCTATTGGTACACTGCAAAAATAACAAAAAAAAAAAAAAAAAAAAAAAAAGCGAAACCAGACTAGGCAAAATAAGACAAGGCAAGCAAAACCGAGCGAAGCCAAGAAAAATCTAGCGAAACCAAATCAGGAGTCCAAAAATTCGCTGACATTCTGAATATTTTCAGACTCTGTGTCCTCCGTCGCATCGCTGTATGAACTGTTCACGTAAATATTGTGCGTAATTATATTTTCAATTATGTTTCGATAATTCTGTTTATTTCTCTCCTTTTCTTCCCTAGCTTTAAAATAATTATGCACAGCTTTAAAAAAAAAGTACGTAATGAAAATTATAATACTTAAAATGAAGAGAAACAAAAACCAATTAACATATTTCTCCTTCTTCGTTAATCTATACACACCTCCTTGTAACACTTCCCTAATAATTTCAACCTTATATGGATTTCCCCCAAATTCATCAAAAACGATAATAACATTTGTTCCTTCGATTAACCAGTCTGTTGGTATTCTCATATATCTGGTTAATGGAATGCTAATTAAATTTTCATTTGTTAGAATTTTCTTTTTCTTTTCCTTTTTCATTTTTTTTTTTTTTTTTAATTTTTGTTCTTCATTTATTTCATTTTCGTAACTTTCCTTGTCATCAGTTACCCAAAAACTTCCTAACATGTGGTTATTAATGTAGACAAATCCTCTACTCAATCCATCAATTTCTTTTAATTTTTCATCATACACAGATAATTTTAGCGAATATTTAGATCTTATATAATCTACATTTTTTATAAAATACAGTAAGGTGTACCAAGTTAATGGAGAATTTATATTATTCTCATTCACCTTGCTAAATTTATTTAAATGCTTAAATATACCCGTTTTGCAATAATATTTAATTTTGTTAAAAAAAAAAGAAAAAAATCCAGACGAGCACATTTTTAAAAATGAATTGGTTATACTTTTCATATTTGTTTTTTTATTATCCATTAATGATTCAAAGTTCACATTATTGTGATCCCATTTATCACTTACGTTCTTTGATACATCATCCCTCTCATCATTTTGTCTGTTTTCTACCTTGTTCATTAAATGTGGTTTTATATCATTATAATCAAACATATTGTACAATTTTTTATATATTTCTACATTTTTTTCATTTTTTATTATTTCCCCATGCAAACCAACACAATTAAACAAATCGTATTCATTCCTTGTAACAATAAATATGAAAGTGTTTGTGCTTTCTGCATCATAATAATTATGTACATTACGTGCATTTTCATCATACATGCTGCTGTCGTGAGCATTTCGATTGTTCCACATTTTGAGAGAAATGTTCATGTCGTACGACAAATCCTCAAAAATGTAGCCATGTTTTCTGCTCGTATTTTTGTTTCCATATTTCCCTTCTTCTGATTCTGTCCCTCTGTTGGTCTCTTCGCGAACTTCTTTTTTCGCAAAGTTCTTGTTCCCTTTATTGAGGCCACTTGTTTGTAGTTCATCGCCTGACTCGTTCATAATTTTTTTTTTTTTTTTTTCATTTTGTTCAGAATTGTTTTCCTGTTTATTCTCCCCATTTCGTCTGCTACTCTTATCACCATTCATTTTTTCGCCATTCCTTTCGCCATTTTTTCCACCATTTATTTCGCCATTTCTATCGCCATTCTCTTCGATGTTTTTTTTTTTTTTTTTTCCAGTGTGCGCATTGAAGGTGAGGTAGCTATTTTGTTGACTCAGGTTGGTGTGCAGTCCTTTTTTTTTCATTTCATTTTGGCTAGCTTGATCTTGAATAAAAAAATAATCGTTTTTTAAGTCGTTTAAATTTATGTGATTAAGAAAGTCAGTTCTTATATTCTGTTTTGGAAACCCCAGCCCCAAATTTACACAAATAATGTAGATATTTCTAGCGTTTATTATTTCGATATATTTATACTCATTAAATCCGCTATATATAAATTTGTTGTCTGCATATACATACACATATAAACTGTAATTGCTAAGAAATAATTTTACATAGTTTAATTCCTCTTTCAATTTAATTATGTACCATTGAAACTTGGTAAAATCCAGGGTTACATAAAAATGATTTAGAACATTAATTTCGTGTACAGAATGTATGTAACTAGTTGCGAAAAAATTCGAAAAAATGTTCATATGTTTAATTATATTCCTCGATAATAATTTCCCCCTTGTGCTATTTTTTATATATTTATTTTTGTCTTCTTTTAAACACATAATAGGACCCAAAGTTGCAGCATTCAAAGAATATAAATATTTATCAATAGGGGAATATACCTCCTTTTTCTTAACAAACGAAATTTCATAACTATAATTAAACGATGAATCATAAATAATTTTCTTCTTATGTTCGTTATATATAATACAACTAAAACTGTTTATATTGTAATTTAAAGGACCAACCTTTACATATGTCCCTCCTTTCAAATTATGGTTACAAATTATTTTAATAGCATCATAATTGTACATTTCAATATTCTTTGATATCTTAACTGGTCTTATGTAATCCTCATTTTTTAGTAAGTAATGTCCATATTTGTATAAAAATTTAAAAAGTTTTTTAATATGAGAATATAATGGTTCCTTCTGATTAAAATACACATCCAAAGGTTGACCAGTTTCTTTACTATAGTGTTCCAAATATGTGTGTGTGTTATTTATGTTGTTTCCACTGTAGAACGGGAATATATTAAGGAACACTCCGCCTTTCGCTATAAACACTAAAATGTTAAATGTTAAATCTTTAAAATTTCTTATGTGCCCTATATAATTGTTCTTGCTGTATCTACTACTCTTTATCCTTTTCACTCCTACTCGTATTCCATCCGTGGGGGCCTTTTCTGAGGAATGTGCTTCTTGTTCAGCTGTCTTCCCTGCAGCCTTCTTATCATTGCCCTTTACAAAACCGGCATTAGCAAAATCGCTACCATTAGAGCAGCTACCATTAGAGCAGCTACCATTAGAGCAGCTACCAGCTGAATCGCTACCAGCAGGCTCCCCCGTGGGAGTAGACTCCTCGCACGGCCTGCTTGGATATCTCTTAAACTGTTTATTATCGATGTCCAAAAGTTCACTAACAGGAGAAACGTTTGATGGAGAAGAATCATAAACTATGGGATCCTGGAAATGTCTCTTCAAAATGCTACCAGAATTTACATTGTGTATACTGTATTTAGCACCTGTCCATACCTGAGACCAGATGCAAGGTTTATTTAATTGGATGCATTCATTATCAAACCAATTATTATGAAAAAAATGATTGTAGCAATTATCTCCTGCATAAGAACTAATAAACTCATTCTTAATGAATGGATAATTTGTAGTCAATGTATTTATTTTTTGAAAATGTTTTTGAACTATCTTGTAAATCTCATTAATATATATTAGCCCCAATTCATATTCATTTAAAATTCGCATATATTTGTTAAATCGGACGTACAGAAGATATCCTAGAGTTAGTATGTAACTTCTTCTTACACGTTTGAAAAAATTTATAATACAATTTAGGAAAGACGTACAAATGCTGCTACTTCCACTGGTCCTACTGCTGCTACCACTAGAAGATGTGGAATTTTTAAAATAACTATCCACATTACAAATATTTTGAAAATATTTTCTTCGTTTCAAATCTATTATTACATACATGTAATAATTATCAAAAGTTTTGTCTATGTTGACATAAATAATGGGCCCATTATTGATATTTGTAAATTTTTTCAAGTGTGGAAAAATGTAATTAAACCATTTTATAACTCTCTTAAAATAATATAAACTATAAACCGTATTAAATGATTCCTCGCTTTTATTATATATTACTTTTTTTTTATGTATTTCTTGTTCTATATTAACCCTTTTCACATTTTCATCAAATTCATTTATAGATCTTTTTCCATTATTCCATATATCAAAACGGATAAATTTTCCTATTCTTTTTGTTAACTTGTTTTTTTTCTTCTTCTTCTCTACATATACATTCTTAATATATTCATTCAAATTTTTATTAAACAAAATATATGTGGGGATGTTCGCATTATATATATTATTTATATACGGTCCTATATCTAGTATCACAAAAAGTCCATTAGATGCACAGAAATTTAATAAATAAAAAAGCTTAGATTTTGTAATGTCGTATGCATCTTCCATATACTCATTTTCTGGCCAGAATAAAAACGTGTATACTGTATTAAAATTTAATTCCTTTATTTTTTTTAATACTATATAAATATCTCGAACACTCATATATATGTAAGGAATATATGCACTCAATATGAATGTTTTGAAATTATTAATATATATAAGTCTATTTACATGGGTAACTTCAAATCCCGTATTATTTTCCTTATTCTTATTTTCTCCCATATTTTTTTCATTACATCCATCTTTTATAAAATTATATGTTATTATATTCTTTTCCTTTGCCAATTCTTTTCTTCCAAAAAGATTCTTTAGCTTGAACACAACACTTCTTGACCCCTCATTCTTCTTTGTAGAAGAATAAAAACAGGAATACCCTGTTTCTATATTTGAACCAAAGAGGAACAAGTAGCATATTAAAGAAAGGGGGTTCATTTTAATGCCCATTATCTTCGCCTCTCATTGTCTTTTGTCGTGTCTCTCGGCGTGGCATCTGTCTTACCTTGCGTTATGTTCTGCTGTTCTGCCACTATGCTGTTCTGCCACTATGCTGTTCTTCGTTATGTTATGTTATTTTATATCTATTTATTATATTTTTTTTTTTTCCCGGCATGGAGAAAACTGGGTATTTGTTTCTGCTATTTTGCTTTTGTTCTGCTGTGGGGGGCATGTACATGTGGATTTCTCTTCTCCTTTTTCTCTCTAAAAATAGATAGGTAAAATATCACCGTTTGAAATATCACTTTTTGAAATATCACTTTTTGAAATCTCACGTTTGAAATCTCACGTTTGAACGGTTCGTTATATCTAACTATCCACTTCTAACTTGCCCTACCTCTCCCCCATAGTGCTTAACAATGTAACATGTCAGTCGTAGCTCTTCCCTATCAACCCACTTACGTGCAGATATGTAGTAACCTATGGACACACACGTATGTGAGTAAATTTTCCCATTTAAGTAATCTCAAGCCTGTGCATCAACACACACAATCTGATGAACAGAATGTATTACACACACCAAAAGCACAAAAAGAAAACATACCCGTTTCAGTAAAAAAACGACAACCCCCAAAGCACAAGAACGCGATGGCGTGAATTATGAAGAGCAAAAGTGGACAAAAAAATAAAATAAAAATAATTAAATTAGATTAAATTAGATTGAATCAGATTAAATTAGATTGAATCAGATTAAATCAGATTAAATTAAATAAAGTAAATAAAGTAAAATTAAATTAAATAAATTAAGTAAATAAAATAAAAAGGAGTGAGAGACAATTCGTTCAGGGGAAAAAGCTGTGGTATATTTTTTCTTTCATTTTTGGCATCATCGCAATATGTGTAACACTTATCCGATGGATTTATTTACTTTTTTTTTTTTTTTTTTTTTTTTAACACTCTTCCTTATGCATTTGTTTTTTTCCTTTTTGCTTTACCTTTCAGCATAGTGGAACCCCATGGGAAGTAATGTCTTAGTTTCTTCTCGAAATGCAGTATATATAATATTTTTATACCTTGATACTTGTACATTTCAAAGTTCATACTAATTGCATGCATAATAAACGCATACATACTATATGCACACATGCAAATTGCATACATACCAATCGCATACATGCCAATCGCATACATACCAATTAAATACATACCAATCTGTGCATTTTTTATAATATATGAATATTTGTCATGTACATATATCCTAATATGTTATTTGAACGCAAAAAAAATATAAATATTTGGTTCTTTTTCTCTTCACCATCTCCCCCACAATTGTTTATGCCACGGAACTAGTTATGGATGTAAATAACAATCTCACAATTAACATGCTGAAAAAACATTGCACGCTTAACAACAATATAAAAAAAGAAGAAAAAAAAAATTCATAAGGTAGATTTATTTGTTCCTATTTTTTGTGAAGATTCATTCTGTGCATCTTTTTGGCACCTTTTAAAATTATTCCCCTTCTTTCAAAACATGAAATTGCAAAAAAAAAAAAAAAAATGAACCTAAGTGGGTTACTTTTATAAAATTTCCCATGCGTCGACATCAAATTGCACATAAGCAAGAGAATACCAAAACGGATTTGCATTTCATCTAATTTAGTATAATTTCATTTCACTTAATTTAATTCCATTTCACTTAATTTAATTCCATTTCACTTAATTTAATTCCATTTCACTTAATTTAATTTCATTTCACTTAATTTAATTCGATTGCATTTAATTTAGTTTAATTTCATTCCATATTGATTTTTTATTCCATAATTATAATCCTTGTAAACCCATGGATATGGAAAACAAACAATTAGGTCGATTCATTCGTTTTCACTGATTTCGCAAAAATATATATTATGTAACAAAAAAAAAAAAAAAAAAAGAAAAAAAAAAATTTTAAAAACTATACATATAAAATAAAGCATCATTAGGGACGTTTTTTTTTTTTTTTTTTTTTTTTTTTTTATGAGCTATACCCCCAATTGTATAAGATAAAAAATATCCTTCAGGTTAATTCACATGGTATGTGTAACGAGGGTTTAACTTAGGTATTGATCTACATATATATATATATATATATACAGGTACAGATATGTCTACACATTACTTGATTCTGTGCAAATGCTGGTGCAGGATTCTTCCCACATCTCATAAATGTATATGAATCAAGATATTAATCAATTTCTGTTGTAATTGAATTGTTGCAAGTTGCATATACTGCATGTTACTCACCTCGTTCTGTTAGATTCTATTATACACGCATGTGTGTTGCAGAATGACCTTTTCTTTTGCTTTACCTTCATGCCAAATTGAATGAACACTAGGTAGATGTATCATCGGCTAACACTGTCCTTTAGAAAAATGTAAAGCTGGGAATCGTTCACGAAAAAAAAAAAAAAAAAAAAAAAAAAAAAAAAAAAAAAACCAATCCATTTTCTTTTGTCTATTTTTTCCCCAAGCATTTTATGCTTCACATGTGAGCGGCATGTCTAATTTAAACACACACATGCTGCTGCTCTTCACACATGTACATAACACATATGCACATAAACATAAGCACATAAACATATGCACATAAACATAAGCACATAAACATAAGCACATAAACATAAGCACATAAACATATGCACATATCCCCTCCTGCAGTTGAACGAAAATCCCAAATCAACATGAAGAATACCGTGCTTCGAATAAAAGCCGATTTGGAAAACGTTAAAAAATTATACTGTGATAATGACTTTCTGTGGGCCTTTAACAGTACGAATTGAAGGAATATCTCACTCTTTCTTTTTCTTTTTTTTTTAAAAAATTTTTTTTTTTTTTTTTGCCTTGACGTGACATAATTAACATTTAAATACAATTCCATCCTTTTTTTATTTCCTCCTTTCACAGTTAAAGACAGCACATCTTCTCTAACGAGAGAAAATATACAATTCAGAAAAACAGATATTCTGGAAATTCCAAACAGTAGGGGGTTTGTATAAAATCTTGAATTGGTGCACGTCCATCCTATTGTGCAAACAGACCTATACATATGTGTGTATATATTTTTATGAAACTTCTTTACTACATATGAGCATATGAACACATGTATATATTCATATATGAATATATTCACATATGGACATATGAACATGTCTCCTTTTTTACACAAACATCATTATTCCGCTTTTCTATCATCAATCCTGTATGGTACCTCCAGTTTGGTTTTTACCCATCCTCCAATCCCCTCTACTCCTGCAGAACTGCAAATTTCATGGTGAAATGGACTGAGTACCCGAAATATTCCACAATAAACTTCGTAAATGTATGGACTTAAATTATGCTTAAAGGAATGGGCACATTAACGTTCGTTCATGTACACACACATTCATAAACATGCAAGTTTTCTTATACATCAAAGAAGAAGGAATCATAAAAAAAAAAAAAAAAAAAAAAAAAAAAATTTGTACACAATGATGGACGTATCCCCCACCATCATATGTGTAATATTTTTTTCGTTCACCTTTTTTCTCCCACTCTCCATTTTGCAACTACAGACAAAAAACAGCTGTTCCTATGACAGTACAGCAGACAATGACTGGCAGGATTTTGCCGCATTTGAGTGCAGGGGGTGAGACATACATGAGCAGTTAAAAATATAAAAAAAAAAAAAAAAGAAAAATGAAGCAAAAAAATGAAGAAGCGAAAAATGAAGCAAAAAAATGAAGAAGCGAAAAATGAAGCAAAAAAATGAAGAAGCGAAAAATGAAGGAAAAAAAAAAAAAAAAATCACACTGAAAAGAAAAAATAGCGTGAATAAAAACTATATCCCACTTACGGACACACCAAAACTAACGAATTAAACATTTTCCTATCTTAACTACAGGATCGAACTTGTGGAATTCCTACCTCATGGCAATTTCATCGTTGAAGACACAAAAGGAAAAATTTATTACGACGTAAATTTGTCGGATTTAAACTGGTGTGACTATAACCAGGTATGCTAATGTCACATTCGTTGTGACGTATTCTTCTGCTCTTTTTTTTTTTTTTTATCTCATTTTTGTTTCCTCTTGTGCACATTTATATTTTCTCACCTTTCTAGAGAAACTGCTTTTCAGGAAAGCACATTTTGAACTAATCGAAGGAAAAATGAAAAAAACGAATTTGTTCAAATGTCGCTGTTCCTGTGTGTGAGAACAAGCACAAACAAGCTTCACAAATTCGTTTTTTCCTTTTTTCTTCCCCTTTTTTTATGTTAAGTTGGATTTATTTGTTTGTCTCAAAGATGAGTACAATAAATAGCTTAATTTTTTATTAAATTTTTTTAATTCCACTGTGTTTAGGATCACGAAATGTGTGTGGGAATTTACAACGTTGAGCATGAGATTTGTTAAAGAAAATATTACAAAATCGTGAAACTGTTACTTACAGCTGATTGTGCGTAATATATGCATACACATGCATATACATATGTACACATACACGTAAGCTTATGCTTGTGCTTGTGTTAGTGTGTGTACTAATTTTAATTCGTTTGATAATGTGTTTTCATATCATCAAGAGGACAAATGTGTTTTTACGCAAGTGTATATGTTATATATTAAAAAAAAAAACTTTCAAAAATGTAAAATATGAGGAAAAAAAAAAAAAAAAAAAAAAAACCAAAAAAGAGAATAGGGGTAGAAATATATATAATATATTCATCAAGTGTGTGTGTGTACCTATCAGTAACAAATCCACATGGCTTTTTCTTAAGTGTATAGTCTTGTTAAACAAACCAAATAAATTTATATGCGCTTGAAAAGAAGTATAAAAAGGGGACGCAAAATAAAAAGAAAATGACGTGCAAAATAAACAAAACAGAAGCAACGATGGCGAAGAAACGTTGACGATGAAATGAAGACGAAGAAATGAAAAAAAAAAAAAAAGAGCTGTTATGCCTCGTGAAAAAATTCGCATGAGTACATTTGTGTAACGTTTACACGCGCTTGCGAAAAAGATTATACAAATTTACATACATTTATTTTCGTATGCTTATTTTTATGAAAAATAAATAAAAATCATTAAATAGTGGATGATTCATTAAATAGTGGGTAAACGATTAAATAAGGGAGAATAAACGATTAACAAAAATGAATAAAAATACGTACGTACGGGTACGTGCGGCGAGGAAAACATCAGTTCCCGTAAATTTTATTATTATTTTATTATTATTTTATTTTATTTATTTTTTTTTTTTTTTTTGCTTAATCAAGTAATCATACTCATTTAGGAAGTCTACTGAGAAATAACTTTTTAGAAAACACATATGACATGTTCAACTGTTTTCTCCTTGTAATATATTAACTTACAAAAGATTGCGCTTGGAATCACACTTTTTTTTTTTTTTTTTTGATGTGTGTGTACATTTCTTATGTCCTTGTTACGCATGAGATGCATATATATGCATATATGCATATACACACATACATGCACACATATATACATATCTCAATTTTGTAAATCTTCTTCACATGAATAATACTTCAATTTTTCAAGTTTGTAGATAATCAAGCAGGATACAATATATACTTCTATATTGGTGTTTTCACTCTAAGTTTAATATATAATTGCGTGTGTGTTTTCTTCAAAGGCTATTTTGCGGTTCTTCATAAGCAGCTACCATGTGTGTGCATGTAATGTACATATATATATATATATATATATACAAAGCACGAGCTCACCTTTTTGCACTGTTAATATGGAGACATTTCCACTGTGTTGTTCTTTTCCGTCACCCCATATAACCTTGTTTTGTTCTTTACTTCACGTTCCTCACATTATGGATGATCTACATCTCCAAATCATATTCATCTCTTTAATGTATTCTATACCACCTTTCTATCTGGCAGAAATATCACATCAGCTGGTATTTTACATGCGTAAAATTGTCACACAGAAAAGGTCTCAAAACAAGAAAAAAATATAATTGTGAAAAAATATCTCCCCTTCCGTAAAGAATGATTTTGTCAAATATGTTCCTATTCACCATATTAGAAAAAGCTATCTTTTCGTTTCACAACTCCAAAAAAAAAATTGTCCATTTTTATTCATTCTACTGATAAACTAAAATGGGGGGAGATCTGATAGCTTGGAATGGCCCGGAAAAAAAAAAAAAAAAAAAAAAAAAAAAAAAAAAAAAACTGTATTTTTATTCTTTCATTTTGTCATCATGGGTATAACAAATTATTAATTGTCTTCCAATTGAGGGACATCATGCAGAGGCTTCATATTCATACATCTAAACATCTTTCATAATTAATTGTTTTATTTAAAAGGGAGGAAAATTTATAATCTCAATTAGTAAAATATAGTTTGACATTACATAAGTTCTCTTTTTCTCTCTTTCTCTTTTTCTCTTTTTCTCTCTTTCTCTTTTTCTCTTTTTCTCTTTTTCTCTTTTTCTCTTTTTTTTTTTTTTTTTTTTTTTCCTTTTCCATTATCGCTGCTGCTACTTCGTTAACCATGCTGAATAATCCCTCCTCTACTAGCTCTTTTTCTTGTAGTTGTAATTACAGCAATTGCAGCAGTTGCAGCAGTTTCTTTTTCCGTTTTGGTTCTTCTATTGTGGAAAAGTAATAATATGCTTGCACTACAAACGTCAGATATATTTATCTTTTATTTCTATTCTTTAACTGGGAAAAAAAAAAAAAGCATTCTGCATTTTTGCTCTGCTTCAAAGTTAATATCATAAAAATGTGGGATCTAATCTTCTCTTCATTTAACGTAGATTCAGCTCGATTTATGTATTTATGTGTATCTAAATGTTACATATATATTGATCATTTAGGAAGGAAAAAAAAGGGGAAATAGTTGGGAATAACTTATTCAACATATTTAAAATTGGATCCTAGAATTTCATACTAAAAGGAACAAATTCGTATTTTATATTTTCTTTTTTCTGTTGATAAAGGGATTTATGAAATTCTCCTTTCTGATATTTATTTTCGCTAGCTAAAAATGATGCCACAGAATTAATATTTGATGGTGCATCTAATGAAAATGTATAAGCCTTGTCATAACCCAAAATGGAGTGCTGGTTCATGTCGTCATGATACAAAAATACAAATATGAACATAAAAGACGATAAGAAAAAATAAAGCATTAACTTAAAATGTTTATAAATACACATAAATGAATAGACAATTGAAATTACTGACAAAACGTAAAAAAATGAGTAAGGTGTATGCATATTTCTACTGTTCATATCTTCTTTGTGATTGTACATATCTTCTACTACATTGTTTGAAATATCATCTAATATGTTACTACTATTATTCACACTATTCATATCAATACTGAAAGAATTCGAAATGGCTTCTATATCCTTGCATGTTAAATAGTTCCTCTTCCAATACATCTTTTCAACATTGTAATCGTTTTCATTAAGGTAAAATTTTTCTCCATCAATTAAGTAAAACATGTTATGGTTGTTGTTCTCTTCCCAAATATGTTTGTTTTTAAGTATAAACATATCCATTACCTTTATTTCTTCTACATCTATATTTTCGCTCAATGAAGAAAATATATTATAGTGTCTTTTCATCATCTCAACATTTGTAATCTTTTCAATATTCTTGGCATCTTTCTTATTTGTAGAATTTTCTATATCTAACCTATTGACCCCTATCATACTACACGGGATATTATTCAAGTCCATTTTCTTCATCCAAAGCATATCATTACTTTTCTCAAATTTTCTTCCCTCCTTCTGTGTTCTGTTTTCCCAATTAGTCCTTGTCATCTGTTCAGCATTCTTATTATTCATAATGGTTGTTATCTTCACATCCAGCATAGACTTTTCCTCCATTTCGATTACATTTTCAGAATTCAGATAATCTGCACTCTTCGACACAAGATTATTTACAACAAATATGTCGCCGTTTCTTCCTTTAAATTCTCCAATTCTATGTAATTCCTCATTCTTCAAATTTATTTCTTCTTTCAGCTCATTCTTTCCCCTACTGTTGTAGTAACTAAGCTTATTTTTCTTCATGATGTAGTAGTTATGTAATTTTCTGTTGTAAAATAATCCTTCATTTAAATGATACACATGTTCACTATATTTCTGCTTCTCATTTTTAGAACTTTTATTAATTCTTTTTTTTATGCTTCTATTCTCATTTGTGTCATTTTTAAAAAACAGGGAGTGATCTAATTTATTAGATTCAACAATTTTTTCAAATTCCTCTTTACCCTTATAACTTTTCTGCGTGGAAATACTATCAAAGACTTTTTCATCTAAGTTATCTGTCACTGTTCCTTCTTCCTCTATATCTGACACAGATTCAAACAGAACTCTACTTCTGATCTTGGTATCAATCCCATCCATTTGTTTTTTGCTTTTCTCTTCTGTCTTTTCTTTTTCTTCTTCTTCCATCACATTTTTTGGTGCATCTTGCTGCTTCTTATGATTAACAGATGAAGAAGAGGAAGACTCTTTATCAATCTTCTTCTTTTTTGTTTTTCCATTTGACACTTTTCCCCCCACTGATGATGATTTACTCTTGGGTTTATTCGCTCTTGCAATGAGTTCTTCAGTATTCTGATCTACATCAACATTTTCCATCATTCCTTCTGTGTTACTGCAACTGCTACTACTGCTACCAGTGCTATCACTCATGATACTCATTTTTGTGCTTCCATCGGATCCATCAGACGACTTGGACGAATTTGAATCAATTGAATTTGTTTCATCGTCTAATTCAATTCTATGCAACATCTCATCCTTATCACCTAGGCTACTTCCTTCTTCAGATGTGCCTGAAATGAGTAAAGTTTCACCTGAATCTTCCTTACCTTGGATATTACTATTTTTACTCCTTTTGCTGTTATGTGTCTCTGAATTAGTACATTTTCTAAGATTGCTTTCTTTTTCTACTTTTTCATTTTTATCACATTCTGAACAATCATCCTTTATACATTTTCCTCCATTATTTTTCTTCTTATTCTCAACAGAATCTGTTTCTTGATAATGTTGTTCATGCGCTTCTTTCACTTCATTTTCATGTTCTTCTCCCTCCTCTCCTACTAGTATACTCGTGGTGTTTGTTCCAGCATTAATTTGGGATGAGCTAGATTTTGAATCACGGGAACCATTGTCTTCATCCATACTGACATGTTCACAGTCCTTTTGAACAAAAGGAGAGTCCCTATGCTGCATAGGATTACATTTATTTTTAGAATAATCCCTTCTTGCCATGAATTCAACAGCTAAGGAAGAATCTTCTTCTACATTTAAACCTACATCCTTCCAAAATTCTTCTAACGTTCGTTGTGACTCTAATTCAGAATTTCTGATATATTCATCTGATAAATCCATCCAATCATCAATCCAACATAAACCTTTTCTGTGATACTTTAGAAGACTTTCTTTAATAACAGAAACAATCCAATTTTCTAATTTCGAGCAGAACATACCAAAGTAAGGAATATCAATAGTAAACAATTTATAGCAAGTCATAATTACTTTACTATTATTAATCCAATCTTCAGTTAATCTTCCTCTTTTTGCCTTTTCACTATAAAATAAAGTTGGATCTTCTTCAGGTAAATAATCCTTCGAGGGTAGCTTATCATTCACAATATCAATATTAATAACTTTTCTTTGAGCTAATAATTCTTCTGATATATTAAATGGATTGTCTTCAGTGTTATATCCTGGAAAATGTGTTGATTCTACATGTACACGTGCTTTTGGAAATCCACTAGCTTCATATTCAGTTTTTAAATATGGGTAAGCAATCCATGATTTCTCATCAATTAAACAATATTTGGGATCAACAAAATTTAATAACCATTTTGGTATTTTATTCACCAAATTCATTCTTTTAAAGATATATTTCGAATCATTTCCATTCTCATCTTCATATTTATTATTTTTCAAAATTACTAAACTTCTTGAATCAAATTTGTTGTTATGACCAACTCCATATAATGTATTTTCTACATCTTCATGTGATACTCTGGCCAAAAGATACAACTGACAAATTTTGTATTCCTCCATGGTTAGAGGCATCGCAAGTCTAAATTCAACTAGCTTCATTTTTTTTTTTTTTCTTCTTTTTTTTTTTTTTGTTTTATTACCTGAGTAAGGGTTTCTTATCACATACGTTTTCGTTATGTACCACTTTGATATAAGCTTATACGTCTGTATATATATATAAGTGCATATGGTATGTGTCTATATGTCTGATCCTGTGCAGAAAAAAAAAAAAAAAAAAAAAAATCTAATTACTCTTTTTTACTTTTTATCTATGTTCTGGATTTTCCTAATATGTATTTTCCCAAGTATAGTTTTGATAATTAACTTTTAATCCAAGCATATAATACAACCCCTTTCTCGTTAGCAATGATTTGAATTTTTCTGCATATCAATACTTCCATATATGCTTGCACCAATGTCTGTCGTATGCACTTGGTTCATACGTTACTCTCGAATTGTATAAATACGGAAAATTAGTTTCAAATGTGTATGCGAGTAGGCAAACAAGAATAGAAAAAATTTTAATTTTTTTTTTTTTTTTTTTTTTTACTTGTGCACTTTTAACTTGTTTTATTTTTTAAATTTCTTTCTACAGATATGTCGAAATGTCATTTCTCACGAGCATGGTTGGGCGAATATTGTTTGTCTCTTTCAATGTCTTCCTTGTTTATTAATTATATGTCAGTATGTATGTCAATATGTATGTCAGTATGTATATATGTTTATATATATTTATGCTTATATATACTTGTGCAAACGACTATTTTGCGTCGACAAGTAATACCACGAACACAGGTATGTAGTAGGTTCTTTGAGTCTACATGTATGTATAATATGTATATACACAATTTGAGCGTCTTCTCATACACGTGGGAACTTATGCATGGTCTATGTGCAAACACAAGGAGTTCCTTGTCCAATATTCGTGTATAAGATAATAATTCTGTTCATATGACATCTCGCCATAGCAAAAATAAAAAAAAAAAGAAAAATGAAAAAAATTAAAAAAAAAAAAAAAAAAATACTCTGAGAAATAGTAGATATATAACACAAGCTTTTAATTTCCTCTTTTCAATAATTTTTATGTGACAAAAAAAGAAAAAAAAAATTATCTCAATCTTGGCTTAATTTTATTTTTTCTTCCTATCAAACGATATGTATATATACATATATATATATATTATTTTCCCAATCTTATTTTCCTTGTGAATGTCGGTAAAATATACCTTCTTTTTTTTTAAGGCTTTCCTTTTTTTTTTTTTTTCACATTGCGCGCGCGTTCCTTTTTTTTTTTTTTTTTTTTTCCTTTCTCTTTTCTTTATTTACTTTGGGCTTTGCTTAATTTTATTTATTTTTTCTTTTATACCTGCAATTTCCTGCTATTTTCGATCCATATTGTGTGGTTTTATTTTGTTATGTTACTTATTATTGTATTAATTTTACAATACCTTTTTATATTGTTATTACTTTCATTATTAAAATTATTACTATTACAATTGTTACTACTATTATTATTACTATGCTATTATACTGTTATTATTACTATATTGTTATTTCTATTATTATTTTATTATTATTTTTATAATTATATTATTATTATTTTATTTTTATTATAATTATTATTATTATTTTTTTTTTTTTATTCTAAAAGCTTAGTATATTAAACTCCGATAAATATATATAAATTCCACTGAGAGATCCGATACATCTTATTTCACAATTATATATGTCCCACTTCATTTTTTTTTTTTTTTTTTTTTTTACCTTGTTCATAATTTAAAATTCCAAAATGAAGATTTACAAACATACAATATTAATAAACTATCCTCTATCCTTATGCTTCTTCTCCCCTCTTTAGTTGTTCTCAGTTTTTTTTTTTTTTTTTTTAAAATCACCTTAAGTCATTTCTCAGTTTCCAATATTTTACATCATTTATGTAAAAAGATGTAAATGCAAAATAGTTGTGTTATTTATTTTATACATCGCGTTGTTACGTTTTGCCTTTGCATATTATATGAGAGGCATACAATTTTTTTTTTTTTTTTTTTTTTTTTTTGTTTTATTTTTTTTTTTTATTTTTTTTTTTTTTTTTTTTTTTTTTTTTTTTTTTTTTTTTTTTTTTTTTTTTTTTTTTTTTTTTTTTTTTTTTATTTTTTTTTTTTTTTTTTTTTTTTTTAGCTTAATTTTTTTTCTTAATCTTATTGCTTCATCTTATTTCTTCATTTTATTGCTTCATCTTATTTCTTCCTCTTATTCCTTCATTTTATTGCTTCATTTTTTTTTTGCCATATTTTGTTACAATATATTATTATTTTCTCCATTTCTACATTATTGGTAGTTCATATATCAAAAGAAAAAAAAAAAAAAAAAAAAAACGGCACTGTCAAATTTGTTAGCGCTATATGTATTGTACATATATATGTACCTGTGTATAAACCTATTTAATATTCTGATGTATGAATAATCTAAAAGGTTAATTGAATTTTTTACCTTTCTTCAAATACGGAAAATTTTTAATATTCAATCTACAAATTATCAATTTTGTTATCTACTTGAACTTTATGATGTTTTTTTGTTTTTTTTTTTTTGCAAATGTTATTTTCCCATCACTAAGATAGTTGACAAATATGTATGGATATGTGGATGCATGTATAGATATGTGGATGCATGTATGGATGTGTGGATGCATGTATAGATATGTGGATGCATGTATGGATGTGTGGATGCATGTATGGATGTGTGGATGCATGTATGGATGTGTAGATGCATGTATGGATGTGTGGATGCATGTATGGATGTGTGGATGCATGTATGGATGTGTGTGTGCATGTATGGATGTGTGGATGCATGTATGGATGTGTGTATGCATGTATGGATGTGTGTATGCATGTATGTATTATGTGTATATATGTGTGTATATACATATATATGTACATATGTACGTATATATGATATGATTTTACTTTTATAAATAACAACAAAAATCACGGAGTGATAGGCGGAATTTCAGTTATTGCATGTTATCCTGTAGGTATGGGCGAATGTTTCACCTTCTGTATTTTTGGCAACCGTTAGAACATTTTGCAATTCTTATCACTTCTAATTAGTTTAAAAAAAAAAATAAGACTGTTCATAAAGAGTCTAGTATGTGTACTACCCAAGTGGGGAAATCGTTTAACCACAAATTTACAGGTAACACTTGTGCATATGCATAATTAACTTCACTGAATATTTTTTCATCTATACATACACAATGGCTATATACACAAGCATTAACGAAATATGATGTCGTGGGAAATTTTGTGCTGAAATATTACTCCATACATAGTCCTATAAATACATATTTATCAGCTAATACGGTTTTTACTAATCTATAAAAATGATCCATTTTAAGCGAAAACAAATTGGGTAAATAACTCTACTTTTTTTTAAAAAAAAAAAAAAAAAAAAAAAAAAATAGCTTAAAAAGTTACATATTCAGTGATGGAAATTTTATCTTGACCTTTTTGTTTCTTATTGTACACACACAAATATGTATATACTCGTTCAAAGTATAAAATTATACAAACATTTATGAATGTTCACTACAATTTTACTTACACTCTCCTTCTTACCATTAAAAAAAAAATTTGTCATAAATGTATTGTCATATAATATGCTACTTATGATTTATATATGATCTCCTTTGCTGGTGTGTCCCATTTAGACATCTCTTTATCTGCGATATACGTCTCATGCTTGACATTCTTCTCACCCTTGTCATAACTTTTTCTTTTTTGTGAATTCAATGACATTATGTTTTCCCTTCCCCCCCTCCAAAAAAAAAGAAAGTTAAGTTCTGCACTATCGATGGTCTCAATTTTTGGGAAGTTTTTTTTTTTTTTTTTTCTGTTTTTCCTTCCCTCGCTCTCTAATCCCATAGTGGAAATGAAACTGAGCTGAAATTTTAGTTATACAACTTTCTCATATATTCAGGATTTTTTTTTTTTTTTTCTTCATCCAAATCTTTCCCTTCCATCCTTGACATCCCTTATGACTCTAGCTTATATTTTTCAACTAGCATGTTCTTACTCAAAGCTGTTCATATGTGTGCAGCATATTTAAGGAAAATATTCACTGTACAAAAAGAAAATAACACTTTTAATGTAACTTAATTGGTAGGTCTCTTTCAATTTAATCTTTTGGATTTTTTTTTTTTTTTTTTTTTTTAATCTTAACCAACTTATTTCGCGTAATAAAATTGCTTATTCGTGTGATTGTTTACCTTCTTTTTTTATTTCTTCCCTTTTATGAATGTCCATACATGTCCATCTAATTATCGATCGTATGATATTTTTTTGCAGTTAGAATTTTTCTCTTCCTACATTTATGTAACGCAGTAGGTGTGTTTACTTTTGAGATATAATTTTTTTTTTTTTTTTTTTTGTGCAACACAGTAAAACAAAAAATGTTTCATGTGTAGCTTTTTAGATATACCTTTACACATATTATTCTGTTTCCACTTGAAACTGCAAAATCTGTATCCCAATTCGTGTAAATCATTTCAGCATGTTTTTTTTTTTTTTTTTTTTTTTTTTTTCGGATGTTAATCGTTGATCATTCCCCCAAGTTTTATACGAGTATAAATAAACATTCATTGTGTTTATCTAAGGACATAGAAACAGGTATACCATTTTTTATGCATGAAAAAACAAACACATTTTTTCGCAACTCAAAAAAACAAAAAAAAAAAAAAAAAAAGGGGGAAATATGAATAGCAAATATATCACTATTCTTGAACTTCAAAAGAATTCAATCGTGTGTTAAATAAGAAAAGAAGTAAAAATGAAAAGAATGTATAGACTTTTGAGTAAAAAACTATAGAAAGTGCACAGTATTCTCCCGAATTCACGAAAAAAAAAAAAAAAAAAAAAAAAAAAAAAAAACTTATAACCATTCCTTTGTGTGTTTTCAAAATTACCATCGACTTACTCATTTCTGTTATGTGTCAAAATTAGTCAAAATTTTATCATCAATATTCTTACTTTTCCATATGAAGACACAAACATTTCTGGAAAAAAGTCGAATCAGCAATTTTTAAAAAAAACATTTTTTTTTTTTTTTTTTTTTTTTTTTTTCTTCTTCCTCCTCTCTATCCCTTAGAAATAAGAACTAAGCGTTCATCAGAACATGACATATCGCATGAGGCGCAATGAAACGTCAATTGTGAAAATTTTTTTCTTTTTTTTTTTTTGGTGCACATGCATAAAACTGGAATTGATGAATTGATACACCGCGCATGCATGGTTATCCAAAGGACGTGCACATATACATTACATAAATGTACACCGAAACGAACAAATTAGTAGATGAAGTTCTAATTGAATTTTCATTTTTTTAGGCTCAGACCATTATAAAAGTCTTACGAACAAAACTCAAAATGTTGTCAATCTTATTTTGTGTTTTAAACATTTAAAAAAAATAAATAATTAATTAATTAAAACAGTCGTTAGCCTTTTAAGTTGGTTGCTTTACCATTTAATTATCTCGATATATGCCCACTTGATCGTTTATTCACTTACTGCACACTATCCAATGTCATAGAAAAAAAAAAAAAAAATCCCCCTTGTCAACTCGGAGAAACAAGGAAGTTAACACATTGGAGACGTATGACCTTATATATATACGTATGTACATTTCATACATACATGCATACATATGTGAACAACTGTGCTCCTATTGGCCAAAGTGCTCACACCCATTTGACTAGAAACTTTCTATACTTAAAATGAACACTTTCAGACAAAGGGCTTGAAACCACTAAGCGATTCACAGAAATATGTAACAACAAGAAGAAAAAAAAAAAAAAAAAAAAAACTGTTATTTATCATTTCATTTCGCCCCTCTACACCATTTCACACGTACAGTTAACAATTTATGAGTTAAAAAAACTTCCACATATATATCCGCAAATGTGCTTACAACCAAATATTAAAACACTAATATGCATAAATCCATATAAATTTTAAATAAGGGCATGCTAATTTTATATGAACGTACATAAATTTAAGGTGGAAGCACACACATTTTGTATGAACGTACATAAATTTAAAGTGAAAGTATACACATTTTGTATGAACGTACATAAATTTATATGAATGCCCCGTAATTTCACATTCATCTACACTTTTTCTCGCGCGAATTACCAAAGGAGATGTACCACCACCAAATTGGTTGTGCAATCTAAGAAGAAACGTAGTGCCGCAAATGTACAAGTGTGAAAGTTCTTATCTGAATTGTTTAACCAACCATAAAGCAGTAAAAAAAAAAAAAAAAAAAGAAAAAAAAAAATTTACGAATGTGCATATAACGGTAAAGAGATAGAGACGTATAAATACATTGTAGCAACATTTTCCGCAAATAATTAAAATAAAAGTAAAAGTAAAAATAAAAATACCACTTGAACAAGCATAACATTTGCCAATTTTGCAGTTAGTGGTAAATATTTTATACACTCTAAAGAAGCTATTCCTATATATATATATATATATATATATACACATATCACAATTTAAAAAAAAAAAAAAAAACTTTTACTCACACGTTTATCTATCCCTATGTGTGTGTATACACATAAATATATGCCTTTAATGGTACATATTCTTGCACCTATCTCTGCAAGCTGTGTGGTTTTATAACCCACTTTTCCTCAAATATACTCAAGTTCACGTAACCCTTTTTTATTATTTTTTTTTTTTTTTTTTTGACTAGTTGCATTTTATGAGTATTTTTTAATTGTGTATATAAGAGTGTGGTCAAGTATTTTTACACTTACCAACTAGTAGTAGGCGTGTGCAAGTGACACTTATCACAACTTCATTGTGTTCCACAATCAGCATGAACTTGTGCGTTGGCATATAATCATACATAAGTGTGGATAAATGGACATCCACACAAATATATACATTGGTAAATACACCTAAGTACTTATTCGAATTCGTCCGTTTGCTCTTTCAATAAACTTCTTCTGTGCTTAGCATTCAAGAGCATGCACCCTTGTTCATAAAAAAAAAAAAAAAAAAAAATTCAGAAAAAGAAATAAACTTGTATGTAGCATAGCGCAGCCGAAAGCAAAATTCCATAATAAGTTCATGTCAGAAAAAATATACATGTAATTTTACAACACTACCAAGTATTTATTAGTGCTTCATTTTTATTTCACTCTTTTTTTATTTTTTTATTTTCTTATTTTTTTATTTTATTATTTTTTTTTTTTTTTTTTTTTTTTTTTACTCTCCCTTTTTCAAGAATCCGTAGTGACTTCTTACATATATACATGTGCAATGCATGCATATTGTGACTTGAACTTGCGCATGCAATCGCACATACACATGCTCACGTTTAAGGCCTCACTTTGCAAGGGCAAATTGAATGAAGAATAAAAAAAAAAAAAAAAAAAAAAAAAAAATTGTCCCAAGTGTCCAAATAAATTATAGACACTAGAATAGTACAAACAAAAATTTAACTAAAAGGGGTGACCGACGAATAGGTGTAAAGAAGACAAGAATGCAAATCCAAGCAATATCAGAAGCAGTAGTAGAAGCGTGATCATAAATAGAAAAAGAAAGAGAAAAATAGAAAGAAAAGATATATTTCGTTGGAGAACAAAATATTTCATATGAGAATGTATACGTGTACTCCATCCTCCCCACCCCCCACTCCCTTTTTTCACTAATTCTGCAACCAGCTTTTTTCCCTACAAGTGTATGAATAATGCACAAATAAATATTATTGCGTCCTTTCTTTTAATTTAATATAATTTTTGCTTCACAGCGCTATAAAAGAGAAGGATAATATGAATATTTGTAAATCCACACAAATTTATGTTGTAAAGATTATCTTTACCTTCTTTTGCATGCTTAACACAGTAGAGATATACTTTTTATTTTTGTAATTGCATTATGTTACAATACATTAAGTTAAATTAAATTGTTTTGTTTTATTTTTCTTTCAATAAATAAATACGTACATATCCCAACCCTATTTAATCTCTTCCTTTTTTTTTTTTTTTTTTTTTTTTTCCCATTTTTGTAAAAAATATTTTTCTATATATTATACGCATGTTTAATTCAACTTTTTTTTTACACGTCTCTTAAAGGTACAACAAATAAATGTTGAAAAATTAAAAAAGTTTAAATCTTCACAATTATATATGTGAACATGTATATATTTATTTATCTATTTTGAGCACATAATACGTATATATACATTTTTTAATTTCTGTTTTACAGCTTGTTCATTACCCCTTCGTAATGACCTCTATGTCCGATTTAAGCGAATGCTTGCTATATATATGTATATTAATGTCCATACCAAATTTTATACATATATGAACATATATATATATATATATATATATATATATATATATATGTATATATTTTTTTTTTTTTTTTTTTTTCCCCCCTCACATTAAGGAAAAGAAATAAATTGATAAAAAAAAAAAAAAAAAAAAAACGTGCAAATTTATCACGCAATCTTCTTCAACTTGTCCATTCATCCACCTTTTTGTAGAAATTATTTCTCCATTTTGACAACTACATGTATACATTCATAAGGACATACACAACGTTTGCATAAATTAAACGTAAGTCCTCTAGTCCTGTATATATACCTCTTTTACCTTTGCAGGTGAAATAAATTGACTAGTGTTGCACAAACTAGTTTTTTTTTTTTTTTTTTTTTTTTTCTCTCTCTTTTTCACACACACATTAGACACATCCCTTGCATAACATCTTCAGCGTATGCATATCTATTGAGACAAGATCAAAGGAAGGATTGTTCATGCATTTTATTTTCCCTCCCTATCCTCTTTTTGAACAACACATGAAAACTATGAATTATTTTGACGAAAACGAAGCTAAGTATATAAAGAAACAGAAGAAAATCGAAAGATGTCATAGTGTGTGGAAAAAAATAATTAGAAAAAGCTTAGGATGTACTAGAGAAGAAATAAGAAAGAGCGTTGCCAAGAGTAAAAGAGAAAAAGAAAGATTAATTTCTATTCTTTATGGAAGTGTATTTAGGGGAAAAAAGTATCTTCTATATACCAGAAAATGGAGGGGAAAAACTTTAAATGAAATAATTAATCAAGACAAAAAAAATTATATTAATTTAAAAAATTTAAAAAATGTAGACAATAGCTATTTCTACAAATTAGCCTTAGGATACGTTGATGAAAATGATAACAACAATATTAAAAACACAACAGATTCACAATACTTAAAAAATGACCATCATGCTAATACACGCTCAAATGAAAGAAGAAAGGTGCATAACCAAGAATATGCAAATGAACATATCAGCAACCAGCCAACTAGCTACACAAACAACACTGCAAATGTGCATGCAAATGTGCATGCAAATGTGCATACAAATATGAAGAAGAATCAAACACATCTGAATAACAGCAATATAATGACCAGGAAAAAAACGCATTACGCAGAAAAAAGTACACGGATTAATGAAAATGATCAAGTATACGAAAAATTAAATTATCTAGAAAAAAGAAGCTATAAAAATAGATCTAAAATAGATATCTACAACAACTCGCACAGTACAAATGGGGACGCAAGCAATTACTATTACTATGGCAACCAAATCGAAAATGGGAACTCTAATTTTAATTCAACTAGTAACTACTACAACATAGGTAGTAACAATAACAATGTCAATAGAGGTACAAACACGCGAAGTGCTAACAGCAGAAGTGGAAGCAACATAAATGATCATACATGGCCTGAACCACAACCTGATGAAAATACAATGATCAAATATAAGTATCTACCCACAGGGGTTTTCTACAGTAGAGTTTCAAGATCATTCATAGCCAACTGGATTGATGATAAATCAAAAAAACAAATTAAAATGCCATATAAAATTGCTGAATTTGGGGTAGAAAAATGTATGATTTTAGCCATACTTTCAAGAAATCTTAGAATTAGCAATCAAAATAGTGCCTTGAAATATTATGATAATTTAACTGAAGATCAAAAAGAAAAAATGTTACAAGCTATTAGAACAACTCAGAAAAGCGAAAAGCTCTTTAACGATATGCTTAGGCCTAACACAAAGGACATATCTAATACGGTTCAAAGTAGAACATTTCCAACCTACACGTCTATGTGGAATGGGACGTGCAACCAATCAGATAGTCAAGCTGGCCAACCAAACAGACAAACAAATCAACTAAATAGACAAGCGGGCCAAATACACAGCCAAACGAACCAACCAAATAGCCAAGTGGACCAACCAAATAGCCAAACGAGTGAACTACACAACCAAACGAACCAACCAAATGTATATAATAACAACTCAATGAACCGGAATAATGAACCCAAACCAACTGCGATTAAAAAAACAGGTATTGAAAAAAAGAAAGCGAAACAGTCTTATAACAACTTAGAGAAATTACCTACAGGTGTTTATTTTTATCAAGGATCATATGTAGCGAATTGGTGGGAAACACAACAAAAGAAACAATTCAAAGTTCCATTTAAAATTTCTGAACATGGAATAACAAGAGCCAAAAATCTAGCCATCATTTCTAGAATTCTCAGATCTTCATCCGTTCAAGATGTAAATGCAATTTTATCCCAAATAGAACAAACTAAAAATTTCACTAAATTGAACTATGCAACCATTGCAACTTTAGCTTTTAAATATATACAAAATACTCCAAAAAAAGAGTAACCGTATCAAGAATCATATGCATGATCTTGTACAAGTGTATACAAATTATATCCCCACCCGTACATGCATGACAACAAGAAACATGCATAACTTATGTGTGTAGAACACCATGATGCGTGTGCTGTGAGTGAGCAATAGTGTGCCATTATGCTTTGTGTATGCATGTAGTATACGCCTTGGTGTTTGTATGTGTATAGTGTCAAATTCAGACCTTTTCCCATATTCTGGTGCCCATTTATTCATAAATTGCACACTTATTTATGCAACGCGACATGATTCTTGTTTTACAGACACAAAGATACCCAAAATATATCAGTCAGGCATATACCACACCGGTGTACCTTATTACTATTATTATTTTACTTTTTTATTTCTTCTTCTATTTCTTCTTCTATTTCATTTTTTATTTCATTTTTTTAATTATAACTATTATTATTTTTACTTTTATTTGCTCAACCCGAATTAACAAATTCATGTATTTTTCAATTGAAAGAAGAATCACATATGAGTACTCTTCTGTATGTTTTGAAACTCCCGTACCCTATTACCCCTTAAATGTATTATATGTATATGTTAATGATATTTTAAACTTGTTACTCGTTTCCTTGTTTTTGTTTCTACTAATGTGTTTATGAATGTGACACGGTGTCTTTGTGTTGTTCCCTTATGCCAAATCAATTTTTACATATTTCATATTGGCCAACTCCACTCTACTTTTCACCTCTCCTCACTCATACGTACACACCCAAAATTATCACAAAAAATGTGTATATAATCAATCTTATTTTTTAAGGCGAATTTTTAGCTGTACATTAATTCCTTTTCATTTGCGAATAATGCAAAAGTTCCTGTTCCTACATAAGTGTTAATTCCTACGTATTTATGCTCTTTACACATTTAAGAAGTGCAATATATTTTTTTCTTTTTTAAATGGATTTTAAAGACAATAAATTTTTTAGTGCATTTTTTAAGCCCATTTTTTAGCCTATTTTTTAGCCCATTTTTTAGCCTATTTTTTAGCCCATTTTTTAGCCTATTTTTTAGCCCATTTTTTAGCCTATTTTTTAGCCCATTTTTTAGCCTATTTTTTAGCCCATTTTTTAGCCCATTTTTAAGCCCATTTTTTAGCCCATTTTTAAGCGGATGTATGTACCTTTTACACACAAAAGCTTACTTTAATTATATACCTCTTTGAAATGTGCTCATGCAAATACCTTCACCCGTTTCTACACCGGTACACATGTTGCATAAACAAACTTTAACATTTTGACTAAATGCCGTATGCCCAATTCGTATGTTTTACTATGTAACAGGTATGTATTCATGCCCCTTCTCCATCCCCCGCAGTTATACATTTTCATTGTAGACACACAAAAAAAAAAAAAAAAAAAAAAAAAAAAAGAGTAATAAAATAAAATTGACAATTATAAATGTTGCATATCCTTTCTTCTATGAACTTGACAAGTTTTACAAATACTTAGATAAACCGTTTTAATTATCCATTAATATTAAAAACCTCTCTTGAGTGAAATCTGAAATGCCTATATTGAAATTCACTTTTTATTTTTTGAAAAAAAAAAAAAAAAAAATACACACATTTCGCATGAATGTTCATGTAATTTCCCGCGTTTGGTCTAGCTGTTCATACATTTTGTACCTTTTTTTTTTTTTTTTTTTTTTTTTTTTTTTTTTTTTTTTTTTTTTTTTTTTTTTTTTTTTTTTTTTTTTTTTTTTTTTTTTTTTTCTCCCTTGTTCTTATTTTCACCACTTGCACATGTTTACCAGCAAGGTATTGCAATTATGCTAGAAATGGTGGGGAGGAAAAAAAAAAAAAGAGGTGATAAAAAAATTTCTAACTGCTTTGCTTTTCCCTTGAGTCAGCCATTTTTTCATCCTTTTTATATTTTGTGCACGCAAATAGGACATGTGCAAGTAACCCCCTCCCCCCAATGTCCTAGGCAAAGATACCTCAAAATATTTGCTGACAATATTGTAGGACATAATTAAAATTACCCACAACTGCACTAACTCTAAGATGGATGACTTTCTGATCAAGTTGAAAAAAATTTCTGAGCAGTATAATAACCTATTACTGGAAAAAAAGATAATAGACAAACGAATTGGAAACGTGGAAGAAAATATAAATAAATATGAAGAAATCAAAGAGAAATCGTTGAAAGATGTGGAACTGAAAAAAAATCAATTGTTGAAAAATAAAAATAAACACATGATCATGTGTCAAAAAATGGAACAATTGAATAGTAAGCTGAACGAAATACTTATAAGAAAACAAAACATAGATGATGATGAAGAAAAAAAAGTAATAAAAAAGCAAATAAATACAATTAACAACACATATATTTTACTAAACAATGTTCAGAAGCTAAATGATGCAATACTTAAAGATGATGGTCATAATTATTATAAATTAATTATGGAAAAAATATATACTAACAGTTTTAGTAATAAAAAAACGCTAAACATACTAAACACTTTCTTACGTAAAAGCAAAGCAAATATGCAGGACAAAGATAGTGAAGAAAACAATAAATGCACAAAATATTTTAAAATTATTCAAACAAATGAAATAATTCAAAAACTGCTAATCCTCTTTTCATATGATCATACAACTTTAACAATAGATAAACAACAATTCTTATTTGTCCTCCTTATGAACATTTTAAGAAAAATTGTGTACCTGAACAAAAATTTCATTACTCCTGATAGCTCCTCCTCTAGTAGCAGCAACAAAGTTATTTATAATTTTTTGTACAATAATTATATACTGCTTCTATGATTCTTTTTCGACAAGGATCCCAAACTTCATCCATCCGTCTTTGCTATTTTTGTTTATGATTCTCTAGCAATTTTTTATGTATGCATTCACTTTTGGTTTTTGCCCTCTTTGTTATTTTTACCATTTGTACTAATTAAACAAAAATGAAGTAATAACTACAAGCAAAACTCCTAAATGGAAAGCGTGCTTTAAAAAAAAAAAAAAAAAAAACTGACACACACACATACACACTCTCGTTTAAAAAGCCAAATTGGTATTAAAAAAAGATCAGCACTCCTTTTTGCTTACCTTCTCATCATAACCATATATAATTCTATCCCCTTGTGAATATCACTTAACATAGTAGTTGAAAGAAGGCCTTCTCCGCAATGGATATATACACATTGATATTCATACATATAAAAGCTAGAGGTATTTCCACTGTCTACGCTGCTTACGATTGTAATGGAGTGGGTAAAACTCTTCCTTCCTTTCATTCGATATGTATTTGCCTGAACTGTTCAGGACGTACAATGCAAAATAGGTTCGTCCAAATTTTCTATTTCTTAACCCTATCATGTTATAAACACGCTGTGGTAACATTTCAATTTCTTTTGGATACTCAATAAAAATAAGACAATCCTGATCAAACAATTCACTATATGCTATGTTACGTATGAGATCACTGTAAACAATTTGTTCATACGGTGGAGTAAAGAATGCTAAATGAAATTTTTCATGAATATGAAATTTAAAGGGATATTTTAGTAACTCCATTGCATCTGCTCTTATTATTTTATTATATAAATGATATATATTACATAATTTTAAATTTTCAAAAATGGTTTTACAACTATTTAATGATAAATCAACAAAAGTAACATGAGAAAGATCTCTTGAAATACATTCGATACCTAAATTACCACTGCCACTAAAAACATCCAAAACATTTATATTTGCATTACTAAATATTCCTAAATGGGATAAAATATTAAATAGAGATTCTTTTACCTTACTCATCATTGGTCTTGTATAAGTATCAGGTGAATATATTTTTTTATTCTTAAGTTTTCCTTCATGGATACTTAAAATTTTCTTTTTTCTATAATTTATATTCATTGTTTCGTTATAAGTTTTTACTTTCAAAAATTTATATTTGGATTTTATTTTACTGTTTGTTTGTCTCCTTACATTTAGCTTTTCTTCTGGTATACCATACTCATCTTTTTTTATTATACTTTTTTTTTTTCCTCCTTTTACTTCATCCATTTTAGGGAGCAAATCTGATGCAATGTCTGCTTCTGCTTCTGCTTCTTCTTCTTCTTCTTCCCTTTGAGTGTTCAACAAATTGTTAGATTCTTCAAGTTCCTCCTCTTCCACTTTCTTTATTTTACCCATTTGGTCACCCATTTCATCCTTTCCCCAGCAAGTTGAATTCTTCTTTTTGATGCATTTTAAGTGATCAATTCTTTTTTCTCTCTTCCACCAATTTAAATTCAGGTAACGTCTTTCCTTAGTACACAGATAAAAACAGCCGTCTACATAAAGCACATTTTTTTTCCTTCCACAAATGATCGTACATGTTCTGTTAAAGTAAATATTATTATTCTTTATGTATTTATTTTTAAAACATGGTTTACAAGAGATTTTTATCTTCTCATTTTGAAGAGAAAAAAAAAAAAATACACATGTGAGAGTGAGAAAGAACTCCAATTTCACAATAGTGAAAAGGTTCATTTGTCATAGCAAAAGGGGTAAAAAAAAAAAAAAAAAAAAAAAAAGAAAAAAAGAAAAAAAAGAAACCCTTGCGATGCTCTCTTTTCATCCTCCCCCATTTTTCATTTCCTATATGTACATATATATATATATATATATCTAAGTATGTATGTGTACATATTTGCATGTATATATTTTTTTTCTTTACCCCTCTCTCTCAAATTGGCATTATTAGCCAAATTTGTGTCATAAGAAATTATTACACTTTCTGCACTTAATAACCAAATATATCACATTTTAAATAAACACAGTATCGCTTAGCAGAAAAAAAAAAAAAAAAAAAAATCGTCACTTTTTAAATAAGCACGTAGATTTGAAACGGTTTTGTGCCGTGTTAACCAAATGAAGAATCTTCAATTGTTGCACCACTATAACCTGTGCATTGTCGTCCCATAACTTTTTACGTATTTACAAATTATTAATTTTACATGTGGAAACATATTTTTCTTTTTTTTCTTTTTTTTTTATTTAGAAATTGATACATGAAATGAGAAATAATGAGTTCAATTAAGTTGAAGTTTTAAATAAATGAAGATTCCAAGGCAGGTAATGCAAAATGGGTGTGTGACGATGCAAGTGTTGCTATGCAATTGTGGCACAAGCAGGAAGAGATATGGCACTCACGTGTGCAAATTCTAAAGACTATATTTCTTAAGCAAAAGGACGACCTCAATAGTAGAACAAACAAATTAACCAAAACATGGAGGTAAATAATGAAGATGTGAAGTGTAGAATATTCCGTCCAGTGAGCAACATCGTACTTTCCAAAAAATAAAGCCAAATAGAGTACACTATGATAGGGTAAAATATAAAATAATAACATATAACATAATAACATATAACATAATAACATATAACATAATAACATATAACATAATAACATATAACATAATAACATATAACATAATAACATATAACATAATAACATATAACATAATAACATATAACATAATAACATAATAACATATAACATAGTAGGATATAACATTATAAGAACAGGGCGCTCCTAACAGATCACTCGCTCACGTAAACGCACACTGTACCATAGAAGCAGACGAGAAAGCCAAAAGATTAAATCTTAATGATATGTATAAAATCCAAAACACATTACACGAACGTGTGAAAAATGAAACATGAGAAGGATGAACAGAAAAAAAATGATAAATTTAATTAATCCTATGCGTGAAAAGTGAATCTCCCTCACAAAAACGAAGTGGTTGTAAAAAGCGATGTAAATCATTGCGCGATAAAAACAATTAGCACAAAGTGAAGAGAAAAAAAAAAAAAAAAAAAAAAAAAAAAAACCAAAAAAAATCGCTCTTCAATCGAAGCTTCATCTCCTCTGTGTACCTTAAGGAAATGCATTTTTTTTTTTTTTTTTTTTGGACATATCAAATTAGGATCAATCTTCTACAAAATTTGGCATTCAGATTTTTCTTTACCCCTACTTTCTTTATAGAAGGACACAAAAAAATGTGTAAAAAAGAAGAAAAATAAATGTAAATGTTAAGAGTAGCGCTAAGTTGTGGTATTAAGCACAATGTTTAGTGCTATGACAGATATGCAGTAGAGACAAATATTCCTGACATATATAAATAATACTTTTTTTTTCACACAAATGTACACATGGAAAAAAAAAAAAAAAAAAAAAAGAAAAGATAAACGCCTTCTCTCTCGATGCTTACATTGTATTCATGGTGAAGTATCCTACATTGTATTTTTTAATTCCCCATTCGTATTTAAAATAAATATCTCCGATACTTGTAAACAGGTTCGAATAATCTGCAAACAGACATATAGTAGTCAAGATGAAATCAAAAAAAAAAAAAAAAAAAAAAAAAATTCTTTTTTTTTGGAAATACGCAAAATGGGCTAGTGTCGTTAAAGCGTAGTGCACCAAGGTGAAAGTTGGATACTCAGATGCGTGGAGTGGGTGAAATGGGATCACGCAGACACAGCCAGTCACACATCTAGTCATATTGCTAAACACACAGCTAGTCACACTGCTAGACACACATCTAGTCACACACCCAGTCACACTGCTAGACACACAACCAGTCACACTGCTAGACACACATCTAGTCACACAGCTAGCCACACTGGGGTATAAATCTTACAATATTTGTACGCTGAGATAACGAAAAAAAAGTAAAAGTTCAAGGCGGGAACCTGCGAAGGAACCTTAACCACCAGTTTCTTCACTCCTGTTAAGTAATTAAAAGTTAATCTCCAAGAAGGAACATCAGATGGTGGTTTCAATTTTTTTCTAATGAACAAATTTTGTAGTGAATTCATAAGAACATCCGATAAATTTGGAACTTTGGATATTTTAAGAACATTGTGAGGTTCTAGCTTTATATCAAATTGTAGTATAGAATATTTGCTACGAAACTGATTAAATATTAATGTAACATCTGACATGTATTTTTTTATGGAAAAAGATTTATCATCATACCATTCCTCAAATTGTTTTCTTAATTTCATATAATTACAAATACTTGGTGTATTTGATTTGCAGAATTTATAATACAAGTTCCATTTAAATCTTTTTTCAAAAGAATCATCAAAAAAAAAATACGCTTTTACTTCATATCTACCAAGAACTTGCTCTTCTTTAAGTCTTAAGGACTTTTTATACCTCGTCGTGTATCGCACTATCTTTTTTTTCGCTGTTTTTATTAAACTCTTTTGTTTTTTCCCACATTCATTTTTCCTAATTCCTTCAACATATATTGATAAACACAACAACAAGACAAAATGAAACGTTTTCATTTCTCTCTAGATAGTGAAAATTTTGGGGTGGGGTGGGTTGGAGAAAAAAAATGTGATCTTAAGTTAATACAACTTATTTGATAAATAGATTGTACTACTGATCTCAGACTATAGCAACTTTGCTATTATCACAGTATACAATTTCTCGTAAAACCAGAGTTATGTCTTAGCCTTTGCAAATCCTCCAGCATTCAGACACTTATCTCAGTGTTCTTCTTCGGTGCAAAAAAAGTACGCGAATAATGGAGAAGTGAATAAATATCAAATGAACAAGTAGCAAACGAATAAGTAGCAAATGAATGAGTAGCAAATGAATGAGTGGCAAATGAATGAGTGGCAAATGAATGAGTGGCAAATGAATGAGTGGCAAATGAATGAGTGGCAAATGAATGAGTGGCAAATGAATGAGTGGCAAATGAATGAGTGGCAAATGAATGAGTGGCAAATGAATGAGTGGCAAATGAATGAGTGGCAAGTGGGGGGAAGCAAAGCATGCACAAGACAACTGCAATGCAAAAAGAAGACTTAAAAGGTGATGCTGATGAAATGGTAAAAAAATGAATGTCCTTTAACAATCTCCCTATTTCCTTATTTTTCATGTCACAGGTAAATAGACATTCCAGAAAATGTGACAAGAGATACATTTTTTTTTTTTTTTTTTTTTTTTTAAATTATGAAACATATAAAACACTTGACAAATGTTTCACGAACCATTGATACATAACTTATTCGGAAGTCACAAATGAAACACCTTTGGTAGAAATGATGCTGCACTTGCATGCACATAAAGCTTAAGCAGAGTAAAATGGACCAAAATGGGCCAAAATTGGCAAGGGAAAAAAGAAAAAAAAAAAAAAAAAATTGCATTAATTTGCAAACTGTGTCTTACTTGGAGTAAACCATTTCACTGTAGAAATAGCCATACTCATAAATGAAAAAAATATATTTATGTATCCACATGTATGTCTATATCATACACGCCTCCACCTGCTGAAGAAGTGAAAATGAAAATACACAAAAATCTGTTATACACATACCCAACTCGCAAATAAGGAACAGAGAACTCCCGGGAATAGAACAATCAGGAGGTATATAGCACGTCCAGAATTTAACATTTTCATTATCCAAAATAGAAAAAGATCTAAGAATAGAAACAAATGCTTCTACCATTGGAGCATATTCTTCCCATAAAATGAGAAATAATTAGGTATTCCCTCCTCCTCCTCTTCCTACTTTTTTTTTTTTTTTTTTTTTTTTTTCACCCCTCCCCCATTCTCATTTACACACATAATAAAAAAAGAAAATAAATCAGCAAAAATGTAAGTAGGAAAATGAATAGAAGTTCCCCTCGTTGATCTACTCCTAAATGGTTACAACTCGTCCATTGGAACAAGGAGAAAAAAAAAAAAAAAAATCGAAAGAGAGATAAACAGATTGAAAGAGAGATAAACAGACCGAAGGAAAGATAAACAGATCGAAAGAACACATTCCAGGGCAAGTGAAAATGTATAAACAAATTTCCTCAAATGTTCCATATAAATGTATGACTAAGCGCAAATGGATCTATTTAATTCACACTATTCTCCTGTATCATCAGGACTAAACACAGAAGGTATCCAAATTTATTATCTAGCTGGGATACAACATACCATTTGCAAAATTTCAAAAAAAAAAAAAAAAAAAATTATCAAATGGATATTACTGTAAAAATATCTCTTCTCATTTACAATTACAACAAGTGATTATCATTATATTCATGCAAAAATGATGTTAAGTTTTTTTTTTTTTTTTTTTTTTTTTTTTTTTTTTTTTTTGTACTCCAAGTGATAGATAAAAAATAATATGTGCAAAAAAAAAAAAAAAGGAAAAAATTTTCCGCATGATAAAATTTCAACCGTTGTACATAGAAAATACAAAAACAGACACGCACACAATATATTCTAATTTTTTCTCCATTTTTTAGAGAAAATTTTCTCGAATTAGACAAAGGAGAAAAATAAATGTAAATCTCCACACGTCAAAATTATCATTTATGTTTATCCTCTCTCCACACACACGCACACACCTCCAAAAGTACATGAAATACAAATATTTTTTCCTTCTTTGGAATATTTTGTTCATGGAAGTTTGTACATTATAGTATTACAACTTTTTGATAAACGTGTAAAATATGGCATTACGTGCAGCGTAAAAGTGCAAATGTTCAGATGAATCATTTCATTCAGTTATATATTTCTAAAACTTTTAGGCACCATTTTAAACAACCAATTGAGTGCGACAAATTCTCCCATCCCCAAATCAGCAACAAAAAAAAAAAAAAATCTGAAACCTTCAATTTCTTGTCGCAATTTCAGTGTTTACTTATAACGCTCCGAATCACAACTTTTTTTTTTTTTTTTTTTTTTTTTCTTTTTCTTTTCATCCACACAAGGAGAAAAAAATGAAAAGCGGGGGAATTCAAAAAAGTGAAAACGCAAACGTATGAAAAGGACGAATGTATAAAAACACAAAATAGCGAAAAACGAAGCAACCGAACAGTGAAGCACCTAAACGTCGAAGCATCGCTAACATACCATTTTGAATCGTTCGTATGCATGTCCCAAGAAAAATATATCGTAAAATAACATTCCTCTCCTAACCATCTTCTCTCTGAATATAATCATCTTACATATTATGGTCCCACAATTCTTTGCTAAAATTTATTTTTAAAAAGTTTTTTTTTTTTTTTTTTTTTTTTTTTTTTTTTAAAACATACCACATTTAGTAGTATACACAAGAGGGGTGTCACATTATATATTTGTATGCATCGTATGTTTCACGTGCATATGTTGCTGTATCTTACCCAATCCCTATTCAACACTTTAATTAATTCATTACATTTGGGGCTTTTAATTATCTCACCTTGGTTAAAATCATCATCACAGGTAACAACTTATGTTCCAAATATAAAAAATGGAACATTGAGTTAGGGAAGTGCATACAGAAGAACACGCATATGTATCCCTGGAAGTAGCAAATCTGGAAGAAGCAAATCTGGAAGAAGCAAATCTGGAAGAAGCAAATCTGGAAGAAGCAAATCTGGAAGAAGCAAATCTGGAAGTAACACAACTAGACGTTGCAAATCTGGAAGTAACAAATCTAGACGTTGCAAATCTGGACGTACGAACCCAGAGGTAACAAAATTCGCAGACGCAAGGTAACCCCTACATTTCCCCCACGCATGCGAGACCTTCACTAAATGAGGAAAGAAAAAAGAATTGCACATTGCTTAAGTGCACTCGTGGTGGCAATCATATACTCATGTTGTTTGTTGAATGTAGTAATATCATGGAGAGTGAACAAAAATGAAGATCTCTTGAAAAGTTTGGGAAGTGGAAATGTTATAAAAAAATCGAGAGTCGTATATAATTTATCCAACGAAAAGATATATCTTAGTGAAGAATATTTTGACAATATAAGGACATTACAAAGTATGCTACTGACGTGTTTCAAATCTGAAGAGAAAAAAAGAATTTTAAATGATATTGGTATAGAAAGTGTAAGATCTTTATTTTATGAAAACTTTAAACAAGAATTATATAGTAATCTTACATTTTTTTTCAAATTCATAAGAGAAAATTTTCCATATCTTACTAAAAAACTCAAGGAAGAAAAAGAGAAAAAAAACTTAAATGAAAAACAATATGTGTCAAACGAGAGATTGTTACAGATATTAGAAGATGTTATTGGTTATGATATAGAAAAAAATGCATTTTATTTTGAAAAATTAGTTCAATTCACAACCCTAGGGAAATGTTTTGATATAACATTTTCAATGAATATACAGAACACACGAAACCCTGTCATTCTTATTGCAGAAGTGGATTCAAAAAATAACTTTCTACATGTAAAGATAAATAATAGTGTGGAAGACGAGGATGAAGAGCCATCAGGAGGGCTAGGAGCTGTGGGAGGAGAGAAAATAAAAAATGCAGATGACACAGCAAAGAAAGAAAACTTGATGAATAAAGACAAAGTGCCATTTCTGCAAAACATCATGAATCCCCTAAAAACAAGCAACTTGGTGGTAAAAATGGCAAAAAGAATGACTTGGCCAACGGGCTATTTTAGAAATTTATGTAGCAAACATAACTTTCAAGCAGCATCAGAAAATTGGGTTGAATATTTTTATAATCATAATGAAACCTTATGTCATGTGGAAACATGTGGTTCAGGGGATTGTTTATTTTTATCTCTGCAATATTTATTAGACAAAAATGGAATAAAAACAAATAATTTAGTTCTAAACACACAGGTCCATGAAAGTTCTTTTATTCCATGGTATGTAAGAAATGTTAAACAAACAGACGATACAAAATTTAATGTTAGTGATTTGAGATATTTAACAACTTTTTATTATATAAAATATTTTCCTGGATATACAGAAGATTATGAAATTGATGAACATTATATTAATGAAAAGTTTAATCTTCTCATTAATCTTGAATTCACAAATTATTATTTGAAGAAAGATTTTATATATAAAGTCATGAAACAAAATAAAGAGGAACATAAAAATATTAAACCTGTACTTTCACTTATCTCAAATTACGTTAGTAAATATCTCAACTTTGGTGGACGTCCATCCACTGAAAATTCACGAGAAACTTCTTCTTCCTCAAGTTCTAGCATATCTAAGATCAACAAGGAAAATAAAACTCAAAATTCAGATAATAATAGTACTGTCAATAGTAGAAAAAATATCGATTATCCAAAAACAGACAACATGGAAAACACTTTAACTGCACAGCTGCATACACATAAAAATATTCACGATTTAAGAAATGTCCTGGGCAATCCTTTAACACCTTTAAATGACACCCACAGTGAACATCCAATAAATCCCCTTCTGACGAGTGATAGGAGATTGTCTAGTGGAAGTAGCATTTCCACAGATACTATATACGACTCAAGTGATGAATCTATTGAAATTCAGAAATTAGAAGGTGTAAAAGAAGGGGAAAAATTAGCAAAGGATGTATACTATCGAATTACCTACAAACCTGGAGAATCGACAGATAATAGTGATAGTGACGAAGGCACTACTGGTGGTAATACCAGTACTAGTACTAGTAGAGGTAGTGGTAGTGATAGTGGTACTAGCGGAGAGACACACTTTTTGAAGAAGCCACCAATTACCATTTCGACTAGGAGTAAAGAAATCCATGAACTAAATACATCAGATAGAAGAGATACGCTGAAATATAGCAACAAAACGAAAAATCTTGAACTGCCAAATGTTGGATTCTTAAGATCTAAGGAAGAAAGTGCATATGAACACTTGGCCATACCAAAGGGTTTAGAGGACACTACTACATATTCGCAAGAAATTATGAAAACAAAAAGGAATTTTACAAATCAGGGTGTCCTACGTGCATCCTATTACAACAATCCTGTAACATCTGGAATGCTCGGTGCAGAAGTAGAATATGAAAAAAAAAAACTGATGAATCCAAATGCACCAGCAAAATCAGAACAACCAGATGTTATAGTAGAGGAAATTTACAGTGATGATGAAGAAGCACAAAAAGGAAAAACAAGCATAACGAAAAACGACAATGATAATGATGATTATGAAGATATATTACAAGATATACACGAACCTGGGTATAGAGTGTATGAATTAATTTTTTTCAAATTAATATCCCTATCAGCTAATAAAATAACTTTTGAAGAATTAAAAAAAATGAATAAAACAAATATACAGAATTTAATAGGAACAAAATTTAAATCCAAAATTATAGGTTCTCACGTTTTTATGAAACAAATAACAGAAGGGACTATCCTTCCATTTTATAACTTTGTTAATATAAAAAATAAATTAAATAATGTGAATAGAAAAATAAATTATGCACATCCAGATATATACGTTGCTGTGATAGAAACTACATTTAATAAAAAAATTAAAAGAAAAAAGGATGGATTACTTACTAATAGCTTAATTTTCAAACACAATGGAGATTGTATATCCTACTGGTCTATAAAAAATAATGATTATCATTTTACTTGTGATAATAAAGTTATCGAAACAAAAACAATTGAACAAAAAGCTTCTGCTCTCTTCTATGAAAGAACAAGAACTGGACATACCCATTGGGGGGATGAAACAGATTATGATTCTTTTCAAAAAATGTTTAACATTGGATTGATTACTTTTATGAATAACAACACCAAGTTCTTTTTTTCAAAAAATACTTTTAAAGATTATCCAATATACTTTTTGATTTACTTCTATTCTGGTATTCACTTCGAACCTGGTATTCACATCTCAGTCCATGGCGAACATGAAACATGTCATTCTTCTTATGACAGAAATCATATTCCCTCGTCCTTTCTACAGGTTCCCATAGAGTAATAATAAAAAAAAAAAAAAAAAAAAAAAAATGGGGCGAGGGACTTGACATTTTAGAAGGATTTCACATTTGGGACACCTTGGTCCTGTGTGTGTACTTATATTCAGGTTCGAACGAAGAATAAAAAAAAAAAACGACTGGAAGTAAGTAATGTTAATTTTTTTTTTTTTTTTTTTTTTTCTCAATTTGATTAATATTTGTGTAGCCTGTGTATCACCATTTGGCTACGCAGTTGGGTTTGCTTTCTCATTGCTTCATATTCAGCTTAGTTTATTTGTTCTCTTCTTTTTTTCAGCTTTTTTTTTCAGCTTAGTTTTTTGTTCTCTTTTTTTTTTCATCTTAGTATTTCAGCTTAGTTTTTTGTTCTCTCCTTTTTTTCATCTTAGTATTTCAGCTTAGTTTTTTGTTCTCTCCTTTTTTTCATCTTAGTTTTTCGTCTTCTTCATTTTCGTTCACTTTGTTTTCTGTTTGTTGTCTTATGTGCCTTATTTGGGGATTGCACCCCCACCTGCACCCTAACCGCTTATCCTCATTCTTCTTTTTATTGTCATCTTCATTTCACTTATTCATACATTCATTTCATCGTCCTGCTTTTGTACGTCGTCGAATAAACCTCTATTCAAACCTCCTTTACTTGAACTGCTGGGATCAGTGAATATAATTCCAAATTTTGTCTCTTTCAATTTTAAAGCAGTTTCCCAACACGCTCAGTGGAAAGGAGTATATATATTTTTGTAAATCTTCCTCTACTTCTTTTCCACAGATCTGTCACTCCTCTGCCACAGATCTGCTTCTTCACTAGTTGGGAGAGAAAACGCAACTGTAATTGTAAGTGTCACATTTCAGGTATGGTTCCACTATGTAGTGCAGTTACACACGACGAAACTTCCTCGTTATTCCTACCTAAAGATTCCTACAATTTGAAGAAAAAATAATTCAAGTGTGGTTTCAAGTAGAGAGAGCAAATTTTGAGGCTTTCCTGGGTCACTAATCCTGCAATGGTCATACATACACATTCATTGTAACCGCACGTGAATCTAAAGAGATGGAGAAAAGAGTCGTCCAAATTCTGTACTTTCTTCAACAAAAAGCTCATGTGCATGTCTATATATAAACATAAACGATGCAAAGATTTCATGTTGTCATATCTAAGCTTGCGTGTAATATTCTCTTCAATTGATGATGAACACAATTTAACATGTTTATTTAGCTTTTTCCTAATTTTCATATCTTCTATACTTTGATAAAAATGCAAAAGACCTGCTTTACTTCCACATAGTAATAATTTTCCAAATTTTTTTCTCCGAATAATCATATACCCATCACTACTTGCCCCACCACTTGGTATGGCACTTGAATTTTTCATGCTGTTTTCTTTAACACAGTTGGGATTGCATATAGGAGAAGAACTTCCTTGCGTGAACATGTTCAGGTTATTTTTTTGAACATTTTTTAATTCCAAACCATATAGATAGGAGAAAAGCAAAAAATTGTCTCGTAAGCCTTTGCACCCCTTGTGAATATCATACTCCACTTTTTCAATGAAAAAAAAGTTAAAAAAAAAATGAACAAAGTGAGACATATTAAATGGTTTACTAAATTTGTATTTTCCTTTCTTCCTATCAATCAAATGCATAACCTTTTTTACATCTTTCATCTTTCTATTTGTCAAAATTTCGTTCACAAAATATGCATCATTTCTGTTACTTCCCAAATCTAGGCTACCTGCACTTGAACATTCCAATTTCAAATCATGCACCAGAGGAAATGTCTTCTCATTCTTTATAAAACTTTTTAAAACGATCAAAAATAGAAAAATGTGGTTTTTATTAAAGCATTCTTTTTGATTCATTAAAAGAAGATTCCTTATTCTCTGTGTAATGTTTCTTAAGTTTTCCATGCTGCATGTAGTTGATTGGTCTGGATGAGGAAGGGAGAAATTTTCTAATTTCAGTTTTTCCATTATGAAAGTTAAACATTGATTACTATCAACTTTAGTTTTACCTTGTTGGAAAAAATCATGATAACATTTTAACAGAAATAAAATTTTGTCTTTCTCTTTATATGGACAAAAGGAACAGAAATCTAATTTGTGTATATACTCCTTCAACTCATCATATAGAGACAGGGATATGTGAAAATAAATCCAGAAATTATTTTCCTCTCTTTTCTTCATGCTATAACTACCTGTATACAAATGACTTCTTACACTTGCATGTACGTATCCTAAATTTCCATTAGAATAACATGTTATGATCTTGAAACAATTATTCATGCATATCTTTTGTACAAATAAATTATTCCTTATACATAGGTTGCATATAATCACGTCATACATATAATTTTTTGAAATTATTTCATAAACATAATTTATTGGATTTTCAATAAGACACACAATATTGGCATTCTTGTTCATACTCATTAAGTTCTCTTTCAATACCACACACTTATATTCATTTATTATTTCATTTTCTTTGCAAAAAATGTAATATTTAACATCTTCAACACACACACGTTCATTATCTACAATCGTGATATTCGATATCCCACTCAGCAAAATACCTCTTGCAACCTCCATCACAATAAGGCTGCTTCCTAGTATGCAAACAGAGCTATCCATCAAAATTTCTTGATGCACTGTTCCCCATAGTGATATTTGTCTCGTAAATTTCTCTTCTTCTTCCATCTTCCTTCGCTGTACTCAATATTACCACGGTTATATCATTCCATACTTTTCCAGATGCTTGGATTATTCTCACTTTTTTCATCTCAAACGGTTATTTTACATCTTTTCCCAAAATCAGAAAATTTTCCAGCTAGCTTTTCTTCTTCGCCACGGGAAAAAATCAGGCACCAAGGAAAGGAACGGTTCGCCAAGTTCGGTCAAGTTCGGTCAAGTTTCAGCCAAGTTTCAGCCAAGTTCATTTCAGTTTTTTTTTTTCTTTTTGCTTCTCCCCCACATGCATATGCAACAACTGTACGCGATGTCAAACGCAGGGAGTGCTCCCTTTTAAGCAAAAAAAAAAAAAAAAAAAAAAAAAAAGCGGGAGGTAGAAAGTGGTAGGTGGAAATTGGCAGATGGAAAGTCAAAAAAAAAAAAAGGTGCAAAAAAGCAAAAAAGCAAAAAAGCAAAAAAGCAAAAAAGCAAAAAAGCAAAAAAGCAAAAAAGCAAAAAAGCAAAAAAGCAAAAAAGCAAAAAAGCAAAAAGGCAAAAATATGGTAAAATATTACTTACGGTATTACCATTTTGTGTGAATATCTGAAAAAATATAATTTATACTTATTTATTTTATTTTATTTTTTTTTTTCCTTATCATCATTCTCAATCTATAACACTATATATTATATAACCCCCGTGACACTAGTCAATACTTCGGGAGAAACGCTTTCCAAATTCAGACATCCCCTAGCACCACCCATCACCAATCCTTACACTTTTTCTTTATTTTTTACATTTTACTTAAAAAAAAAAAAAAAAACCTATACGGAAAATAATTTTTCCAAAAAAATAAAAAAACGAAAAAATGGGATTGTTTTTTTGTTTGGAGAAAGATCCAAAACTAATGGAAAAAATACAAAGTTGTTATTTCGTACAAAAAATTAAAAAAAAAAAAGAAAAAAAAAGACTTATTCTTGAGGCAACAAATTGTCAAACGTGTAAATATGATTTTTTCCGATAAAATGGTGATATGATAGGAATGTTCTATAAGTGTGGGGTTATTTCCAACACTTGCAAATTTTTTTCCTCCTCTTCTGCTTCCCACTTAAAACAATTTCGAAGAGAATTTTTTTTTTTTTTTTTTTTTCTTTCGAAACACATCCTGCATATCAATGTAATTACCGCTCTGTGTTTTGACACCCAGAATTTTTTCGCGTTCCTTTCTTTTTTGTATGTACTTTTTGATGGATTTCTTACGTGACATAAGTTCAGGATAATGAATTTTTGCACTCTTGTCGAATTTCCCTCCTAACATTTTTATTTGATGATTTTCTACATTTTTTTTTTGAAACTTATCTAAGTGGGGTATGGTCAATCTCCGAATTTCGTGCACCACATCCATGAAATTCTTTTTTAATTCCATTTTTTCTTTCTGTATATTTTTTTGGTTTATTATGCTTTCTCCTCCATTACCTCTAAGTTTCTTCATTTTATGTTTTCCCAAATTTTCTTTTCCTTCTCTACATGTCCACTTAATATTCCCATTTTTATCTACATCCATGCCAGTTGTTTTATTTCCTTTTGAAAAAAAAGGAGTTGTTCGTTCGTACACCATTTCTTCCGTCTTACACGTTTTATTTTGTGCACTGCTTCGTTTAGCTTCTTTTATAGCACCCTTATTTTTCTTCCTCTTGTTATTCCTTTCATAAAATCCATTCTCTGTATTTTCACAATTTAGGTGCTTTGATGGGTTCACATTGGATGAGGTATTAGAAGCGGTGTCAGAAGTGACCTCAGATGTGACCTCAGAAGCGGCAACAGAAATGGCATCGTCACGATTGCAGTGAATCAGTTCCTTCACTTTCCTCTTCCTTATCTTTTTTACCCTAGAGTTATCAGTTGTCTCATGTTTAGGTTCAGGCACCTTATCTAATTTTGTGGCTTCCTTTGATCTTGGCAATACACTTATACTTTCACTACATTCACATATTTTATTATGTTCGTCTTTTTCATCATCTGAATTTGACACAAATCCCCATAGTTTGTCCATGTACTGTTGTAAATCTTTAGGTATAGGTTTTCCATTTTTTCCATGGATTTTTTTTTCTTTTCTGTTCTCCTTATCCTTTTTCATTCTTTTTGTAAGGTATAAAAACAATCGAAAAAATATATATATATATATATATATATTTTTAATTTATTTTATGTTTTCCATTATCACAGAGTGTTAAAAAGCAGCTATATTAAAAAAAAAAAAAAAAAAAAAAAATTTTCATTTTTTTTTTTTTTTTTTTTTTTATTTTTTTTTTTTTTTTTTTTTTTTTTTTTTTTTTTTTTTTTTTTTTTTTTTTTCCTTTTTTGGATTGTAGTAGGTGTCGAAATATTAAAAAAAAGAAAAAAATAGTAAGCTGCCTGCCATCCCGATGGGAATTATGCAACCTACTGACTTAACTATGCAAAATATTCTTAATTTCAAAATTGTGAACTTTCTTCCCTACAAGGAAACTTCAAGTTTTCCCTCCAAACACAATCAAGAACCTGCTTCTGATATGTGCAATCAGGTGTTTTTTTTTTTTTTTTTTATTCCATTCATTTTTTATTCTATTAATTTTTCATTTATTTATATATTTTATTTTTTTTCCGTGTTCCTTGACGAATATATACACGCAAGAGAAGAAGATCGAACAACTTGTTACCACAGAATTGCAGAGGCTCACAATTTTTCTCGTTTTGTTTATAGGTATAGCAAGTGGAGCCTCGTCTGATGCACATAATTATATGAACATATAAAAAAATACGTACAAATGTACAGATATAAAAATACGTACAAATGTACAGATATAAAAATTCGTACAAATGTACAGATGTAAAAATACGTACGAATATACAGATATAAAAATACGTACGAATATACAGATATAAAAATACGTATGTATGCATACATTCATATGCTTATGTATACATTTCCTCATACATAACAGAGCGAGCTTTGTTCCTTTTGGGGCCTCAGGTTATTCATAGGGGAACTACTCGAGCATAATCTTATAACTTTTTCACCGAATGCTCGTGGAACACACACACAAGTTATACATGCATATAAGAACATATTAACCTAACGAAGCTGCCCTCCTAACCTTCAACTTATACAAAACTTATCTTCACACACACCCTCTCTTAAGGGGCTTATATTTATTTATTGTTTTACTTATTTTATTTTTTTTTTTTTTTTCGTTCCATTTTTAACGAAACTTTCATTGATAAAAATTACTTGTGAGGAAAATGGCGACAACAAACAAGAAATTGCAGAAAATTATGACCCAGCCTATAGTAAAAAAAACAAAAAAGAAGAAAAGCCAAAGGCATGTGAAAAACGTGCTGACAATTATGTATTTATTTATATACGTTTAGACATAACTCCCTTGTTACATCTCAACATTAATCCCGTTTTTTTTTTTTTTTTTTTTTTTTTTTTTTTTTTTTTTTTTGCTTCGAATTATTTGTAGAACCAAATTTTTAGGTTTTTCACGAACAAAACAGTGGTCCAAATTTGGCTGTATGATAAACCAGACACACGAATTGAGGGGAAAATTCTGGTAATAAGAATTTATTCTTTAAAATTGACCCCACAAACTGCAAATATATATTTGTTTTTTTTTTCTGTTTCGCTACTCCTATATTGCATGCACTCTATGAACACATGAAGGCATATCATTATTTTAATTTATTCATTATTCTGATTTATTATTTTATTTTGTCATTTTTATTTTATTTTTTTTCCACCTCCTTTGTCTTCCGCACGGCAGGGTTTTGATGAATACATGAACATGGTTCTAGACGAATCAGAAGAAATTTCTGTGAAGAAAAATACGAGAAAAATCTTGGGGAAAATTTTGCTTAAGGGAGACACCATAACTCTAATAATGGAAGCGTAATATATAGATTTTTGCATGGAACTGTTTATCAAAATGCATACCGGAATATATGTGTACCCGCCTTATCCCCAAAATGAATACTGGCCATTGCATGTGTCTATTCTAATTTCTATCAAGGATTCACAATTTTTAATATTTCTTATTTTTATACGCATATTCGTGAATCCATCCGCATCTATATAAACGCAATTTGTTACACCATAGCTGGACGTGTTTCATTTCTTTTATTTTATTTCATTTTATTTTTCGGAATATTATTCACATGACATTCTTTCAGTCCTGCTCAATGAGAATTGAAATTAAAGCGTATTTTGTATTGTTCTGCTGTATGCTGTTGTGTTTTATTTTTTATTTCTTTTTAATTTATATTATGTTATGTTATACTATGTTATGTTATTTCATTTTTTTTTTTTTTTTTTTTTTTTTTTTTTTTTTCATCCCACCAATATACAGGAAAAAGACAGAACAAGAATAGGAACCCCTCAATTTATTATTTTTCAGAGGTTCACTCATTGTGGATCCCAACTTATGACATTACTTTTAAAGCCCTCCCCCTCCCTTAACCATTTCCTAGCTATACTCTCTACCCTCCAAAAAAATAGGATTTCCACTTACGAACATGTGCGAGGAAACTCCATTGTTTGCTCCATTTGATTTAAGTACCCGTGTCCTCTACATGCACACGTACAGACACAAACAAGAACAGAAATATGAACACTCTTCTGCGTTCCTTTTATTTTGTTTTGTTTTGTTTTTTTATTTTTTTTTAAATGTAACCCATATATAATCATATGATTGCATGACCATGTACCATAAAAAAAAATATCGCAATATAAAACTCCGTCACGGCAATCCCTCTCTCATTAATTTAGTAATTGCACCATTTGCTTAACTATACATCGTAAAATTAAAAAAAACATGTTAGCACAACTACCAATTGAGGGCCAAATTGAAGCTCACGTGATTATATTAAAAAAGTAAGTTGATACAAATGTGAGGCGACACAATATGGTTGTTAGGTTTGAGATGTGCTTTCTTAGGTACACACACATATTTCGACCAGGCTCTACTTTTGCAAATATTATATTACCAATTTTTTCCACACACTTGGATCAAATGATATTTTCAACGTAGAATAGATAAAAAAAGAGGGAAACCGTGTGAACCTCATTACAAGCTGCATAATCCACATTTCTTAAGATGAAGATACTTCATTTTTACAACTTGTTAACAAAAAAAAATTGAAATTATTTTTTTTGTGTTTCTCCCTGATGGTAAAAAAACGTAATGATTAAATGTACAACTTAGTGAATACCCAAGTATTTTATGTGCATGTGGCATAAGCATATATTTCGTCCCTAACAACCATTCCACTTTGTTCTTCTTGTAATAAAAGGTGTGTCCCCTATAATTTTTAAGGAGAGTTCCCATCTCCTTCCTCCACAAAACGGAAACGTCGCCAAATAGGAAAGTAACAAAACAGCCAAATGGATAATGTGCTATTTTCTAGCTAAAAGTAAAAAACTATCTTGCCTAGTCATAAAAAAAAAAAAAAAAAAAAAAAAAAAAAAAAAAAAAAAAAAAAAAATAAAAAATAAAAAAAAAAAAATTAAAAAAAATTTTAATAAAAAAAAAAAAAAAAAAAAAAAAAAAAATGAACAGTCATATCACTCAATTAACAGTTAGTGCATAATTACTTAACTAACAACTTTTAATAATAAAAAAAAAAGAAAAAAAAAATTAAACATAGCGAAAAAAGAAGAGAGAATGAGTGGCAAACAAAAAAAAAAAAAAAAGGCACTGAGTGTAATGATAATGAACAAACTGGTCCTAAATAATCTGTCATTAAAAAGTCTCCTCATTTCCTTGAGATAAAAACCACTAATATATATATATATATATACCTGAACAGAAAAAAAAAAAAAAAAAAAAAGTTGACACAAGTATAACAATAAAAAATCGCCATATAGGGACAAAGTAGGAATTTCTGGAATAATTAAAAAAAAAAAAAAAAATCATATACTGGCATACTATGAATTCGACAATCCACGATTGATAAGGAATACAAAAATAGAACAATGCATTCTTTATTGTATACTTCTCGCACATGTTCTATGATTTATTTCATCTCCTAAGATATCACAAAAAATTTAGCAACCACTATCACAAATACCTCTTTTCTTACACATCAGTAACTCTGAACAAAAAAAAAAACATCCCTTCCCCATTTAACGGAAAATACTACTTTACCAAAATGAGTGAAAAAAAGGAACACGTGTTGGAAGGCGAAAAAAAAGTCACCAATAACCACCAAGCCAAGTAAGTTGAAATTGCTCATCCATTTCGAAGGTGGCCTGGTTGGGGTTACGACACATGAATTTGTTACTCTATTGAGCCCTCGGTTATGCATGAACATTTGCATGCATATGTGCATATATATGTATGCACATGTATATATTAGCTGGCTCTAAAAGGGATCCACAATGGAAACATGCACATGCCTGTACAAAATTGCTGCGTGCATGTGATAATACTTATGACCACGCATGCAACAGCTCTTGATTGAGAATGTTGCTATACACCTGACCATATCCCCGATTGACACGACTGACCAAATGCTTAGCCACAACTCATACCAAACGCCTAGTCATACGCATGATCACCCCCTCCCCAACGCAGGGATAAGAAAAAAGAAGAAGAGGCAGAAGTTGACCCAAGGCTGTACTACGAGAACAGGTCCAAATTCATCCTTGATCAGAAAGCTAAAGGAGTAAACCCATATCCACATAAATTCGAAAGGACAATAAGTATTCCAGAATTTATAGAAAAATACAAAGATCTGAATAGTGGTGAACACTTAGAAGATACAATTTTAAACATCACAGGAAGGATAATGAGAGTTTCAGCATCCGGACAGAAATTACGATTTTTTGATTTAGTTGGGGATGGAGCAAAAATACAAGTGTTAGCTAATTACTCATTTCATGATAATAACAAATCAAACTTTGCAGAATCTTATGATAAAATTAGACGAGGAGATATCGTAGGAATTGTTGGGTTCCCAGGTAAAAGTAAAAAAGGAGAGTTAAGTATTTTCCCAAAAGAAACTATAATACTTTCAGCATGCTTACATATGTTACCAATGAAATATGGATTAAAAGATACAGAAATTAGATATAGACAAAGATATTTAGATTTAATGATAAATGAACCAACAAGAAATGTATTTATTACTAGAACTAAAATTATTAATTTTTTAAGAAATTTTTTAAATGAAAGAGGATTTTTAGAAGTAGAAACACCAACCATGAATTTAGTGGCTGGTGGAGCAAGTGCTAAACCATTTATAACACATCATAATGATTTAGATTTAGATTTATTTTTACGTATTGCAACAGAATTACCTTTAAAAATGTTAATTGTTGGAGGAATAGATAGAGTCTATGAAATTGGAAAAGTATTTCGAAATGAAGGTATTGATAACACACACAACCCCGAATTTACTTCTTGTGAATTTTATTGGGCCTATGCAGATTTTTATGATCTTATAAAATGGTCAGAAGATTTCTTTTCCAGTTTAGTTTTACATCTATTTGGTACTCATAAAATTTTATATAATAAAGATGGACCTGACAAGGAACCAATAGAAATTGATTTCACTCCACCATATCCAAAAGTTTCACTTGTTGAAGAATTAGAAAAACTAACGAACATCACATTAGAGCAACCATTTGATTCTCCTGAAACAATTAATAAGATGATAACATTGATCAAAGAAAACAAAATTGAAATGCCAAATCCACCAACTGCAGCTAAATTATTAGATCAGTTAGCATCACATTTTATAGAAAATAAATATCCACATAGACCCTTTTTTATTACTGAACATCCACAAATTATGAGTCCTCTAGCCAAATATCACAGGTCAAAACCAGGATTAACTGAAAGGTTAGAAATGTTTATATGTGGTAAGGAAGTTCTAAATGCTTACACAGAATTGAATGATCCCTTTATCCAAAAAGAATGCTTTGCATCACAACAAAAGGATAGAGAAAAAGGGGATTCTGAGGCTTTTCAATTTGATGCTGCTTATTGCACATCTTTAGAATATGGACTTCCCCCCACCGGTGGCTTAGGATTAGGCATAGACCGAATTACTATGTTCTTAACTAACAAAAATTGTATCAAGGATGTTATCTTGTTTCCTACCATGAGACCTGCAAATTAATTTTTGAAGTTCCAATTTTTTGGCTATATTTTAATCACGTTACATTCCTGCAATTTTCTGTTTTTTTTTTTTTTTTTTTTTTTTTTTTTTTCCTTTTTTCCTTTTTTCCCCCTATCGACTTTCCTTGTAGTGCAATCTCTACACACCTAGGGGAGCGCGGAAAAAAAGGGGAAGAACAAATGTGTGTATGTTATTCGCCCTTCCATTTTTCGTCACATTCGTCTTTTTGTTCGCCGCTACATTTTATGATAATCCCACGTCCTCAATAACACGTGACATATGCTTCCCCTCTCCATCATATACCCTAACATGTTAGACACCTCAAAAAATACAAACACGTAAACATAATGCCTATGCTGTATGTACAGGTAAAGGTTTTGCTAAAAAATTATTTTTTATTTCCTTTAAAAATGAACTTGTATTAAGTAAACTGTCTTAATAGTGGTGGACAGGAGTATCATATATTTTTTGTGTGCAATTTTTTTTTTTTTTTTTTTTGTGTGTGTGTGTGGAAATTCTCCAATTCGATTATATTTGCATTTTCTGTTGTTTCTTAGTTTAACACACGCTTTGCTATGAAACCAACTGAGAAGCACATAATAATAAGGGGTTCCGACATTTCTTGATAATAAGTATCACTCACTCATAATTGTATTCTCTTACTGAACTAAATACCATCCAACCATCCCCCAATGAAGGAGAATGACGCTATTTCCTTCGACGTTGCCCACTTTTTGAAAAACTTTGCAGAATTGGAGAAATCGTACGAACATTTGCTAAACCTGAAAAAGCAAAATGAGTTGAAACTCACTGAGGCATTGAAAAATCTTGACGAAATAAAGGAACAATATGAACAGGAAAAAAAAAGTACAGAAACTTGTTTTAGAAATGCAAAAAAAAAAAAAAAAAAAAAAAAAAAAGAAAAAATTCTCCAATATGTTCAGGCAAACATATATATAATCACGCCTTTTTGTCTGACATGTTCAGGCAACAAAAATATGCAAGAATAACGTTTTCACCATATCATATCGATAATTTTCCGACAAATTTTTAGAGAACTTTGAAATGTCAGTTACTATGGGGGAACATACAGATAAATTAATAAAAAAGCACAGTTACGCGGAAAGGTTCGTTCAAAAGTAAAGTTATTGAACTTTGCTTCTTCTTTTTTTAATGAACGTACTTGTTGCACGAATAATTATGTACATGCTCATATGCATATGTCTCCTTTCCATAAATGACAATCAACATGGCAAATTCTCCATCTATATGTGTTTCTCCTCATGCGAATATAACCAAAACAGATACGATTATGTGAAAAGACAGAATGATGATTTTAGAGAAAAAATAGAGTCCTTGATGAAGGAAAAGGAACAAGGTATGTCCTTGGTAGCCATTTATAACTTCTGTTCAGACATCGATTTCGTATGGTATATATGTTCATTCAACACAGATTCAGTCTATAATACATGGCACTCTACTTTATCTCACCCCCCTCCCGCTTCAGAAAAGCTTCTCATGGAGGAGAAAACAAAAATGCTTGAGATGAAAATGAAGCGAGAAGTGCAAGAATATGATAACAAACTGGTGAAGAAAATTAAAACACATAAATTCCCATTAAACCTTGTTCTTACACTAACACATTAGATATTATAAGCAAATTTTCCTTCCTTTTTTCTTTCCTTTTTTCTTTCCTTTTTTCCTTCCTATTTTCCATCCTTTTTTCCTTCCTATTTTCCATCCTTTTTTCCTTCATTTCTTTCTTTTTTTTTTTTTTATTTTCATGCTTACAATGTATACCAATTTTTTGCACTTATTTACGAATGCACACATGTATACGTATATCTTTTTTTAGAGGGAGAGTAAAAATAAATTGTTACAACTACAGAGTCACATTGTAGAATTAGAAATGGATATAACATCAAAGGAGTATAGGAAGATGAAAAAAAAAAAAAAAAAAAAAAAAAAAAATGATTCCCTAATTGCATATATATACATTTTTACGTGAATATTATATACATATAAAGACTCCACTTTTTCTTTTTCTTTTTTTTTTTTTTTTATTTAATCCCTTTGTTACTTTTCAGTGAGGAGGTAAACAAATTGTCCTCCTTATTAAGGGAAATTAAAAAAGAGCATGAAGTGCAAAAATTAGAATATGAGTTGAAAATAAAAGACTTAATTAAAAAAAATGACGAAAACAATAAAAAAAATAAGGTATATTTAGTTACACACTGCTTCGAGTTTTTTTTTCCTTGTTTGCTCTCTAGAAAAACACGTTATATTTTGGTGATTCTTTAAGTTCATTATGGATATGTGTCGCGTAGTAACATACAAATCCAAGTGTAAGCACACATATAGGTATATTCCTAAACCTTCTAGCTTTCTCAAAAAAAAAAAAAAAAAAAAAAATTTCTCGATCTCATTTTTTTTAGGAAGCCATGAGGGATGTAATAAATGACAAAGGAAACCATGCCTTGAAAATTTTAAAGAACAAATTATATCTACTACAACAGGTTATTAAAAAAGGAAAAATTAAAAACAAAAAAAAAAAAAATAAAATAAAATAAAAATAAAAAATTCATAAATCCGTTCCATACCAGTCATGAAATCACACCCCCACCATGTATCTTCTCAAAAAAATGTAAATAAAACTGTTCCCATGTCACACAATATACATGTAGAAATACAATAAGATGGAAAAGGAATACACCAACTTGAAAAGGATTACAAATAAAACGGATAAAAAAGGGATCAACACAAATGTCCGTACCAAAACCGGACGTAGCAAGGGTTTATATGAAATATAAAAAAGTCTATTCAAAGAATTGGGCAAACTAGCGGTGTGCATACATATATGCACAAATACCTATGCACATGTATGAATAGAAGGATACATTTTTTTTTTTTTTTTTTTTTTTTGTTGCTTAAATTTCAACGCGTATTTGAATAAACTCTTAATTAGTTAAGTCGTGATAATATCAAAAAGGTAAAAAAATGATACACAACCGGGTTAGGGGAAATAAATGTCGAAAAACATACATTTACATATTTTAATGTGCATGTAAGAAAACGACTCTGTGTTTAAAAAAAAAAAAAAAAAAAAAAAAAAAATCCATAAAATGGCTATTCGATCTGTGAGCTTGTAGAAACGTGTGCATGGGACGACTTTGCTCTAGTAGGAAGATCAGAAAATTTGGAGATTTACATGTGAAAAAAGGATGGATAAAAAAGAGAAATTATATGAAATGTTTCAAACTGCTATGGAATGTTGCTAAGAGAAAAGTTGTAAAGGGACATCTGCAACTTGACAAAAGAGAACTCCTAAATGTCACGTTTCGCATGGAGGAATGATAATATACTTTTTTTTTTTTTTTTTTTTTTTTTTTTTTTGGCATCAACTCGAAAAGAAATGGACTACAAGTCAGAGCAAGATATACAACCTTTAACATGCACATAAAGTTAAATATAAGAAAAGTTACATTATTTTTAACGCTAGAATAATTTCATACTTCCAGATACCACAAGTTCTGCTAACGAATACATATACAGTTATATGCATACAAGTTAATACATGAAATAAGAATCAAAGGAGTATTTGCCTTAAACAAGCACCCTTTTACTTAGTCGTGCCATCAGGACTGCATAATAAAGAATGATATTGAAAATATTGCTTTTACTTCTTCTTCTTCGTCTTCACGATTTTTCAACAATATGCTTTTCTTTGAAGAAGCTATTCTTGAATTGCACGAGAAATTCACCTATCCGAGTGAACAAGGTAAATTCCAAGACCTTACAAATGGACACTAACTATTTCTGCAGTGTAAAAAAGAAATATATATCACCAGTTAAAAAATTCAGTTTGAAGGGAATGAATGAAGACGATGAAAATTCTGAATCTTTTAAAAATCATTTAACAAACACGAACATATTTCGAAATAAATATAACTACATACCTTCAGTAGATGAAGTCAAAACCGACATTGAAAATTTCAAAAAAGAAAAATCCTTTTATTTCACAGAACATAGTATACTAGAAGTTGTAAGTATAGAAAATAATATTGTTGTGATTAACATTGAAGGAATGTTTTTTGAAGATATCAATGTAGTATTTGCAGAAGTTACTAAGTATTTGCTGAGTAAGCATTTAGGTATTCTGGGTGTGCATCCGTACAATATAAAGTCTCTCAATATAGGGAAAGGTGAGATTTAAACGAACCAAATCTTAGGATCTACTACTTCGTATTAATATACATTACGCATAAATGTATATAAATATATGCATATGTGTATATGTCTTTATATGCATATATGTATATTTTTCGTTAACAAACTATTATTCGATCATTTGTAAGATCGGGTTGAATATTATGTGTTTGTTTGTGTGCAGACTTTTTTAGGCATTTTTTTTTTTTTTTATTATTACCACCCCTCACTGCAAATTTGTGTTTTTGCATATTATCAGCTTCTCCTACTTATGCACACTCTTCTTATGTTGGTTAAAAAAAGTTTTAAAAAAAAAAAAATGAGATATAATAAGATGTCACACAAATAAAATTAAAACAAAAATAGTAAAATAAAGTAAAATGAAAATGAAAACATGTGTAAATTTTGCCCCTTGCAAGCATCATAGATCTTATACCGAAGTACGCAAAAATTTATATATGCATCCACGAAAGCAAATAAATTAAGAGCATATTGGTGTAGAACTGTTTAATTGTGATATTGTAGAGAACGGACATTTGCTACTCTCAAAATTTTACTTTTTTTTTTTTTTTTTTTTTTTTTAATAATAAATGAATTTTACAAAAAGTAGCCATAAGAAAGAAAATAAGTATTCAATGGTTTACTTGTTTCTCTATCCTGTTTTTGAGATAAACACTTTTGGTGTGGAGATCTACCACATGTATGTTATAAAAATTCCAAGGTTTTAATTCATTTTTTACATGTCATAATTGTCGTTCACGTCTTTGTCCTCCCCATATTGTATTATCATGTCAATGCTGTTTATAATAAAATCAACATTTTCATCATCGTAAATATTTAATGGAATAAAGGAAACTAAATTAAAATCTTCAATGATATTTGCAAAAGCATTGTTCAATTTGTAGTATTTTCTGGACATACATTTGTTTGCTGTCATAACAATGTCATGAGGATCTAAACAAAGTATATCATTTAATTTTTCATAATTTTTTTGATACACTTTTTCATCAATTTCTTCAGACAATGCACTACTACTGTCTTGTTCGTCTGATGAATTATTGGCTGAGTTTACATTCCTGCCTTCAGATATATTAATTGAAGATACACTTGAAACACTTTTGTTTTCATAATCAGAACATAGAATGTATTCATCTTTAAAAGATTTACATCCACTTATACATTCTATCTCTTTCAAAAAAGAATCAAACATATCCTTATTTTGTCCATTGTGATCACTCTCCATATTTTCATCATCGTAATACTTTTCTACTTTGGCACGCTGATGAAATTGGATACCACCTCCATTTTTAATTTTTTTGTTAATTTTTTTATATAATTTTCTCTGAAAAAAATAGTTATTATTATATTTAAATTTTCTCAATTCTTGATAATAATTTTTGCTGACTAAAAGATCACATTTTGTTAATATGTTAATATGAGGTAATTCAAAATTTATCATAGTTGATAAACTAGTTAAATATGCTGATAACAATTTTGTGTTGGAACTAATAAAAGAAATGTCTACTAAAAAGACAACTATTAATCTTATGTTTTGATCTGTGAATATACTTAAAATTTTTTTAAAATAATCTGTGTGTGTATACAACTCTATCTGTCCCGGGGTATCAATAATGAAATAATTATCATCATCATCATAGTTATTTAATTCATCTTCTAGCAAATGTGAATTCTCATATAATAATTCAACACTTCTCAGTAGCGCACAGTTTGGACCAAGCATTTGTTCTTCCATTAAACTATTGACATCAACATAATTTCTTATATCGATGTCGTATATAGTATCATAATATTGCTTTAATTCTTTTTCTATGTTGGATGTTGTGTTTATTGCTTTCTTTTTTCTCTCATAGTAATATTCTTCACTTGCACTGTCTAAATTAACTACATAACAATTTCTTTTTTTTATTTTCATAAATTCTTTCATTAATTTGCAATAATTCGTCTTCCCACTTCCAGCTGGGCCGACTACTACTTGACCGTATTTCATATCTCCCTTTGTTCATGTGACGAATGTAAATTTTTTTCTTTTGTCACGAAAAATAATTGCAAAAAAATTGCCCAAAAAAATATCCACAAAATTAATAAAACGTGTAAAAACTGTATAACAATTAAGCTATCGTCTATTTCTCCATCTGGCTTATACAAATTATGCTTAACGAGTCTATATATAACATATGTAAACAAATTGTGATGACATCAAATTGCATATATTCTTCCAAGTTTTGTAGAATATTACATTTTTCAAAATAAATAGCAAAAAGAGTCAAAATAAGGTGGGGTGTGGGGGTAAAAAAAAAAAAAAAAGGATCTTATGCTATTAATTGTTTTTCTCATCAAAATTTACTATCTAAAAATGTCAAAGGAGTCATGAAACTCTTTATAAAATCTATTCTTGTATTTTTGCCTTACGGATAAATTTTTCCATTTTATGGAAGAAAAATCTACCATTTTATGTTATCAAAAAAAAGAAAAAAATAAAATAAAAATACATATATGTATGCTTATTCGCATATTTATGTATACATATTATGTATATATGTATTATATATATATATGACCCCCTTTTTACATTTTTCTCATCATTTTCTTCCCTCCTTTTTTTTTTTTTTTTTTTTTACATAATACGTCCCCTTTTTTTAGTCACAAAATAAAAAATGATGACACTAAAAAAAATGGGTTATCATTTTCAGACTACACAAATTGACACATGTGGTTAATGACACATTTGTCATAACAATTAACTGTAGAGTGCTTCACATTTTTTTTGTTTCCTTTTTTCCTTCCCACTTTAATTTCTCGTGCTAAGTCTTTTTTTGCATGAAATTTTATTCCTCATATATTGCAATGTATATATACATATATATACAAATTAGTGGGCTCGTACTGTTTTCCCACTACGCCGCCTTTACATATTTGCAATACTTAGAACAATAACGAAAGTCATATTTTTTATATTTATAGTTGAACTTACAAGCCCAAGCCTGTTTATGCAGGAATATTTTACTCCTCATTTTAACCCCTTTTTTTTTTTTTTTTTTTTTTTTTTATTGCTATTCATTCCCTTATTGGGACATTTTGTCAAAAAAAAAAAAAAAAAAAAATAGTGTATTAAAAAAAGTAATAATTAAATTTATGTACGTTCATGTGGTAACTAAATGTTTGTGTCTTCTACCAATTAAGCTGTTCAATTCATTAAATACAAATTTAAAGAAAAGGGGATACCGAAAGTATACATATTGTTTTGCAGGAGAATTAATTAAAAAGAGAAAAAAAAATATTAAGATGTGGGATGAGTAAGAATGAAACATTTATGTATACGTTTTAGGTAGCACACTTCTTCGGACGGAATAAAAAAAAAAAAAAAAAAATATATTTGATAGGTAACTATTGTTGCAAATGTTTAATGATAATATTCAGCAAAGCAGGCCAAACGGGACTAATGTATGAATTAAGCAAAATCAGTAAGAAGCAACGTCAAAATATATAATCATACGCACACTATATGCAGTCTCAAAAAAGAAATGTATATATAAAATGAGATACATAAAAATCACACATATGTGAAAAAAAAAAAAAAAAAAAAAAAAGGTTAATTATTAAAGTTTTTCACGTGAATGGCACCAATCAAATAAATGGTCAAAAGTATAAAAAGTAAATTAATGACAAACCACAGAACTCCACAAAACTTGGAATTACATTTTGTTAGTTCTGCATACTTATAAGCATCAGACTCCGGTACTGATCTTGTAATTAAGTCTTCAAAGATATCAACAATACTATATATTTCATTCATGACACCTATAAAAGTCATTATTATTTTCAGAGGCCAATACTGTACGTCTTGCTTAAAATGCACACACAAAACCCAAATGGAAATAGTAAGCGCTAGAAAAAGCACGCAAAGAGCTCTTAAAAAAAAATTATTGGCATAAAAAATCAAGACTACTAATAATAAGAAGCATAAAAATGCAGCTGATGTTATTAGGGTCCACTTATTTATGTATGCCATCAAAATAAAAAACATTCCATAAAAACAGGAACCAATGTATCCAGCTGGTAAAATTATGAATTTAATTCCTCCAATTGTATTTGTACACCCTCCATGATTTCTGTTTACCTCTACATTTTTGTCAAAAAGGGGGGAGGAAGAAAGGGAAGAAGTTTTTCATGAACAAGTTACGAAATCGTTATTTCGGCATATAAAAAAAACAACATATATATAACCAGGTACACATTGCTAAGATTTGCTTTGCAAGTGGTGTAGATCTTATGTTGCACATATATATGTTCACACAAATGTTCATTCACAAGTATGCACACACACAAATATGCATATTACGGGTTAGTGTTTTCCCGCACAAATGAAGTTTAGCTAAACGCTCCAAAGTTCAATTCACAATTTATGCACAGTTTTGCATTTCTTCCTTTTAAACAAACCTATGCTTTTAACCTTTCCTCCAGTCAACCAACAAGCAGACGCATGCGAAAATTCATGCAAAAAAACGGTTAGTAGTTTAAAAGGCTCTAAAATCTTGCATTTCCAAAATATTACATTTATGATCACACACGCGGAGATGCTTATGAACGTGATGTTTTGGTTTCGTTCACAGCACCTTTCTAAGGTAAAATCGAAATTCATTCTGTTTTTTTCGCTGATTTGGTTTGGTTTCTGTTGTGTTGCTTTTATTTGCCCTTCTTTTTTTGTATACTGCTTTATTATATACGTCAGTTTTTTGAGTCTTTTTTCGCTTATTTTTTTTTTTTTTTTTTTCACCCCAAGTACTCAAATATTAAGCGACAAACTTTTTTGCTAAAATAGTTCAATCAAAATATTGGGGAAATTTTTGTTTTTTACTTCTGTTAAATTTTTAAAGAGGAAAATTCAGTTTATTTATCACTATCCATTCATGCATTACTGTTACAAACATATGAACAGACATGTAAAAAAAAAAAAATAAAATAAAAAAAAATAAAAAATAGCCATTTTGTTTATTCCTCGATTTTCAATAAATGTGTGTAATTTAACAAGACTTTAATGGATTAATAAGAAAGCTATTAATCCTACCTTTTGTGCCTTTTTGTAAGTTATACAAAGCAGTATAAATATGCTGAAGGTCATTGCGCTCTCAGTTTATGTGTAAACATATGGGCATACATATTATAACCTATGTATTTCCACCTGTAAAAGTGTGCAAGTGGTCTGCTTTTTTTCCCCTGCATGTTCAGAAAAAATATGCAACTTTTTTTTTTTTTTTAGCAATTTCGTCAATTTTGCAAATTTTTTTCACTCATTTGCTTTTTGATGTTTCCATCTGTGCACCTTTTTCCTATTCATTTTTGATGTTTCCACCTGCACACATTTCGCCTATTCATTTTTGATGTTTCCACCTGCGCACATTTCGCCTATTCATTTTTGATGTTTCCATCTGCGCACATTTCGCCTATTCATTTTTGATGTTTCCATCTGCGCACATTTCGCCTATTCATTTTTGATGTTTCCACGTGCTCACTCCTCCGTCTTTCTCTTTTTGGGAAGTAAATTAAGCAACTTTAACGTTTCCTCGGATAACCCAATATTTTCAATGATGTTTTGCTTTTCCTCCTTCTTCCGCACACTCATATTGTTGGTATCTTCTTCATTCTTAAGTTCTAAAGGATCTCTTTCATCCTCCTTCATGACACGTGAGAGACCACTTTCTTCTCCATCTCTGTACATGCACAACGCAGATCCATCTTCCCCACCTTCGTCATCCTCCTTTTTAAATGCCACGAAATCATTTGATTTGGAGTTGTAGCTGGAACTGTACTTTAATCTAGTGGAGTGAAAATAATTTTCTTTATTATGTTCTTGTAATTTAGACAGATTTATTCTTACATGTGAATTTTCTAATAAATCCTTAACAACAATATTATTAATTGACAAATTACTAGTTTCACTTAACTTGCGGCATAACTCTCCATAATTTTCATTTTCTTCAATTTCTAAAGCTTGAACTAAGTAACTAGGCAAGTCACTCTTCAATTCAGGCATTACAATATTGTGATCTTGTATCTTCTTAACGATGTTATCGATTTTATATTCATTAATAATGTGCAAGGTTATTAAATTTTCTATAATGAATAATAAAGGTACGTCCATTTTATATTTCTCATTAAATAATTTAATGTTCTCCAACATATTTTGTAATTCGTTTTGATATTGTCGAAAATTTTCAATGTTCTTTTTGTCTATTTTGCTTATAACATTTGTTGCTAACGAGTTTTTGTAATCCTCATTTTCGTCTAGGCTAAACTTTTTTTTACAATTTTGATACACACACGGATAGTTAAGTAATTCAAAAACATCCTTTATTTCGATCTTTACATTTTTAATAAAATTGGACAACGATTCGAAGAATGATTTTATGAAAAAGTTGCTTTCGTTTTCAATACTCGCTAGAGATGAATTCATCTTTTTTTACTTTAAAAGTGCAGGCACAGCTTCCAAAATGTGTTCCCCAATCCCCCGCTCGTTCCTTCCAGCGTACTTTCCTTTCGTATGTATGGATTTCTGCACACGGCCTAATGCTGATTCTATGTATATATATATATATATATATATATATGTACTGTTTACACGAAACGAAAACCCATTTCCTCGTCCCTCGCACTGTTCATTCGTAATATATATACTTGCGAAGTAAAGGAAAATTTGATAAAAGATCACTAAAAACACAGCAAAGGGGTATGTGTCTCTCCGTGCGTTCCCTGCTATCCTTATTTATATAGTTTACTGAAAAGTGGTTCTCTGTCTGTTTTTAAAAATTTTTGCTTACAATGGGTTAGATAAATTTAAAGTAGCATAAACTTTTTTTTATCTTTCTTTTAATTTGGTAAATTAATTTGTGCGTTCAAAAAAAATTTGCTTCCTTACATACACACCTCTTAAGATGATGAAATGTGTCCAGCTGTGTACTGTTAACTTGTGCACAAAATGTGTTTCCTGTAGTTCTTTATTCTTTTTTCTTTCTTTTTTAATTTTTTGTTTCCATGTATTTTCTTTAAAATATTGCGTTGTAATTTTTTTTTTTTTTTTTTTTTTTTTTTCTTGTAATTATTAGTTTTCTAAAAAAAAAAAAAAAAAGAAATGTGTAAACAAAGTTTTGAGTTACATCTCTAATCCTTAAGAACATACCTCATGAAACATGCAATTTTTGTTGCGACACAAACAATAAGGTCATAACTAAAAAAAAAAAATTCTCCATTTTTAGCAAGAATGAATTAACTGTTATAGCCGTTTTGCTTATTTTCATTGGTGACTATACAATATTCCAAACGAAGAGCATTCCCTTCTATATCTTTTTTTTTTTTTTTTTTTACATTTTATTTATTTATTTTTTTTTTTTATATATACGATATGTCACATATATTCTCATCTGTTAAACATACCTATTATGCGCACGTTTCATCACTATGAAAATTTGTGATTTCAGTTTTGTACAATTCTGTATCAACATTTTTCCCTTCTTCGTTTTGTCGAATATTCATGATAAGAAGAAGACTTATGCACAAACGTAAATACATACATATATATATACATATGTAGTAATTATGTTCTGTGAAAACTTTCACAGATTAATGAGATTCAGAAAAAGCTAACATAGGTTTGCTACATCCACTCATTTTCTTTAGCTTAAGCCCTATCCACCATTCTCACCTCATGCCTATGTTAATCACTTATTACAACCCCAAATGGGAACAATGCTGCACTTAAAGAACTTTTGTATATCATCAGATATTGAACACATCGAACAAATATTGAAAGCAAAAGATTATGATGGAATAAAGACAAGTAGAGAGATAAAAAACATTTTCGAAAATCTGAGTTCAGCGTTCAAAACGTTTAGCAACTCATTAAAACAAATTTACAGTGATGCAAATAATTTAGTTACAAATGTAAAAGAACAACATAAAGAGGAAGGAAATTTAGAACATGTCTACTTTGTCAATTTCTTTGTTAATGTCATTTCAGTTATACAAAATTTGTACGAAAAAAATTTGTCCATTAGTGAGAGCATAAATAAGAATATCGTTCTGAAATTGGAAAAAGAACAAAATGAAAGGGAAGAGGATATCAATTCAATTTATAAACTATTTGATGAATGCAAAAGTACGAAAAATGAAGATAATTGTAAAAATTTTAATCTCTCAGGAAATTCTCCTGCACAGAAATCAAAAGTGCGAAATTCGCCATATGTTGCAAGTATTCAACAAGTTAATCATGATTATGATATGAAAGATGTGGAGAATGAAAGAAATCATCAGAAGATGGAATACCATATATTTGAAGAAGAAATTCTTGTTGATGGAATTCCACTAAAACAAATAGAAATAGATTTAAAGAGATTCTTAAATAATGAATATTTTGCAAAGGAATACTTGAACCACTCCAAGTATAAGAAACACTTTTCAGAGTTAGACAAAATGAATGTCAAACTGGACAAAGAAATATACGCATTGAAAGAGCTTATAGAAAAATTCGGAAAAAATGCAAGTAAGCTACTAATCAATAAATCTAAAGAAAGAATAAGTTCTATACAAAATAAAAAAAAGGAACATCTAGAGATTCTGTATGACAATATAAAAGAACTCAGGAATAACAAAAGAACTATCAGATGCAATATTAAAGACTTGGAAGAGTATGTACAAGATAATGATCGTTGGAAGAAGAATAAACAGGATAGATCAAAAACATATGGAAAAGGGATCCAAACCGGAGATTCACTCGCAGATCCAAGCGAAGAGAGTGAGAAACATCAAACGTTTCTGAACAATGATAAGGAACCAATAAAATTAATGGTAACACAGGAACTTTACTTAGAAAAATTTGAAATAAGAGAAAAACACAGAATCGAAAATATATATGACAGTGTAAGGAAATTTATACAAATACTAGCACTTGAACAAATTCATATGAACAAAGTTCTGTATAATAGTGCACACGAAATTAGTTCATATGATTCACTTATCGATTATCAAACATGGCTAAGTATTATTTTGAACAGAAATACAGGTAGTGTAACAGATTTACAGAAGAAAATTTCCAAAAATCATGTATTAACAAAGGAAGAACTATTCCTACTAATGCCACATAGAAATGATGATTCAGTTGTGGATGATCAATACAAATGTGAAAAGAAAGGTAAATCAAAGGATTCAAATTTTCAGAATGGGGAATTGATTTGCAATGATAATAGTATAATTAGTCACGAAGAAAAAATGAAACAAAATAAAGAAACAATTAAAGAAAACACACAAACGGTTAACAAACGAAGTGACCAATTTACTATTTCTACAAGGGATGGTCAATTCCCCGAAGAATTTTACATCCCTGTAATAATATCAAAAAAGAATATGCACAAGTCAGGTGATATTCATAACAGTTTGAAGGATACCACAATTCATACCCAAGAAATGAACGAGGTAGAAAACAAAAGTGATACACAGATAAACTCAATTATGGAGGAAAAAAATGTAATCAATAATCATAACCACCATATGGAAAAAGATATATTTTCCTTTCTAGCAAACAGACAAAAGGATTACGAAAAGTATATCTTACAATTCAACAAAGTAAATATTTTATCTTCCATGTTTCAGAAAACAAATAATGATAAAAGAAAATGGTATAATCAAAATTTCTTTCAAAGTCATTTTAATGAAGAAGGACATTATATGTACCCAATTCAAATTCCAACTAATATCAATAAATTTTCTTCATTTCAAAACATGTCTCTTCCTGTTCCATTATCAAGTATACTTGATTTTGGGGATGAAGAAATGAATGAATATGATTATATGCTGATGGCATATGAATCTCTTCTTCTCGTTTATTACTCGTTATCTACACAATTAAATGGATATTTCTTATTTGACATTTCTAAAAAAAGTAAGACACACAAAGATGTGTACAATCAATTTTATAAAAAGTGTTATCCCATTTTGGAAAAGTTGAAAGATAGAAACACATCATTGGAAAGAAAAAATAACAATTTCAAGTGTACGGATTATGGAAAGAAAAAAAGGGATATGCATGATGAAGCAGAAAAGGAAGAAGTAAAATACGCTACTTCCCCACCATCGAATGATATAAAAAATGCTGTAAATAATTACTTTGAATATGTGAATTATATTTATAATGTAAAGTTACAAAACATATTATTAGTAAAAAGAATAACAAATATTTTTAGAATAAAAATGAACTTAAATTCTAGAACAAATGATTTAATCACCTTACTTACAATCCCATCTCATTACATGAATTATGGAAATACATATTCCTTTCACGTTCTAGATGTGCGTTTTAGAATAATTCGTGTAATGGATAGTTTGAACTTCAATTCTATATTCTATTTTGAAAAAGAAAAAAAAAGCAACATGAGAGACACACGAGGTGCACAGTATAGTGAAGAATACACCGTATACATAAACTGGCTAAAGAGACAGTTGCATCTGCTATACATATCTGTCTACTTCAAATTTTTTACCTTTGTTAAATTTATTCCATATTTTGATTTCTTCTCCCATACATGCATAAAAGGTGTAATAAATCAATTCAAGAACAATGATGAGTATTTTAGTTACATTACCAGAAGAAGAGGAACAGGAAAGGAATGTTCATTTGTATCATACATGTTAAATGTGAGAAAAAAGATCAAAAATCTGTATGCATCTGTTTTACACCAAAAATACAATAGTCATTATTACACAAGAACCTCCGAATCGAAAGACGAAATAGATGTAAAAATTGAGCAGAAGAACCCATTGAAAAAAAAAACAGACAACCATAAGAAAAAAAATGGAGAAACAAATTTTATTACCTTTAAATCGTTAGAAAGAGACGAAAAAATTATCTTTTTATGCAATCTCTTGCTAAAAAATTTAATTAAATCTTTTCGCATAATTTATATGTTAAAATCTCTAGTGAAAGAACACAAATGGAATATGGGGTTCTTCGATGAGAAAAATAAACTCTCCAATTTGGTTAAGTTCTTCACAAAAATAGAATACTATGATTATGAAATTAGGAGCATTATTATATCTCAAAGCGAGCAGATCACATGCATATCCTCAAATCAGAATGACATTACATTGTATTCTGAATCGGTAAAGAAGTTTCCTATCAGTAGAAGCAATCACAACCACAGTCACCACACAAGTGAGAGTGTCGAAAGAAATGACTCCCTTATGAACGAATACAACACGAGAGGAAATCATGAATACATTCCCATATATGATATGCAAAACATTGATTACGACAAATTGTTTAAAAATATTTTTTTAACCGAATTTTCCAAATTAGTTGAAAATTCACCACCTCAAGATTGTACAAGTACAATTAGGGAAGAAATTATCAAACCTAAGCAAAGGATAAGAAAAATGAGTGAACAGGATTATGAATCAAAGAAGGGAAGAAATCTCACAAGAAAAGAAAAAAAAATTAAAAATAATATTTTTTACAAATTAAATGTAGAAACTATTTTATGCTCCAGTTGGTTCATTGACAGAACGTTGCTTCATTTCTTTCTCTATTACTACATCTCCTGTGTTATTGGAACTAGCGGAAAGACAAATATGTATTCAGATACACCTTACATAATGCAAGGAATTATGCTAATTATATATTACTTACAATCTGGTAATGATTTAACATTGCAGGAGAAAACAAAACGATACTGTGATGGAGTAGAATCCACTTTGATCCCAATTTCGACTTTTATCTTGTACATGGCTATTCATTTGTTTTACTCTTTTTTTGATAAAAAATTATTGACAATATCTTTGAATGAGGATGATGGAAATGTAAAACTTTTTTTGAACACAAAATTAAGCGATCCGAGCGATGAGAAAGAATCTGAATTAAATAAAATCGAGTCACAATTTTCTCCCTCCTCGAATTGTATTAACACAGATCCAGATTGTTTTCGAGCAAAAAGTCAAATCATTACTGTGCAGAATGCTAGCCATTTTTATTTCATTCTAAAAAATTTTGAATCCGTCATGTCTTACAGAACCATTGATGAGATGACCTTAAGAAAAGATCAAAACGAAATAATAGATGCATCCATAATTGAATTATATGAAAACGATTTCTTCCTCAAATGGAACAAAGAAAAAAATTGTTCTGACAAAAAAAAATCACAGAAGAAAAAAATTACATTCTGCACAACAGTTGCAAATGATACTATCCAAGAAGCAGATACTAATGCACAAAATTATTTTCAATATAAAAAAATGACTGAAGAGGAACACGAAAATGATATGATTTATCTGAAAAGATACTACAATATTTTATTCCTTTTTAACTATAACCATTTGGAAAATCTAATTAGTCCGTACGTTCCCAATATCCTCTCCCTCTATGTGAACGACCATTTATATTCCAGGGATCATCTTTTCTTTCATAGTTGGCATTTGAAAAATCATAACAATATGGATATAAACCACGTGATGACAGAACCATGTGAAAATTCAGACGTTATTCAACGTGTTCATTATGGTGCAACTCATGCAGGAGGAATAAAAAGAGAAAATCCTTTGTATGCTTCATCACAATGTAGTAATATCTGCCATAACATTCATATGAATAACAATGTAAAATGTACAAATTTCATTACCAATTCAGATAGCCTGTGTTATGAAGCAAAAGAGAATATACAGAAAATGCATGAACAGATTTCTGAACCAGTTCATACCAATCTTTGTAGCTGTAGTGAACTCATTATAAAATATAAAGCTCATGAAAAGATGTACACCAATTTTTCCCTGATAAACATGTCAAGAATTGAAAAAGTAATGACTGATATCATTTTAATGAGAATTATTAGTTGTAATTTTAGGGACCATTTCATACTACTCTTTTGTAATTACAGAAAATTTATTGACATGTATTCACTTCCATATGTATTAGACATATTTGTAATGATACACAAATTCTTTACAATAAATAACAACAGTTCCGAGGAAAAATCAAATAAGTGGAAATACATGAATCACAGAGGAAAAGAAAACGACAAATGCATAAATTGTATTCATTGTTCTCTTCCGAATGATAGAATAGAACGAAATAGAATTATCTTTGAACACAGTTGCAATGTTGTCATCGATGATTCAGATAAAAACAAATTCATTTCAGATTATCAACAAAATGGTAATTTCCATTCACGTACTTCAAATATGCAAGAAAAGGAAAAAGAAAAAAAAATGGTGCCCGATTTAGATACCCGTGGATGCAGAATCTATACACAGTGTGTAAACTGCCAGAATAGTAATAATGGAATAACCTCAGCTCATGAATTATCACATTATTTTAAATTCTTCATTTTCAACACGGTTAAAAATATTTTTTACAACATTTTGTGTACTGTACGGGAAGACATACAATCGAACGAGGTGTTAAGAAAAGTGACAAATGGTAATGTAAAAAACGAAGAATTAGCAAATAAATTGGGTTGTAATCCAGATAACAGCCCGTTTCTTCAATCGAAAAATTGTGTTCGAGGGTATGATAATGCCAATGCTGCAAATAATGCCAATGCTGCTAATAATGCCAATGCTGCAAATAATGCCAATGCTGCTAATAATGCCAATGCTGCTAATAATGCCAATGCTGCTAATAATGCCAATGCTGCTAATAATGCCAATGCTGCAAATAATGCCAATGACGTGAGGGAGGCAGTTGATGAATTCCCCATGAGCTACCAAGATTATGTTCTCAAAGAGTACGCATGTATTATAAACAAATATATTAACGAAATTGTCGTAGAAATTTTGTTTTTTTCAAATATATGGAAACACTACCTCCCGCTAGAAGAACACCCATTGGTTGTTCTATATGCAGCTAACAAAACATTACATTATGAAGTTTTGAAATTTATAGGATTAATTAAAAACAATAAGGAGTTATTGTTTAATGAGGCCCTATCTATCATTGTTTCGTTGTATAATTTTAATTTACTAAATAAAGAAATTGTCTTGCAAACCAATACATATGAAAAGTACCAATCTTTGATAAATGAAAAGTTCATTAATGATCGAAGCATGAAGAAAGGAAATGTCCAAGCAGGTATTGTATATACAGACAAAAACAAAAACATGACAAGAGATGATAGGATCATTTCTATCGAAGATGACAAGAGTCATTGTCATTCCCATGAGCAGAACAAGATGAAGAAAAAAATCATAAAATATTATGAAACTAGGAACTCACTGAAGAGAAATGAACAGAGTGTGGATAGAACTACACATGAAGAATACAAAAACGAAGAAAAATATGACATGTTCATAAACTTGTCATTAATTATTTCAAATGCAAATGATCCCTGTATGGTGAAATTGATGTTTAAATTAGAAAAGATATTTATAAAAATTATTGATCAAAAGTTACAACAGAACAAAAATTTGTTATCTGTGTGTTTGAAAAATGAAAAGTTAATTCCATTGAATAGCCCAGAAATTATGTACAATTCGACATCTGTTGACATTTTTTCCATTATATGGAATATTTTAGATGTCCTTTTTGAATACAAGTGCCCAGTAGAATGGATTATAACTCCATTTGTAGAATTCTTAAATAATTTTATAAACGATTATTGTGATAATTACAAAAAGAAATATACATCTTTCATCATATCAGTACTTAATCAATATGCAGACAAATACTTTAACGAATTGTTAAACTTAACGGAGAAACAAAAAATTCAGTGGGATAAATATTCTCGTAGTAACATAAAAAGAAGAATTAAAAATGCAGCTAACAGAGCTAATAACGAAAAAAATGCTACTAATATTTTCAAACAAAACGAATTATATTTGATTGACAATCAGGAAGAGAAAGAAAATGATGACATAATGATGTATAATGAAAATATCGAAAATGAATTTAATGATATCAAGGAAATTACAAATCGGATTAAACATAAGAAGAGGAAAAAAAAAAATGTATTCTACAAATTATTTGATTATGACGAATTAGATGTAGATCTGATAAAAAATAAAGTTGGAGAAATATTAGAAGACATAAATGACTTATCTCTCAAAATGCCAAATTTTCAGAGTAATATTTCGCACAATAATAAGGAAGTACCCGATGGAGGAATGAATAGGAATGTTACATATGCTGTTTCTCCTGCCGATACTTCCACTGTCGCTATTTCTTCCACTATCGTCTGTCCTGCCAATGAATCCTGTGGGAAGAAAGACGAAATTGAAAGAAAAGCATCCTACATGAGTGAAGATTTAGTAAACATCATAGAAGAAATAAACTATCTTTTTAACGATTCTGACATGTCCAATTCTCTAGTCATCACATGGAATTTGTTTTTCTTCCAAGAACAGGTAGCCCTAATTCGTAATAAGTTTGAAAAATATATACTAGAATATATAACTACTAGAACTAAAGATGTGGATAAACTGAGTAAAATATTTAACAATTATGGACAGTTTGATATAACATTGCCCATACTAGAAAAAAATATTTATACCAAAACAATATTTGATATTCTAACTACATCCATAAATAATATAAAAAATACACTAAATAATACCCTCTATTATATATTTAAAGTTTTGTCAATACGAATTATATGCTACGAGTTTCAGCAAGAAATATTTTACAATTTATATGAACAACCATATGAAACAAATAATGTTAAGAATATTATTTCCATTTTTCCAAATACTATTGAGAAATTCTTTTCACAAATACCAGAAATGTTTTATAAAAATATATTAACCGTTTTTATAGAAGTTTTTATAAAAATGTGGATAGTAGTTGTAGTAGAGAAAGGTTTTTCAAATTATATTTTTAATGATCAGGACATACATGTTATGAAGAGGGATAATCAGTATATAAAAAAGTATATGCAGAAGAACAATATAGAATTAAATCATTCTTTTCTTACCAAAAAATATGATGTTATTGAATATATAGACACCTTTTTTGATACCCTCTATGCCAATCGCCACATGTTTTCTCAAATTATGAATGAACACAAGGAAAAAAAAAATAAAAACATTATGTCTTCTGCCTATACCAAGGGAATGTTAGTATCTTTTTTTTTTTTTTTTTTTTTTCGTGCTTCCATCCATTGTGAAAGGCATGAGATCGGGTGGAGTAAAAAAAATTTTACTCTTCTAAAAAACCTCTACCCTGCCTTTCATCGAAAAAAAATAATATATCCACAATAGTTGTCATGTCTTTTACTTCTGCGCATATTTTTGTACATATGGTCATGCTTTTTACACTCACTTACTATACATTTTTTTTTTTTTTTTTTCCTTTTTTTGCATCACGTTAGGGCCATTATAACTGGGATAAATCAGCACATTCAGGAGAACACTTAGAGGATGCAAATTGAATCCTGATAATTCCTAGCGAAACTGGAGAGACATATATATACATGTATATTAGTATACATCATCATATAAGTTAAATTTTTTTTTTTTTTTTTTTTTTGTCAAAATGATTAGAAGGGAATTCTTTTTTAACTTACAATGTAGTGCTTTGTAATAATCTTTTTTTTAATATCCCTTCTTAATAGCCCCTTTAACTTTATCACATAAAAGCAAATTAATTTTGCAACATACGTTTATTTGCTAATATTTTAAACTACACATTTTGACTTTCTCCCTCATTAATATTTCTTAGAAACCTAAGATGTCACCCCCTCCCCTTGTACACTTATTGTTATACCACGTAAGCATTGGTGCCAGCTGTCCCATGTTACCTTTTCTTAAGTTAATTTAGAAACGCATAAAAGTGTATACATATGTGTACATACATACATACATATATATAACAAAGACTGTAGATGAGAAAAACATATGCACATATATGCACTTATATTTGGGAAAAACAATGTTCAGTGCCAAAACGGAAAAAAAAAAAAAAATGCGTTGCCATTAGAATAGAAATTTTACGCAAGTACAAAATGAGACATGCAAAATTTCACACGTAAAATGGGGAAACAATGAGAACAGAAAAAGAAAAAAAAAAAAAAAAAAAACAGTCATCAAAATTTTAATAAATATAATATATGGTACTATCGATACGTGATGGTAGAACTCCTAATCAGGATAAGACGAGTCATGTTATTGGTCTTTTCCGTTTTTCTTCCGGTGCTATATGTGATATAAAAAATATGGACAAGAGAAGAGGGGAGGGGGGAAGAAAAAAAAAAAAAAAAAAAATGTGACATATACGACACTGTTTCGTAATAATATAAAACATGTAAAGATATAAACAAATATAGACATTGTTTCATATACAATGGAGATATATGAATCTCTTTATTCATCACTTATGATCAAAGCAAAAATTATATCAAGGGAAAACTAAAAAAAAAAAAGAAAAAAAAAAAAAAAAACCTGCAGGATTTCCAGCCTTGTAAAACGATTGCATAAGGGAAATACTTCTCTCAGTACATCCACCGTTCTTTATGTAATTCACATTTATATCCTTATATCTGTAAAGGTAAACGATATAAAAAAAAAAAAAAAAAAAAAAAATGGTGACTAAAATTATGCACAATTTAATGGAAAAACTTTAACATTTTTTTTTTTTTTTTTTTGTAGTTTTTTATTTTTTCCTCCTCCCTCCCCTTGTTTTTATTACGTTTTATGTAAGGAAAGTACCGATCCACATCCACCGAAACGTTCATTAAGGCAGCAAAAGTATATGCTCCTTATTCCTAACACACACAAATATGTATATATATATATATATATATATATATATGAAACAAACTGTACATGGTTAATCAAACAAGTCCAAGAGACAAAAAGCTTAATTAAAATAGCACAAGTGCCTGTCTCAATAGGTGTACATAAAATTGATAAAAAAAAAAAAAAAAATCGATGACATAATTGAGTTTTATTTCATCTTTCTATTTACCAATTAGGTTCAGTGCATAAACACACATAATACAAGGTTCACATGTTACAACTATGCAACAACGTTGAAGAATTTCTAACTTGTGCTTTAACACTTTTTTTTTCTTTTCATTTATATTTAAGTTGGAATCATTACTACATATGGGCAAATCATTTAGTGAACAATCCTCATGTTCAGAAAAATGGTTCATTAAATTATCGTCCTTACATGTATCCGATTGTAAAAAATAACTGTCTAGAGAACTCTCAATATCATTTTCACAGTTGTTAAAACATTTTATTAAGTTCTTATTTTTCATGTCCTCATAATTATCACCATAAAGGTACTTATCTATAGCAATGAGTTCACAGTGCCTACTTCCATTTTTAGATTTATTTGTGTAATTGTATGAACTGGATATTATTTTCCGTTCTTCGTTTATGAGTAAACAAAATATGGGCATTTCCTTCAGTTCTATGTGCAGGCTCTTTTCGGCCTTATGTACCAGAAAAAAAAAAAAAAAAATTAAAAATAAAAAAAATACAATAAAATAAATACAATAAAATAAATACAATAAAATAAAAACAATAAAATAAAAACAATAAAATAAAGGGAATGATGAGATGGGCAGATAATGAGATAATGAGAAAGCGTCTAATGTGAACGTGTTTGCAAACTGAGCCGGTACAATCGCAAATATTCTGAATGTTCCATTTAAGGAACCTATATTTTTTTTTTTACTGGATTACCTCTTCCAGTGCAATGTTCAGGAAATGAATGGCCTCTTCTTCATTAAGGACAGTCATTTTCTTTTCATGTATACAACTAGATTATCCACTCTTTATCTTTTCCAAATAAAGCAACATGGCTAGAAATAATAAAGGAACGTCATGTTTTTTTTTTTTTTTTTTTTCCTTTTTTGACTTATGGAAATATTATATGAACTTTTGTAAATCCCTACATGGAATGCATTGAGTGTAGAGAAGTTCACGAGACGATGAAATTCTTTTCGTTTTTTCTGCATACGATATACTGGTTATATAGCACCTCATTTTCATATTCATCTTTTTCTCCTTTGACTCCTCTCGGAAGAATTATGCCCATTTGGATATTTAGCTAATTCGCAATTTTTTTTCTTTTTTTTTTTTTTTTTTTTCAACTCACTTTCAGATTTCAACAAGTAAATATACAGGAACTATAAATTTAGTTAGGGTTAAAAAAAAAAAAAAAAAAAAAAACGGATTTATTAAGGCATGCAACTCCCTTTTTAATACATATATCTCTAATCACATTGCATGCCGTATACAATTTCTCGTGTAATTGTTAAAATTTATTATAATATCAAAGGACAAAATTTTGGCTGGACATGCAGAACTATGTATATGTATATATATATGCACATATGGCCTGTGTATATGTGTACAAAATCCAATTTTGAAAACCACGGTTTTGCTAAAAGTTTCACACAAAAGGGGAGTAGAAAGATAATCTGGGAAAATAAAAAAGTGAACGTGTCAGGTCTGCATATTTCTTAGTAAGCAAAAATTTATAGCCTCACAAAAACATTATGGACCTTGCATTAATTTCGATATGAGATCCATAAAATCTTGCGAGATGCACAATGGACTCGGTCTCTACACATGCGTATGCATATATATATATGTATATATATGTATATAATATATGACACCACAACAGTACCAACAACTACTCATTACACGCTCATGTAACAATCATAGAACATTGGTAAAAAATGCATAAAAAAGCAAATGGAAAACTTAAACATGAAAACACAGCTACTTTTTCTATCTTTCTGCGAGAGAGAGAAAAAAAAAAAAAAAAAAAAAAAGAAAAAAACTTGTCATTTTTTATGAAAAAACAATACAGGTGTTTCTAATTTATGCGTAAGGAATGAAACAGTACCGAATTGACTTCAAAAAAAGAAAAAAAAAATGAAAGAAATTACACAAGATGCACGATTCATGCAGTGCACAACAATGACGAGAGGAGGAAAAAAAAGAAAATAAATAAAAATAGAAATAAAAATAAATTCAAACAAGTAGAAATAAAAATAGAAATAAATCCAAATAAGTAGAAATAAAAATAGAAATAAATCCAAATAAGTAGAAATAAAAATAAATACAAATAATAAATAATAGTATTCGCATCTCTATCTCTATGGAGTCATGCGGATTGCAAAGTTTTTTAATTTTTGTAAAATAAGGAGAGCTCTAATTTGGAGCTCTCCTTTTTTGTAACCGTTAAGGGGACATAAATGCATGGATTCCATAACTGTGTGTATCCACATTGGTGCGAATTCTTACACCACAACTGCACACACGCGACACACATACGACACACATGTATATGTCCTCCGTGATTACTGCCCTGCTTCGCTACCTATCCATCAAAAAACGAATGAATATCCACGTGCAGGTTCTTCTCGGCATCCAACCTTATATGCTCGAGCCTCTTGGCTATTACATTGAAGAGAGGTCTTTTTGTAAAGTCATACTCCAACATACTTCTTAACAGGTTGGATAATTCCAATGGAATATCTTTTGGAATGGGAAGAATTAATTCACCTGAAGATACTTTACAAAAGGTTTCAGAAGCAGACAACCCATCATAAGCAATTTTTTTTGTTAGAGCTTCCCATAGACTAACACCAAAGGACCAGACATCGGATTCTTTAAAAAATCCCTCACCTTTTAAGACCTCTGGTGCTGCATAAAAAATATTTCCATATATAGCATACGCAGTTGGACTATCATTTGAAGAGAAATGTGTAGATAATCCAAAATCTGATATAACAGCATCTTGATTATCATCTAGTAAAATATTCGAAAGTTTTAAATCTCTATGGAAAAAATTATTACAGTGAACATTGTGCATACCTTCTGCTACTTGTTGAAATATTTTCACAATTTGAGGTCTTGATAAACATCTTATATAGACACAATTTTTTTTTTTCTCGTCCATATATATATACTTTTCTAAACTTCCACCTGCACAATACTGTAGTATTAGGGATTCTTCTCCTTCTCTTAAGCTACAAACACCGAATAGCTTAATCACATGATCACATCCTTGCAATGAATATAAAATTTTAGCTTCATAATTTCGATATTTTACAGGGGTTGGGAAGTATCGAAAAATTTCCAGATTTGCCATTTTTTTGATTTTTTTATTTCTCTGCAATGTATAAGAAGTACTATTTATATATTCAACATTTCCCTTATCCTTTTTTTCATCAAAAGATGTATACAATCCTTTTTCATATGGAATATCCGCAACATTTTTCTCATTATAACCCTGAGTCAGTTGCATGCATGGAGAGTCCACAGAGTGGATAAAGTCACTTTCCCGATCTTTTCCTTCTCTTTCAGTATCATTTACTGCTCTATTTGCAATATCAGATTTTCCTCCCGCTGATCCTGTGTTAGCAAAGTTCTCCTCATTGAACATAGTAAAACTTGGATTAATTTTTGGAAAAATATATTTATGACTTGATCTAGGAGTAGATATGTAACTTTCGCAATAACTCTCTTCACTCATATCCTTTGGATTGTATAAAAATAATTTACAAGCTACGTATCTCCCTCGATATTTTGCCTTAAACACTTGAGCATAGCTCCCACCTCCAACTTTGTTAAGTATAATGATATCATTACTGCATATTGCTTTAATTTTGTTAAATGAAAATTTTTTATTACTGTTAAAATTTAATGATAATGGATCTGCACTATCCAGAGAATTTACTAAAAATCGAAAAACAGATAAAACAAATTTACGCACATATGAATTATTTATGCTCAATTTTTTTAATTCTTTATCTGTTAATTTTAAAATGTGATATCCTCTTATTTTATGTATCTTGAATAAATATGCTTCTTTTTTTAATCCAATCATTTTTAAAAAATTATATAACATATTAACAGACCATTTATTATAATCTGATGCTCTTAATTTTACATCTTCATTTATCATATCAAATTTGGCATCATTTGATGTTAAATAATCATCTATAAAAAGGAAACAATTCTTCTGTCTATCGTCGTGTGCTTCAGGAAATGTTGCCCCTCTCAATCTTCTCCTAATAAATGTTTTATTTAGATGTTCATAATTTTTCTCTCCTTTCTTTTTTAACACATCCACTTCTGTGCTATTGCTTTTAAAAGGATACCATCCATTTCCTTCGCCTTTCTGTATATCTGAGAAATTTTCTACAACATCAGGACTTGAAAAAGTAGTGCTAATCTCCATGGGGGTATTATACTCACCACACTCACATTTTGACATGTTTCCATCCTCTCCCATGTTGTCTTGTTCTATATTCTGATCTCGAATTGTATCCCTCCATTTTTCCCTTTCTCCTTCGTCACAATATCCCTGGTTCTCCAAAAATTCATCAAAAGTCGTAATTTCATTATTTTTTATGACAAAGTTGTCATTATTAATATTTTCGCAAATAAGGTTTCTATATTCATCCGTGATGACAATATTTAGTTTGCTCAGTCTCTCTAATCCGTTTAGCTTGTTTAGGCTATCTAGTCTGTTTTGCCTGTCTTGTCTTTCGAGACTTTCTAATCTGTTTGGTTTGGCAAGATTATCTTGTCTCTTTAACGCATTTAGCTCATTTTGGCTGTCTTGGTATTTTCCCAATGGTTCTGTCTTGAAACAAATGGGACTATCCATTCCTTCCTCTTCAATTATATCTCTTTTTTCGTGACTAGTACCTATGTCTATATCCTTCCTTATCTCCCCACACTCACATGAGTCTTCTTCATTCTGCTTAATATCACCTCCGATGAAAAGCACCTCCTTTGGTGCACTAAGAACTGGTGTATGACATAGACACTCCTTCTTGGATATATTTTCCTTATCTTGCTCCTGACAAGGTATACTTAACATTTGCTTCTCTTCATGTAGCTCCAAATGAGTTGAACGATCTGTATTATGAGAACAAGTATCCTTCAACGGATTATTATTCTGAATATGCAAATTTTTTAGTCTATAATTTCCCTCAGTTCCATTTTTATCTAACTTATTTGTCTTCTTTAATTCGTCCATATCCTCTGAGAAGACTGTGGCAGGCTGGACGTAAGGGCTTGTAGCCATATGTTCATCTAATGAGCTCCCCTCACATTTTTTATTTTCATCATTTTCAAAATAATCTGATTCATCATCTGAATCGAAAGATGTTATAATAATACTCATTGGACTAGAACAGTGAGTCATGGTTCTGTGTTCTTTTTTTCTTCTAGCTGATGAGGATTTTTCACTTTTTAAACGAGAGTTTCTATTCAGGATTAAATTATTTTTAATTAAATTCATCATTGGTGGTTTCAGATAATTTATCGAACGTGCTGGAGTTGTTTTATGCTTACTATTCTTTCTAACGTAGCTTGAAATAATATTTAAATTTTTAAACTTATCTTCTCCCTCTTCGTCTCTTTTGTCGTATCGATATTCATTACTTCTTGTGCTGTTTATATAGTTATTCATTAATACATTTCCCCTCCTGTATGATAGTTTATTACTATTGGAAGTAGTAAATACGACAGATGACCTTCGAAAATCTGAACAAGGAGTGCAGTTGTTCATGCTGGTAAATTTCTGTGTATCTAATAAATTTATTTCTCCTTTTGTCATTTCATTTTTATTTTCACAATCTGTTCCTTGGATGATGCTTCCTTCATAATTTATTCTGTTTTTTCCATTCATTTGCATTCTACCATTATTATGTACGAATTTTTCTAAATCATCATCTTGGCTAGCTACAAGTTCATTATTCTTTACAGATTCTATATTCTCACATCTATTCTGTATAATAAAATTATCGCTGTCACTCATAATGACAACAGATTTTACACTTAGTGGGCTCCTATAACCAATTTCTGTTGAATATTCATTGTACTTGATAAAATAACCAATGGCATTATTCATTTTGTATTCTCCTTCAAATATTACCCTATCGTTAGATATAAGCATTCCCCATCCATTACGAACATTATTAACCGTCTCTCCAATATAATAATATTTCTTTCGCTTCTCCCTTTCGGTAGTGTTTATCGATACACTAGACACTGATGAATATGAATCAAACATTTTGCTTCTTTCCACTGAAGAATTTACTGTAACTTTATTTCTATTTTCATTGCGTGTATAGTATTTCTCATTATAATACACTTCATTTGACTTATTCATAATTTTATCTTCTATATAACTATTCTTAGCACACTTCTCCTCATCCAGTTGATTAAAATACTTACTATCTGTAGAAAAATCCAAGTTATAATTTGGTACACTTGGATTTTCTCCCATCCATCCATTCCCTACACCATTGATGGGTGTGTTCTTCATCTCACATTGGTTCGCTGCATACTGGTTCGCAGCATACTGGTTCGCAGCATACTGGTTCGCAGCATATTGGTTCGCTGCATATTGGTTCGCTGCAGATCCGTTGAATAACGTTCCGTTGGATGAAGTTCCGTTAGATAAAGTTCCATTGTATGAAGTTCCATTAGATGAAGTTCCATTCGGGGTGGGGTCTCCTCTGATGTATTCGCTTTTGACAGAATGGTGAGCGACCCCGGAAGATCCTCTCGTGTTCATGTTTTCGTTTCTAGAAAAGGATGAATAAAACCTATTTATTTTTTTGTCATCACAGAATTCTTTGCTCTTTATAGAATCGTCATATTCATAATACATGTTGGATATTCTGTTTCCAGTGTAAGTGTGGTACAGAAACTCTGGGTTTTCATTTTCGATAAGTTCTATGTCAATCCCTCCGGTGTCATGAACCACTAGACACTTTACACTTTTTCTCAAGAACACATCTGAAATTATATCGCTATTTACCAACTTTGTGCCTTTTTCGTCCTTCTTTTCGTTTCGATTTTCATCTAGACTTTTTGAACCATCTTTTTGCGTGTTCCCTCCTCTATCCATCGGCACTTTTGTGTAAGTACCTTCTTCATCACTGTTCTCTTCGTCTTCTTCATCAGAAGTTTCTTCAGATTCTTCATCACTGTTTTCTTCGTCTTCATCATCAGAAGCTTCTCCAGGTTCTTCTCCAGATTCTTCGCAAAGTTTTCCTTCCGATTCTTTACCCAAATCTTCCGTTTCTAATTTCTCCGCTTCCTCATCCTCGTGTGAACAGTGTCCACTTCTCTTATTTCCATCAGTGTGCCTTCTACATCTTCCTTCTAGATCTCCTGATTTTCCACCAACAGCATTCTTGACCAAAACGTTCTTTATCGAATCTGTCTTCCTATATAAGAGATTATTTTTATTTCTACTAGTAACACCTCTACTATCCCGTTTGGCCAAATGAATATGTTTTACTTTTCGTGAATCATTATAATAGGGAGATGTCTTTTTCTTTATCTTTACATTCTCCTCATTTTGTATATTACCACCACTATAACTAATATTTTTTGATAAATTTTTAAATATGTTATGAAAAAATGATGAGTAAAATTGAGGGGTCCCTCCTTGCTCGCATATTGTTTTTGGTGGTTCTGTTTTGAATCTCCTATTATTCCTTAAGTATATTTTATCATATGTGTCCTCATATTTATTTTCGTTGAAGTTATTATTCACGTTTAGTCTATCATCTAAATTTATTAAATTATCATAAAATAATTTATCAGAATTACAAAACAGTTTTCTAGAATCCTCCCAGTGTAATTCATTCATCTCTCAAACACACACACATACACAAACATAAACACAATTAAAAACAGAACTACAAGCAGAAGTGAAAACAGAACTACAAGCAGAAGTGAAAACAAAACTAAGAGCAGAACTAAGAGCAGAACTAAAAGCAGAACTAAAAGCAGAACTGAAAACAAAACTAAAAGCAGAACTGAAAACAAAACTAAAAAAAAGAACTAAAAAAAAAAGAACTAAAAAAAAAAGAACTAAAAAAAAAGAACTAAAAAAAAAGAACTAAAAAACACAATTGCATATTTTTTTTTTCCTATTCCATATTCACTTCATAAAATAAGCCTATCCTCTTGACAGCTGCATTCACATGTGTGTATGCGCTTGTCTCTGTACGTTTGTACAGTCTATTCTGCTTTTTTTTTTTTTTTTTTTTTTTATTAGTACTGTTTTAACCGCATTTCTTTTTTTTTTGCTACATTTTTTTACGGGAATAATTTTCCGTTTATCGATGTGTGCTGGTATCCGTTCATCAATCTTTAAACTTTCGTTTCTCCAACGAAAATGATTTTCTTTGTCCTCTTCCCTAATGAGATACTTAAAAAAAAATCAATCCTTTTTAAAAAAAAAAATTCCCATAAATGGAAAGTGTTATATATGCGTTCTTCGTTACGCTTTTTTTTTTTTTTTTTTTTTTTTTTTTTTTTTTTTTTTTTTTTTTTTTTTTTTTTTTTTTTTTTTTTTTCTCTTTATTCGTGTTTATGCTTGAAAGAATATTGGAGGATGTGTGTTAACCTCAATAAATTAACACAAAAAGAAATAAAACACATGCATGTTTGTTTGAAACCTATGACCCCATATCAAAGTACATAAAAAAGAGATAACACATGCACACTGGAAAAAAAGTGAATTATCAAGATATATATGGGGAAGGGCTTATCAAATGGAGTATGTGTAATTTCATAAAAGTATGTTTATGCTTAAATTGTAAAAACTTCTTGTCAAAATATGTGAAAAGATATTAAAGCTTTTTGTAGCAAAAAAAAAAAAAAAAAAAAAAAAAAAATTACACTGCCCTTTTTTTTGCTTATCATATTATATTCGATTTCGTCCAAAGGTGTTTGAATCCGGGAAATTATTCTTTCGAGTAACAATTTGAGAATTTTCCCAAATTACTTTATTTTGTTATTTTATTTTTTCTTCTCTTCCTCTTCTATCACTTGGTCTGCATCTTTTTTTATATTTTTCTTTTGCATCCTTTTTTGTCCACGCATGTCCTCTTTTTCGCCCTCAAACAATAAATCCCAAACTTAAAAAATATGCAAAATAATTTTTTTTTTTCTTTTTCTTTTTTTTAAATATTACGAAAAAAAAAAAAAAAACATACAAATAAGGAAAAACCGGATACAATATTATCACTTTACAAGTGCTAAATAAGTTTATACATATTTTATCCTCTTTGTTAATATTATATGTCCATAAGAATGAATAGGAAATTACCCCTATCTGCCATTATAAATAACAATATGTCCCAACAATAAGGGCCAATATTGTAAAATCATTTCCCACATGTACATATACCTATCCGTATATCATATTGGATTACGTTTTTTTATTTTTATTTTTTTAATTTTCCCTTTCTTTGATGTCCCCTTGAAAAATAACAAAAAAAATAAAATAAAATACTTTTGCAACAGTGTACTATAGTGTTACACATACTATATAAATACGGTGTAGACTTCAGGTCATAGGTTTTACTTGGTTTGACATAACCATTTGTTAGCATATCCGTACAAACAGATCGAATACTATTTATAAGTCTCTATTTAACCACACCATTATGTATACATATAAGTTTGTACTTCTAATTTATGTATACTCAAATGGGAAATGTTTAATCTTGCCTTCTTGCATTTTAACAAAACATGACTATAATCATTATATTCCTGATACATGGATAGTCTTTTTAAGTTATTCTACTTTTAAGATAAATTTTTATTAAACACTACATCTCAAAACAATGAATGTGCACTTTTCCCTTGATCCAAATTATAAACTGATTTTGTATACTTTGTACAGTTTTTCTTATGATTGGTGGGGTAAAACATTTTGGAATAATTTCCCATTTTGGGTATTTCTGCATAAAATCATATGTATTTTATCCACGTATGCACAAACATGACTATTATACTTGTTCATATTTTATTAATTCGATAAGTCATTCAGTTTTCTGAAATTATGTATAATTCAAAAAAACTGGTAAGATGAATAAAAAATTAATCTCATACCATCTCTCATAAGTAATATGCTACTACTTTACACATGAATATAAACAATTCTAATTTTTTTTTTTTTTTTTTTACAAAACAAGTGAACCATGAAAAAAGTAATTTTATAACAATTCGCAAAAATGACATGAAAGGAAAAGACGTACGCACATAGTCAATTTTATTACAGTTTTATAACTTGATTCTTCTTTTTAAAGTGTTGTCTTACAATTTATTTTATTTACTTTTTTTTTCTCCCCACTATCTCAAACTTGCATACATATTCAAAGCATGTCTGGGAAATAAAGGTGTGGCTTTCCACTAAAAAAAAAAAAAGATTTTCATTGCTCACATTTTTCACATTTCCCATTTTGAATTAGCGTAAGCTTTTTTGCCCGTACATTTATACACACAAGTAAAGTTACACAAGAATGCAAATTATTCTTATCATTCAATTTTTTATAAGGACAAAAGAAAAAAAAATGAAAAGGGAACAGCTTCGTAAAATTACAAGATGAATTGTTTTTTTTTTTTTTTCTTTTTTTTTGTATTCAGGTATAATGAGGTAATGTTGGGAATCACTAAAAAGAGGAATATCGACCTCTTTATCATGTACATAGAGGAAGAGGTTTCAAGCCTTTTTTCTTTTTTTCTGCGAAACAATTGTCAATTTGCCATTTTGGAAGCGACAAAACTATGTGTATAAATAATAAAATATATATATATATATATATATATATATATATTTATATTTTTTCTCATATATGCATATGTAAGAACATGTACTTTACCTACTTGTTGCAACACCTGCATAAAGACTCTCTACATCCAGAATGGGTATAAGATCCATTCGTTTTGAACATAAAAAAAAAAAAAAAAGGAGTTACGAAAATTCTCATTAAATAAGCCTTTTTACCATATGGCCGGGTTGAACACTATATATATTTTCTTTGCCTACCATTTTCTGTGTCAATACGATTTTTTTTTTTTTTTTTTATTCAATGTATAAAAACTGCTCTACCCCTCTATTAAGTGTAATGTAGTTATGTGCACATTGTTACTAACATGCATACATAGCTTCCGTAGCATTAGGTTGTGTGAACATATAGGTCTGCTCACTTATACATACGTATGTACATAGATATATATGTATGCACATAAACACAACTGTTTTTGTACCTTACCATCACATTTGCATGCACGTGATGCGCTAATATTATTCAATGGAATGTTGCGAAACTTTCCTGAAAAATAACCCGAAACAGGGGGAAAAAAAAAGTTATAAATGGATATATACAAAAGTTACAAAGCACTACGTGTTGAGGAGTGAGAAAAAAGCAGAGGAACCAGAAAGAAAGTAAAATAAAACCAGTACGAAATCATAAAAATCGATGGAACAATTGTTTTAACTTGTAAATACACAAAATGATTAAAAATGAAACATTTATAATATAAAAAAAAAAAAGTTTTAATTCGATTAAACTATCATTTTCTCTTTTTTCATTTTTCCCCTACCCCAAAAAAAAATAATAAAAGCCGTAAATCAAAAAAACACAGCAAAATAAAGCCATGAAAAGCAAAACAAGGCAAAACAGAGCTAAGCAAAACGAAGCAGTATATCGAAGCATATCTCGCAGCGTGACCAAAAAAATAGCGAAGCAGAACAAAATATAGTAATATTAAAAAAATAGAAAAGCGCATGATTTCCTAATTTAAAACACCAGTTTGAAATTGACCTCATTTCGAATATGTTTTTTTTTTTTTTTTTTTTTTTTTTACCCTCCCCAATATATTAGCACCTAAATAAATATCATGTCAAAATTTATACACGAAGAGGATTTTCATAAAAATTCAACACATATCTATATCTGTCGTTACATATATTCATGATTTGTGAAACAACGTCCTACATTTATTCATTTTTCCATGCATGAAAATTTGAACTCCCAATTCAACACATATAAAAAAAAAAAAAAAAAAAAAAACTTCACACCTGGCTCGAACTTCTAGAACATATTTTATTTACATCCCAACATACTCAACACAACACACTTTTCACTACGATAAAACACAAAAGAAGAAATACACTCGAAGGAGCAATAAATGCGAACACATCTAATTCATTTGACTTTGTAGAACCTGAATGACTATTTGTGAACCCACAGAAGAGATGATAGAATACAACAAAATCAACATATACTATGGAAACAAGTATCCCTTCGTATGTAAAACACTATTTAATATACACAAGGGAGTGAATGAAAATCAAAACGCTTGTGGGAAGAAGGATCATTCAGTGGATGACAAGATAAAATTTTTGAAGGAAGAAAATGTGAAAGAAATCAAGGTGGAATTTTTAGAGAATCCGGAGACTGAAGCTGAACCGAAAGCAGAAGGAAAATGCCATGTTATATACACAAGTGATAAATTATTTGCAAAGAACTTAGACTATATATTGAAAACGAACTTGTATCATTCCTTCTGTGAAAATAACAAAAAAACAGATAAACTGATTAGTGTATATGTCCAGACACAGTACGACGAATGGGTGGATTTTTTTAGGCATAAACAAGTACAAGAAGATACAGTAAGCGTATGTGATCATATTAATAAGCATTTACTTTTAAACACTTTCATGAGTACAGATTATTTAACCTTATCAGATTTGTATGTATTCTATAAAATGTATAAATATTTTAATATGAGTCATTTTTACAACATTAAATATTCGAGACAATTTCGAAATATTCATAGATGGTTTAAATTAATCAATTCGCTACTAAATTATCCAGACAATGAACTAAAAGATATGCTAAAAAAGGAAATGCTAGAGAATCATATAGATATTGTCAGAGATGCAAATAGTATGCAATTCATGAAACAGAAAAATCTATCTACCTCTTATTTGGGAAAATTAGAAAATGCGAAAAAAGGAAATGTTATAACGAGATTTCCACCTGAACCATCAGGCTATTTACACATTGGTCATGCAAAAGCTGCATTTCTAAATAGCTATTATGCAAAAATGTATAATGGAAAAATGTTACTACGATTTGATGACACGAATCCAGCGCTGGAAGATATTAAATATGAAACTTCTATCATAGAAGATCTAGAAAACTTGGGATTAAAATATGAAAAAGTTAGCTATTCATCAGATTATTTTGAAACTTTAGAAGAATATTGCATCAAATTAATTAAAATGAATAAAGCATATGCAGATGATACAAATGTTGAAGATATGAGGAATCAAAGAGGAGAAGGTATAGAATCCGTAAACAGAAATAATTCAGTTGAACAGAATTTACAACTCTTTGATGAAATGCGTAAAGGAACTGAAATAGGACAAAAAAATTGCATCAGAGCAAAGATCGACATGCAAAGTAAAAATAAATGTATGAGAGATCCCGTATTGTATAGATGCATAGTAGATATGCCACATCATAGACATGGATTTAAATTCAAATGTTATCCTACGTACGATTTTGCATGTCCAATAATAGATTCTATTGAAGGAGTAACTCACGCATTGAGAACCAACGAATATAGTGATAGGATTGAGCAATATAACTGGTTTATTACAACCCTTCAATTAAGAAAAGTATATATATATGAATTTAGCAGAATATCATTTGTTAAGACTGTTATGTCTAAGAGGAAACTAAAATGGTTTGTTGAAAATAATATAGTTGATGGGTGGATGGATCCACGTATGCCAACTATTAAAGGTATTCTAAGAAGAGGATTAACGAAAGAAGCTTTGTTTCAATTTATACTAGAACAAGGCCCATCAAAATCAGGAAATTTAATGCAGTGGGATAAATTGTGGTCTATTAATAAACAAATTATTGATCCCATTATTCCTAGATTCGCAGCAGTAGATAAAAATAAAGGAGTCATTTTAAAATTAACAGATTTAAATGAAAATGTTGTAGAAAAAACCAGAGATTTACATGTAAAAAATAAAGAACTTGGAACATGTTCCATGTTTCACACAAATACCTTCCTCATAGAATTGGAAGATGCAGAAGCTTTAGTAGAAAAGGAGGAAATTACTCTTATCAAATTGGGAAATGTTATAATAAATACTGTTGTGAAAGGTGATGACCATGGTAGTGGTAGTGGTACTACTTCTACCATTAAAGAAATTTTAGCAACATCTAATTTTAACGGAGATTTTAAAACCACAAAAAAGAAAATACACTGGGTTCCTTATATACCTAAAAAATTATGCTTATGCACACTATACGAATATGATCATTTAATAACAGTTGACAAATTCGAAAATGACAATAAGGAAGACTGGACAAAATTTATTAACCTAAACAACAAACACGAAACCGAAGTATTTGCTGAACCCGCATTTGTATCTGTCAAAGTTTCTGAAAAATTTCAGTTTGAAAGAAGAGGATATTTTATCGTTGACAAAATAATTGACAACCACTTCCATATGATTAAAATACCCGATGGAAAATCCAAAAATATGTCAATCATCACCACAAAGGTGAACCCGAAAAGTTTGGTTGGTATTAATAAGTAGGCTGTCGACCATTTAGAAAATGATGATCAGATGCACTGCAGATTAGATTCGCTGCAGATTAGATTCGCTGCAGATTAGATTCGCTGCAGATTAGATGCACTGCTGATTAGGGGTCCCCGAATTACCAATCTTAATTAACCTGTTCATAAATTCCAATATTCGTATGTCGGTAAACACAAAGTTTATGCCATCTGTTTCTATATCCATTTCTTTTCCTCCTTCTGTTCCTATTTATATTTTAATTTGAGGTAAACTCCCCCATTTACAACCCATTATATAACTTTTTTTCGCATATTTTTATTTTATCATACCATACATTTTTAATGTTTTCTTGATCGCACTTTAAGGAAGCAAAAAAAAAAAAAAAAAAAAAAAAAAAAAAAAAAAAAAAAAGCGACAACTGGTGGGTTATGGAGAACGAAGTATTAAACTGTGTATATATTAAGTTACCTAAATTTGACCACTTCATTCACACCAGATAATTTTTTTTTTTTTTTTTTATATATATATATATATATACATATATATATATAATCCAGTAAAAAGGTGACCCAGATAATAGACCACTTACACACATAAGCTCCTACATATTTGCCATTTTTTGCTTTCCATCGTCAACCCTCAGTGATCAAAAGGTGCATCAAATCGAGGGGAAGGTAATAGCTTCAATTTCTGAATTCTCTGCAACAAGAAACGTTTTTCGCATTTCTCACATTTTTCTGCACACCACTTCCCCATCTAATCGATAAATAAAATTATTTAACAAAAGTCCATCACGTCCTAAATGTTAAATACTCCCACTTCACTGTGAAATGTTATGAAGAAGAACTTATATACGTAATGTAAAAATATATATATATGTTTATATAACATGCACATTTTTATTTTTATTTTTATTTTTTTTTTTTTTTATATTTTTCTTCTTACTTTTCGGTACGTTTGCTTTTGTATCCGGTTTTTAAAACTTTATAATTCCCCACCCTTCTTACACTCTTTTGTAAATGGAAATATTTTTTTAAAAATAATTTTCCATTTTTTAGCTCCCTCTACGACTCTATAAGGTTGTGAAACACACATTAGCAACACTTTCTATGAAAATTGTTTAAATGTTACAGTTGGTGTAAAAATTATACTCTGAACAAATCATAATTTTAAATTTACACAGAAAATTTTGAACTCCTCTTTACGTACATATAAAATTTGAACGCTTCCTACTTTCACATTTCTTCCAATTATTAATCCCAATTATGCATATCTGTTTGCATGGTTTAACTCTTGCACTCATATTTCTTTGTGCAGTTCCTTATCTAAACACAACTCCAACCCCGTGTTGCAATAAAGCAAGAGGAGAGGACCAAGATAAAAAATTTACCGCTTCGACTATGGTAGAAACAATGGAAGAGAAAATAAAAGATACCATTAATTCCAACTTTGAAGATAATAAAGACGAATTGGTAATCATTGTAAATGAAAATAATGAATTCGAAGAATTGAAAACGAGAAAAATTATGAGAACTCAAAACTTATGGCATAGATCGACATCCGTTTTTGTTTTCACAAAAATAAATGATGAGTATTTTATTTATGTACATAAAAGATCGAAAATAAAGGATTATTGTCCATCATATTATTCCATTGGCTTTGGTGGAGTCGTGTCAGAAAATGAAAGTATGCTGGGCAATGCAGTCAAGGAACTAGAAGAAGAAAGTGGAATAATCAAAAAACCTGAGCAGCTTTTCGATTTGGGTGTGGTTAAATGCGACACAGAATGTTCTAGATCATTCGTAGGATGTTATGTAATACATAATATGAACAAAAACTTATGTTTAAGTTGTTGTCTTGTAGTTACCCTACCATCTTGCTAAACACCATTACTTGGCTTAACACAGACATATCATCTCATTTGATTCCTTTTCACACCCCATTTGATTTCTTCTCACGCCTCATTTGATTGCTTATTGCCTCTCCACACAGGTTGTCTTCATCGACCCCGATTTCCAAACAATCCCTCAATTAAATGAAGTTGAATTTATCACGCGAATACCTCTGGACGAATTCGATGACTTTTTAAAGAAGGAAAAATTGACAATTATAAGTATGAACAACGTTCTACACTATTCCCAATTTATACATTTTTTTTTTTTTTTTTTTTTTTTTTTTTTTTTTACAAATTTTTTTTTTCTTTTTTTTTTTTTTTAAAATTTTTTTTTTTTTTTTTTTTTTTTTTTTTTTTTTTTTATAAAAATTTTTTTTTCTTTTTTTTTTCTTTTAAATTTTTTTCTTTATTTTTTTTTTCTTTTTTATTTTTTTTTTTTTTTTTTTTTTTTATTATTTTGTTTTCCTTCAGTTTTTTAATATGTCCGATTTTTACTTTTTTTTTTTTTTTTTTTTTTTTTTTTTTTTTTACACAAATTATCGTTGCCTTTATTTTTCGTATAAAAGATATACCTAATGTATCATTGCTGCATTAGATATATATATTTTATCATGCTTGAAAATTTGGTCTTACCTAAATATTGAAAATGAGACATTTTGAAGTCCAAGTGAATCATATTTGTTTTATTTTGTTCATACATATGTGTATATCTCTGTACATATATATATATATATATATATATATATATATATATATATATATATATATAAGCATATGCACAAATGGTACATATGCCATGGACATTTTTCCACATGTGAAAAATTCTTCCCATTACCCTACCATATTTACAGCAAGAAGTGTGTATAACCACTTTAAAGACAAATTAACAAAATCTTCCTTGGATGAAATATACAAGAAAATCAACTAACATCTTGTAACTTACACTTGAAGAGAAAGAGAGAGAGAAAAAAAAAAAAAAAAAAAAAAAATTTTATGCAAAGTTGGTTCATATGTAGATACCCTTTTTTTTTTTTTTTTTTTTTTTTTTTTTTTTTATACCTTTGTTACACATGTATGTATACACATACATATATTTTTATACATCTTTGAGCAACAATTTCCCTTTTACAATTCCGTGTTGATAATTTGCGGAGTCAATAGAGAAGAAACATTTTTCTATCCATTTGTGATATCTGATTTACAAACACACTGTTCTATCCATGATGGACATAAGAAACATTTTTTTTTTTTTTCCATCCCTCCCTTTTAACTATTTAATGTATATTGAATTTATGTTTTTTTCGTTTTTATTCCATTTCAAACTAAAGGAAGTGTACAAATATAAGACACAGAAGATCCCTTCACTTTTTTTTATAACTTAACCAAAATTACATATAACCTCAACAAATGAAACTTCTATACATATGTGATACGCGTTTTCGTGCGTTTAATTCTAAGGAGAAAAAATATTTGTTTAAGTGTTGGTCTTGTTCCTTACAAGATTTACTTAATAATAGCAATCAGCGAGATATTCACTTGTGGCTCGTTTGTATAAGTATGTAAAAGAGATATTAGTGTAGCTCCATAGCTGAGGAACATTAATTGTACTTTGCACTCAAATTGAAATATATTAAGTGTAACGATTCTTAGACTAATATGTGTCCACAACTCAAACTCTGAAAAATTACCAAGAATGTTCAATTTTTTATATTTTACTTTTTTTCTTCCTTTCCTTTTTTTATGCCTCATTTTTTTTCTATGCTTCATTTCTTAGACCTTATTGACTACATTGATATGCTAACATTTTCTGACCCATTTGATTATGAAAATGTAAAAAAGGCATTGGAAAAAATATCCCCTCATTTTGATTTGAATAGGGAGAATTCCACACACGACACAGAAATAGCAGTAGATCCATTAATAGCTTTTTTAAAAAACACAGAAAGTAGGAATCCATAAGGAATTCAAAAAAAAAAAAAAAAAAAAAAAACAATTTTGAAATCGAAAATATAATCTCTTTTTTATGAAAACAAGTTTCTAAAAACAGGCTTTATCTTTATCACCATTTGTATGTCTATTTTTCTATACCCCATTATGATTACAATGTATGCACAAAACTGATTCTTTCTGTGACAAATACCAGACAAATCTGAAATGATGAAATGCGACAAAGTAACAATTCTATCTTGTAATATTCACCTGTGGGAAGATAGAGTTTCCGAATTGCAGCTTTTAGCAAACCTATTCAATGCCTCCATGTGCAAATTTTACTTTTTTAATGGTTATATACAGATATTCGTGTTTGTGTATACTGAGCATCAGTTCAATTGACATGACCATAATGAGAAAGTCCGCTAATGAGTGAGAAAATTGCTCATTCTCATCCCTCGTATATTCACACTCTCAAACACGCACACTTGTATGTATATATACACACATACACAAGTCTATGTAATCGCATATATATATGTATTATCACCCAACATCACGACCTTAGTACATAAGAATGGAACTGACGTAATGGACAAGATAAACAAAATAAGCTATGCTCTGGAGAAATACTCAAACTTTCTTTTTAAAAACATTCAACTGAATAAAATTGATATATTACAAATATCGAAGGAAATATTATCCCTCAAGTTTGTTGTTTCATTTACCCTTAGTTTACAAAACCAGGTAAACAACAATAGGATAGAAGGGGACCAAGCAAGGGAAAGGGGAAAAAAAAAAAAAAGCCCAAAAAAAAAAAAAAAAAAAAAAACAAGCAATCTCACAGGCAGATACCACCATAATGTCATTATTATCAAAAAAAAACCTCCAACACTCGCAGCTCGTTCTGAAATGTGAAGGAACACCTTTGATAACTGAAGTGGGATACACTGCTTTTGTCAGTCTAAATAAATACTCAGTTGTATTTGACATCAGGGCAAAAGCATTAAAGGATGGTATATCACAGCACTTGGTTAAGCCTACATTAATTCATTTAATACATATATGTTAATGTGACATTTTTAAATAGTCCTAACAGAGGATCAATAAAAAAAAAAAAAAACATAAGTGGTTTTTCACATGTAAATGTACACATGTAATATACATGAACGTTACAACACTATGCCACAATACCACTCCATACTGCAAAAATTACAGCTAAACTTGACTTTCCATTTTTTTCATTTAGATATATGGGATACCTATATTCGCATGTGACAAATGGGGTTTTGAGCAAAATTTAGTTTCACTTGAATGTCTTTCCAGGGAGTTGTATGAAAATGTAAGACATGGGTTGAGAGAAAAAAAAAAAAAATGGAAAAGAGGAAAACAGAAAAACATATGATATGCAAAAATACTGCTTCACTCGTGTGATTGCTTTGGTGATCATGTCTTTTCCCTAGTTCAGGTGGGGATGTCCTCACGCTGATTTATACCTACACGTGTCCAAGCATATTAACCCTCTCGAAAATCCTCTTAGAATAAAGTATATCATAGACATGACAAAAAAAAAAAAAAAAAAAAAAAATTATCCCCATATGGTTACTACAACTACAGGAGCAAGTGATCATCCTAAGATCAAACATAAATCCTACGGACTTAAAAATGCAGTAAGAGGGGGATGATATGTGGCATGCACATGTGTACCCATTCAAATATGACGACCATGTTATTTTTTATGCAAATGTGATTTCTATCTCATACATTTGCTACGTCACATGGTTCCACGTCATACTGAGCTATATTATTATTATTTATTTTATTTTTTCTTCTTCCCCTCTTTTGGACAGCGAAAAGGAAGTTCGCTTTCTGTGGGTTGGAACCCCCATGTTAAAGGATGAAACGTCAATAGCCCTATGTTTGCACGTAAAATGAAAAAAAAACAGACACGAATTATTTGGTTTCTTAAATACACGTGGATCATATTTGATACCATTACTTTTGTACAACATGCACGATATGTATTTAAGAAGTCTTTCTTTTCTCTCCCTCTCGTATGTGTCTTTTGTCTCTTCAACTCATTTGAACGATGTTATATATTGTTATATACATCTCACCTGCCTTAACGCAATGAAGGGATTATCTACTCAAGAAACGTATTCTCTTTCGATCGAAGAATCCTTCAAAGAATGCGCTGAAAAAAAAGATCAGCATATCTCAGATGTAAAGATAAAGGAAATATTTAACTTTTTAATTTTGATAGAACAGTTTAACCCCTTGGTAGGTCAAAAAACTGGCTACTTTTAATTAAATGGATTCTTCATTACTTTTTTTTTAAAAAATTTGTTTGTTCTTTTTTTTTAAAAAATTTGTTTGTTCTTTTTTTTAAAAAATTTGTTTGCTCTTTTTTTTAAATTTTTTTTGCTCTTTTTTTTAAAATTTTTTTTTGCTCTTTTTTTAAAAATTTTTTTTTGCTCTTTTTTATTAAATATATTTTCCCCTTTTTTTATTCCATTTTTTTTTTTTTTTTTTCACTTCTTTTATCATTTTTATTTATTCATTTTCATCTATACTGTCACGTTTATACATACATGACAAGCATACATATGTAACACATCATTAAGAAAATTTATACCCCTTCCCTACAGGACTACAGCAACGAGCGCTTCGAGTATTCCTGCAAATGTTTTCGAAAATCGTTGATAAGTTTACCAGACAGGGTTAACCATTCACAGAAAAGGTATCATCCCTCGTGCGTAACTTCCTTTGCTTATGTCTGTCTCTCCATTTTTGTATTTTCTCCATGTCTTCGACACACATGGGAAGCAAGTAAAAGTGTACATAACTAAAGGTGTCCATATGACCACACACTTCTGCACACACTATCTCCCCGATCGTCGAATAGAAAAAAAAAAAAAAAAACGACACTCTTAAACATCCAACCTGATGATGCTTATGTAAATACAAAGAATAGTGTATCTATTGGAACACAAGGTACTAAGGGAGGAAGAAAAAATGACATCTTAAAAAAAAACATGGAAATTCTGGATCCTCGATCTCTTCTACTAGCCAATATGAATAAGGCTTTTCAGAAAAATATTATATAGGCAGGAATACAGTAACAGACAAATGTACTCATCCTATCACTCCTATGCTATGCTAATGTATGTATATATTATATCCGTGTGTGTTCACATTTATGCATTCTGGTTCCTCCAAAAAAATACTTTATATGAATTCGTTCATACAAGAAAAAGACCATTTTTTTTTTTTTTTTTTTTGGGGGGGGGGAGAATTTAACCCAATATGATACCCCAACGCGTTACCTTCTTTTGTGCCAAAAAAAAAAAAAAAAAAAAAAAAAAATTCGAAAAAACGTTTTAGTCATTACAACTTTTTTTAGAAGCATAAATGTGTTTAAGTTGCCAAATGAGCGTTTTATATATATATTTCTTTTACAATTGAAAGGGTGTAAAAAAAAAAAAAAAAAAAAAAAATTAAACAGAACCGAACATACATGTGCAGCAAAAGAAACAAAAGAAAAAATGAAGAACTTTAAAAACAAGCAAATGAGAGTCTATCGAGGGAAGGTATATAATGAGGCAAAAAAAAAAAAAAATAAATAAATAAAATGAATGACAAAAGAGTGTAATTCATTACCCCTGTTTTTACTCGAAAGAATTTTTCAGGCACGAAGCTTCTGAGTAACAAAACAATATATACTTACTCACTGAAACGCATTTTTGTGTTTCCATTATTCTCCTTTTTCAGCATGCTTATCGTTAAAAAAAAAATAATAATAATAATAAATTAAATTGCATCCTAGCGTTTATAGGTACATTTTATAACCCTTAAACAAGGACATCCTGAACCCTAAACCAAATGGTTCATTAGCACACCCAATACAAATCGTAGTTCATCATGTAGAATTGGTACATTTTCGTTTGAAAATTCTTCCCATATAAACAATAAATAATAGATGTAATATCGTGTTTAATTGAACGAATTTCCTCGTGACACTTATTACCAATTCGAAATCCTGGTATGAACACTTTATATGTTTCACATTGATTGTACAACTACACTATGGAAGAGTACAAGCAGGATTCATCAAACAAAACAAAAGGGGATGCAAAATTCTCAAAATTTGTTACTTCTCTAAGTTTTATGAAAAAAAATATAAATGATAAGGAAGAGGGCGTTAAGAAAAAAATAAAATATGCAAATGATGATCATGTATGGATGCTGAAGGAGTATGAGGAAGAGGCAAATGCCTTTTTAAAAAAACAGTTAGAGCAAAAAAATAAAAATAATGTTTCTTTAAATTGTTTGGGAAGAAAATCATACAATAATTATAACACTTATGTGAATTTGTACAATCTAGAAATTAAAAAGTTTATTAATTCAGTCAAGAAAAACAAGCCTATCAACTCATTGAGGGAATGAGTGTGTCACACAGTTTTGCAGTTTTGCAGTTTTGCAGTTTTGCAATTTTTTTTTTTTTTTTTTAACACTCAGAAGCATATTTTCTTATTCGTTTACGCCCCTTTTCTTTTCGGATGTCGTGTTATATGCAAAAATGAAGTGACATCAATCGGACGAGCTGTCGTTTTTACGCATGACTCTCTCTTTAGTTCCAACGATTCATTATATTTGCTCGATTGTATTTGGTAAACATTTGTTACATTATTTATCTTCTGTGCTAATATTTATTTTATTTTATTTTTTTTCCGTTCGTTTTCTCTTTTGTGTGTGCATGTCATGTTACTCATTTTTAGTAATGTGTAGATTAACTAATTTTAATGACGTAAAATATGTACATACATATATATAATGTAGATATATATATATATATATATGCAGCACACACGTGTATTACCGTTGTGAAAACTGTGCATTAGATGACTTTTTTTTTTTTTTTTTTTTTTGTAGACACAAAAACAATTTGGCCATTTTAAAATGGGAAATAATTAATATTGAATTGTGCATAGAGAGGAATATACACTTTCTTTTCTTTTTTTTTTTTTACCCAATCACTCCTGTCCTTCGTGTTTTCCCTCCGCTTCTTCATCCACGTCCTCCATTTGTACCTCCATTATTTTCTCCTTTTCTTCCTCCTTTTCGTATACCTGTTCTTCCACAATTTTGGATTATTCACTTACCTTCCTCTTTTTACAAGCATATTATGACCGAACAAGGTTGATGGGTTTTCTTACTTTTCTCATGCCAATTTGTTCTCCTTTACTTGTAAAGGGCAGGAAATCCATTATACCCAACTTTTTCTCGTTCTGAAAAAACAAAGCGGTGAAAAACAAAGCGGTAGAAAAAGAAGCGGTAGAAAACAAAAAATAAAACCACTTTAAACACATTTCACCCCTTCTTGCTACATAAAAATATCAATTAAATGATCACTTACACTTTCAGATCATACTTATACCTCTGGGACATATAACTCCGTTTGTAGTCGTTCAGGGTGTCAAATCTTCAAGAAAAAAAAAAAAAAAAAAAAAAAAAAATATGAAGTGGTATTTATAAGAAGCAATATATTTTTTTCTTATTAACACCAGGTCAATTTTACGATATGAACACATTTGTGTATATGGATCATTGGTTAAATTCTCGCAATCGCCTTTGATCCTCATGTTATCTCTTTTCTTTTCTTCTCTTTTCTTCTTTTTAGGGAATAGAAACTGGTGGAGTTATATACACTTACACACTCTTTTCCCGAGGCTCATACAAATTCTGAAACGTTTTAAATGCACTAGACGGTAGAAGAAAAAGGCCCAAGCGACATATAATGAAATAAATAATTATATCTAATCCACAACAAGCAAAGCAAAATACCCACTGTATTAGAGTTAACCCATGTATATGTAAATTAAAAAATACGGAACCAAATTCAATTACAAAAATGTGTAGCATTAGTATCAATAGGAAAATTACAAATGTCATATAATTTTCACCAACAAGTTTTAATAGCATCATGTTTATATTCATATTGACCAAGTTAGATTTATTCTTCATCTGTTTAACTATAGTAGATATGAAAAAACCTTTTTGACTATCGTTAGAGTTACTGTCATTTCCCATCTTTTCATTTGTATTCGTGTCTGTTTCGCTACTTTTGCTTTGTTCATTATTAATCCCTTTTAACAACTGTTTTGAATTTTTTGTATGAACTAAGTTAGCAGACATTTGTTCTTCTTTCAGTTCGTTCATAAAGTTCCGTATATGTAAGGACAATATCTTTTTGTCTGTTCTTTCATTATGCAATAAAGGAATAATGTAACTTTTATATCTTTCATTTTGTATTCCCTTGTGCTTTTCCAAATATACATGTATTTCACGTAAAAATGTTTTTAAATAAATATGGATGTAAGAAAAAAAGAAAAAAAGAAAAAAAACATTAAATAGGATAGTGTCATGTCTACCAGGACTAATATAATTTTCCCATTCAGTCATATATCTATAATCATTTTGAACATTAATTTCATCTTGTATTTTGAGATTTGCTAAATTTTTTTTAAAACGAATACAAGATCTTATAGTGTGATAATAGCCAGACTGTTGTCTATCTGTTAGGTACGAAAATTCTGAAAATTCGAAAACATTCCTTAAATCTTCTGTAACAAAATCCCATTTTGATTCAGGTATAAAAACATGCCCAAAAAAAAATATGATGAATAATATTATAGTTTTGGATAAAATAGATGAAATCATATCATTTATATCTTTCTCTTTGAAAAAGTCATAAGATTGTTTTTTTTTTTTTCCTCCTGTACTTAGCGAACTTTTTCTATAACAAGATAAATAATGAAATATTACATTTTTTATAAAATATATATATAATATTTGTATTGTGCTTAAAAATTCGAGTCCATTTACCAAAGTACATACAGTTGAAAATATAACCATACAGACATACAAAGTTATGTTGTGTTCAATAAACAGTTGAATATTTGTCAATATAGAATTTGAGAAATTCTTTAATTTTATAAAATCATGTAAACTTTTATTTAAAATTATAATGTCACTCTTTTCTTTGTTTTCTCCTTTGCACCTATCATCACATATTCTTATGTTACACAACCTTTCTTCGCACATAACATTGCTTTCATTTGTTACTACTGCACTTTTTCCATAATAACTAGAAATTTTCAGCAAACTTGACAATTCTTTACTTCCACAATTGTAAAAAATATTATTATTCAAAAGAAATTCCAAGTTATTTTTTTTATTTTCATTTTCACTTGACAGATTTGTCACCATACTATCAGCACATTGCTTTAGATTTAAAACTTCACTCCTACACTTGTTACTTGGAAATTTTTTCTTATTCCCTTTCAGTTTGTAATTCTGTAAATCCTCACTATTCTCCAGATAAGTTTCGTTATAATCATTTCTGTCACTACTTTCTTGTGGAGCAGCCTGAACATTTTTCTTCATATTTTTTTTTTCCTCTTCCTTTGAATTATTACTATTTTTCCCCTGTTGATGAATACCAAATCTATCGCCATCCTCATTGTGATAATTCAAATTTGACGAATCTTCATTACCTTGAATTTTCGCATTATATAATTTCAAAGACTCAAAAAAATCAGGGAAGTATCTGAAAAGCTTCTTTGTCTTTAGAATACTATTCTTCGTAAACAACTTCACACACATGTCATTCCCCTCCAACATTTTGTAATCAAAATAGAAATACTTGCTCAGGGTTTCTTCGAATGCCAAAATGGAAATACATATGTAATCATTCATTTCTGCATACTTCAGATAAGTTTCATCAATGTTTTTATTCATCTCTTTGTTATCGAACGCGTAATCGCTGTCATCGTCGTACTGGAATAACATATCCTTCTCATTTTCACTTAGAACTATTTCTTTGTAGGCAAAGCAGATGACTGATTCGTGATTTTCCTTTTCAACCTTTTCCACTTTTTCCTTCAGCTCGTCTATGTCCCTGCGGATGTATCGAACAGTGAAAAAAAGACACGGTGTGCTGCGCAGCAATGCTGAGAGAAACTCAGCAAAATGCAGCAAAACAAAGAAAACTGCTGCAAACTGCTGTAAACTGCTGTAAACTGAGAGGAATGAATTTGAGCTATACAATGCTGTTCCACGTAGGATCAAGTCCAACGTAACGCAAAACTCACAAGGTAACCATGCACTAATTCGTTCATTCATTCATTCGCTCATTCACTCATCCACTAATTCGCTCATCCACTAATTCCATAGTTCACGAATTGTCTAATCCTCTAATTAAGACAGACACTGAGAAGGAAGACTAACATTCGCAAGGTATCACCGTCGAGATATTGCCTGCACTTGGGAAAAACCAAATTCAAGCGACCCCTAATAAATATCCTCAACACGTTTAAATTTTCACGACCATATTTGACTTGTTCATTTATCTCCTTGTTCTTCTCCCCCTTGACTATATGCTGTTGAGGCAGATAAGAATTCTTCGAAAACACAAATGAAATAATAAAATCTTGATTACTAGATATAACACGAAATATATGTTTTTTTGGGATAAAATAATCTTCAATATTAATTTGAAAAATTTTCACTAATTTTAAAAGAGACATGTCTATATGGAGAAAATTTTCATTATAATGATATAAGTTACTGGTTGTAAGTATACTATGGATGAGCAATTTAAAAAAGAGATTTTTTGTCATTTCAATTTGACGTTCCTTATTTTGAGATAAATTAATAAATTCCTGTTTTGGTGATGATAATTCAGGCTTTACACTACTATCGAATGAAAAAGAGAACTCCTTGTTATAAAAAAAATAAATGCACTTATATTTTATGTACCTCTCTATATCTATATAAATAATATTAGTAAATAGAATTTTTTCAAACGTATTTTTTCTTTTTATTAGAAAATTTTCTCGCATTATTTGCCTAGAATTTAATGCTATACAATTTTGTAAAAGCAAAGGCATCTGATCAATGGATAATAAAAGATATTTTAAAATTTCTATAATAATACAATTGAGTAAAAATATTAATAAATTATAAGCATATGTCTGCATATTATTTTCAACTATAGTAATTAAAAAATGAATAAATATAAAAAGGATACATAATATACAATAAAAAATTATTATTATCACAACATTTTTAGCAAAACTGTTTATTATCAATTCTAATTCTGTATTTTCTTCTACATCTTTAATTGTATGATGGAACATTTGTTTATTTTTACTAACACATGTGGTTATCATAATACCTGTACCATTTCGTACTATAGATTCTGACAGGACAAGAGGAGAATATTCAAACATTTTTCCAAAATTACAATTTGTGCTTAATCTATTTTTGCTATTATTTTTCTCTCCTTTATTGTATAAATTTTCTACTCTCTTATTATTACTTCCACTAAGTGACAATTTTTTCAATTTTTCATCATCACTTTCTTCTCCTCCCCCATCTTTACCATCCACCAAATTGGAATTTTCCTGTACCTTACTTTCCTCTCGACTAAGTCGTTTTAGATTAGCTTTTACCTTCAAATTAAGTATTTCAAAATAATTTAACTTTTTTTTCTTCAGTTCATTCACACTTAACTTTCTCTTTCTTGATTTCTCACTATAGTATAAATATTCATCTAAGCTAATTTTCTTTTTCTGGCTTTTTGCTGATTTTAAAATGTTAGATTCATCAACAACCAAATCGTTACATTTTATAAGAATTCCATCTGCTGGTATCACATCTCCTTTAAACAGATATACAATATCTCCTACTAAAATGTTTTTACTATTAATTGAATATATATTATTTTCATATAGGATATAATTTACTAGATTTTTTTTTTTTTTCCCATTTGTCATTTCAGTAGAATTTTTTCTTCCTTCTTCTTCCCCTATACTTATTCTTAGAATGTCTTCACTATATTTTTTCTCCCTGTCTACTTCATCATTTAAGACCACTTGTTTTTTCATATCTCCCTTTCCTCCTCTATCCACATCATACTTTTCTGTACTTATTCCATTCTTCTTATTATTATCTAACACTTTTGAACTTGTCTTATTCCTCTTATCTGGAAATATTCCTTCTTCTACGTTAACTCTAGAAGATATTATATTATTCCTTAACGCACTAGTTTCTTCTCCTTCTTTATTCGCATCTTTTGATTTTCTACTATTTAGGGTTAAATCTTCCTTACTGATGATTTCATTATTATCTACTTCGTTTACCATTTCTGATGATTTATTAATTGATTTGCTTTTCAGATTTATTCCAGAATATTCATTTGGGATAATATCCTTAAAATGTTCTTGTACATAACTTGAATTTTTATCAGCTTTAAAAGATTCATAATCAAGAAGTTCTGCATTTATTCTATTTAAAAAACTTTTTAGAAAAAAGTATTTGGAGTACTTTTTTATTTCTACAGTTTTTCTACTTTCAAAATTGGTCAATTTCATTTTGTTATCTATATTATTTTTTATAAAATTCCGACATATGTAATTCTCCCTAAAGTTATTCAATTTGGACGTTATTAAGTTTATTCTATTTTCTTTTATGTAATGCACTCCAGCTAAGGCTAGACAGCCAATCGTCACTATCAAGGAAAAGAAGAGAGATTCTAAGAATTCTGCCGAAAAAAAAAAAAGGAAAAGAGAAGAAAAGAATTTGTAGGGGACGTTTTTGAAATACATGAAGGGATTGCAAAATGGCTTTACATATCATGCAAATAAAATGGAACACAAAAATTAACCATTGAACAGATTTTCCCAATTCAAAAAAAAAAAAAAAAAAAACATTCAAAGGTAAGAAAGTGCCTCATATGCATTTATGGATAAATGCGAAAAATCACAATTCTCAAAAAAATGATGTGTACCTAGTAGATTGTTTCTGTCACACACATACGTTACAAACGTGTAAAAATAAACACAAGACAAAAAAACTTTTAAAGGATAATTTTCCAAGTATATTTTAATAACAGACAAATATGTGAGAGAAGGTAGGGATTGTATGATATTTGAACAGTAGCAGTATATTCTATAACTGTTTATCACGTTGATTTTTTTGTTAAAAATGAAGTAATCTAAGAGCTCTTTCGGTTTCTTATTCTTGTCTTTATCGCCTCTTTCTTTGTTTATGTCAGCCTTGTTCATACTTTGTTCATTCTTTTTATTTTCAAGTACATCATTTTGTTTCGTTTCTTTCACATCGATTGATATACCCTCATGCGAGAGGCTTTTTTCCTTCTCTTCCATTCCATTGACATGCTTTAAAACTTTTCTAAAAAATTTCAGTTTACATTGTTTTAAAAATGTTTCATCACAATTTTCTTCTAAATAAAAAATTAATCCATTTTCATTACTGATAACTTCTTGCATCAAGTTATTGGAACTTCTAACATTTTTCAAATCTTCACTATAATCTTCATTTTTCATGTACTTATCAAAAATACCCTTAAAAAATTTTGCATCGTATGGAAATAGGCTTTTCGTGATTTCGTTATTCATTTTTTTGTGTTTTTTTTTTTTTTTTCAATACAAGTTAACAAACATGTGTCATGAATTTAATGCGTCTTGACTATACACGCTCAAAAAGAAAGGATAAACAAACATGTAGATTGGATGTGCAGAAAGATTGTATAGCAACACAAGTTCTATTATTATTCTCCTTGGAATTAGTTTTTTCCAATATTATTTCATGACCTCCCGAAATCCCAAGTTATGCTAAGACTTCTGTAGTTATTATCAGCACGTCTACAAAGTGATAATGTTAAATTAATATTTTTTTCCATGCGATCGTGTCGTTACGCAATTTGTTGCTTATCTATTATAAATCAACTTCTATTATATATTTCTCTCATACTTTTGTGCTACTTTTTTTTTTTTTTTTTTTTTTAATAATATGCATTTTCATTTCTCTTACCCTGTTATACATCTATGAATGTTCGAATATGTACGTGTGTATAAGTACACATGTACACTTTTTTTTTTTTTTTTTTTCTATAATAGCCATTTTTGCTCACCATTTGCACTGTGTTAAACAGTTATGCGTTTATTTTATTTTATTTTATTTTTTATTATTTTTTTTTTTTCCCCTAATGTGTGTTCCCCTCTTCTAGCTACCTATGCTTCTACATTTTTGATGCACACAAAATGGACATTGTCTAGAAGAGCATTCAGTAGGAATAGAAATCAGGCCTGATAATATGAAACGGAAAAAAAAAAAAAAAAAAACAATAATAAAAATAAATAAGTAAACAAATAAGTAAATAAATATATAAGTAAATAAATAGAACATCACATAACACATCGATTCACAGCATAACTCTCATCTCATAAACGAGAGATACGTGCAGAAAATACTTACCATCTCTGCACATTCCCTAATGAGCACCTTTTTTTTTTTTTTTTTTTTTTTTTTTTATTTCGATTTATTTTGCACATCATTGGAACCTAAAATCGCTATTAAAACCGCTCTTAAAACCGTTCATAAAACCGCTCTTAAAATTGCGCTTAAAATATCTTCATAACGATTTCCCCTTTTATACACAACCAGGTGAAATATATTCAAAAGTGCGCAAATTTTTAATAATACATTTCTGAGTGTTTACACATTTCGAAAAAAGTCATGATGAAACACTAATGGCACAGATTCTCCATTTATATATTTCCTTCGTAAGCGAGATAAGATACATGTCAGAGGGTGAAATGTGCACAATCGTAACTACACATGGATTAATTATACCCATCTTTGGCCTAGTCAAGTTTACCTCAAAAAATAAGCCCTAAGGAAAGGCTTCCTCTGACCTCACGTATCTTAATGCATGAACATTCAACTGTTACATCCACTGGGCGATGTCTAAAATATAAAATTAATTACACGATGTTCCATTACAGTATTTATGCAGATTTAAACGCTGTGCTTTATTTCTGCCACTTCATTTTTACCGTTTCATTTTTACCGTTTCATTTTTACCACTTCATTTTTACCACTTCATTTTTACCACTTCATTTTTATCGTATAGAACAGTGGCATGAGCACACTTGCACAAAATTGTCAAACTGAGACTTCATGAATCTGCTGAAAAATCCACAGAAACGTTCCTGCTATGTGCCTCTTGATTTTTTATTTTTCTCCTTCACACAGTTACTCTGTTAAAAAGTAGGATATAAAAAGTTCCCGTTTGATACATTTCTATATGTACACACATTAACCCAGACTAAAGATGGAAAAGGAACTTGTTGTAGAATCCTACATCGGGTTCAATGGAAATGTATCGAACAATCTTATTTTAATAAGACAAGAAAAAAAATTGGATAAGAAAATCTACAGAGAAAAATTAAGACTAATAGAAGAAGAAGAAATTATAGAAAATGAAAAAAAAAAAAAATTAAAAAGTATTTACAATTTAAAAAATATAGACATCAATCATAATTATTATGAATTAAAAAAAGAAGAATTGCAATACGACTTCTTTATGATTTATGCAATTGGAACTAACATTATAAAAGAGGATGTCGTGAATAATAAAAGAACCATTTTCAAAAGTGACAAAAATAAAATAAGTAAGTTATATGTAGATAATGGGAAGAAATATATTTGCTGTTGTAAGGAGAGTAAATTAATGTCTAACATTTATATATATGATTTTAACAATAAAAAGGATACTATTCAATTGGAATTACACAAATTTAAGACTATAGATGTATCCATAAGTAATGATGGGAAATACTTACTTTCCTCTGGTGGTGAAGATGACAAAACTTTAATTTTAACTCAAATAGAAAACCAAAAATTTATCTACAAATCTTCTTCCGATTATTCCTATTCAAACGTTTCTTTTTTTCACAAGTCAAATAATTTTATAATAGGTTAGTCCTACCTGTGTCTGTCCCTGTACCTGTGTCTGTCCCTGTACCTGTGTCTGTCCCTGTACCTGTGTCTATCCCTGTACCTGTTCCTGTCTGTGTGTGGGGTGTTATAGCTCTCTCTGTGGTGCAGAAAATGTTCACTTCCACCATAAGCCATTTTCAGTATGCACACCTCATAAATCGTGGAAGAAATGGCACCAAATCGCCTCAAAATGCGAAGCACCAAATGAAAAAATATACATGTGCGTATATATATTCCTTTCTTTTTTCTGAAGCCAAACTTAATAGCATCAAAATATGCTACTATGACTTCACAAAAAAGCTGATGAGTGAAGAGGAAGTGAATACTTCTATTTACAAGAGACAATTCGTGTGTCTAGAATTGAAGGAAAATGATGAATACGCCTATCTTGGGACAACTACAGGTATAACCTGCAAATTATGATGCATATAATTTAGCAATTGCTCAAAAAAAAAAAAAAAAAAAAAAAAAAAATTTTAACATACACTTAACACTTGTGTAAAGATAAGGCACAATTCATCATTACACACAAGATAAGAAAAATATCTCCACATTCTGGCACATGCAAATGATGCACGTTTATAACGAATTTCTTTTAAACACAGGCGATGTTCTAGTGGTAAACATAAAATCCAAGGTACTCGAGAAAATAATTCCCGAGGGTTATCTCTTCAGCAACGGGATAAATGTGGTCAAAATTCTCAAGGACAACACAATTTTGACTGGTGAGGATTATCAAAAAACGAGCAAATGAAGCATGTACCCATGCACACATGTAAACGTGAAAACATGAAAACGTGAAAACGTGAAAATATGAAAACGTGAAAACATACAAACATACAAACATACAAACATACAAACAAGTCTGTATGTTTGTGCTTCTCGAAAGCGGATTCTCAATTGAGCATTGGTTCATAGCGAAAATGAGACCTTGGCCTGGAGCTATATATCCTGCATTTTCGATGAGAGTACATAGAGGGGACGAGAAAGGAATAGTATTCATCTACGTGCCAAAAAAAGAAAAAATAAAATAAAAAAAATAACATATAAACCCGTTCTGACAATCTCCTAACCATCCCCTTTGAAGGAAGCGGAGACGGCTACGTGAGTGTAATAGACGTTGCAGAAAAGAAAGTTGTGAGAAAAACAAAATTGTATGGGTCTATCAACTCAATAGAAATGAGAAATGATTCTACCCTATTCATCAGTGTTTACGAGAATGTAATTTATGTGATGGATATGATCAATTACACATATAATGTGCTAATGCTAGTTCAAAATAATTATATTCGTGATTTATGTTTCCCACTTAACTATAACTATGTGATGTATACTTGTAGCCAGAATAACATAATGGCATGGCATTTTTATGAAAAAAGAGCCATATTTTTAAAAAATATAAACAAGGGAAAATTCATATATTATGATAAGAAATTTTTAAGTATACCAATGAATAACAAAAAAAAATTGTGCAAAATAGATAGGACACGTGAAGAACAAATTGCTAACGTGCTGGATAAGAAAAACAACAACCAAGAAACATTTGATAAAATAAACAAAAATTTAACTTGTCATAGCTTAAAAATAACAACGGATGGAAAATATGTTGCCTTAGCTGTGCATAATAACATTTATCTATTGACATCAAAATATATGAAAATAGTCACAGTTATTTTGAGCTCTCATTATGATTATTGTAATGTCTTAATCTTCCACAACAATTATGATTTAATAACGGGTGGAAATAAGGGAGATATCAAGTTTTGGAAATTTCAAAATAACAAATATATCAACCTCAACACTATTAACTATCATTCCTCTGGAATTAATCAGATTATCATCTACCAGGGAAAAAATGTAACTATCTAGTACTTGCAATTACATGAGGTATTTACCTCGCCCCACTTTACTCTTCCTAACATAAGAGAGCAATTCTATTTCACAACCCACCTGCATTTCTATCGATATGCATGTATTCACACAAAAACGAAAGCTTCTTTTCCTCCTATGAGTATATTTTATCCCTCTGAATAGAAACATGTTCCTCATCCCATGGTCATATCCTCTTAACATAATATAATAACCACCATGCTTTTTCCATCCCTAATTGACTTTTCCAAATTTTGTAGCTTTGCAGTTGCAGTGAAGACGGGCTCATAACAATTTACAACATTGAAGAATGCACACTTGCAAAAAAAATAATAGATACCAATTATACAAGATACAAACAAATTTGCCTGAATCAAAAATACGATATCTTGTTATGTTCAGGAAATAACAACATTTTTATGTATTATGATTTGATAAAAAATGAGATCAGTAAGCACTTTTATTATTCCCCTTTCCACAATGTTCTTTCGATAGACATGGATAATAATGGAAAATATTTCATAACAGGTGCGTCTGCAGATTTTACAGGCATGAACATCGTTCATTTTCTTCATCATACATGGGCACACACAATGATATGCCTAGATATATATATATATATATATATATATATATATATATATACATATGTATATATATATACAGAATCACACATATGAACAAGTGCATACTCGCCTGAGCAACGAGCTCATGTCTACTTTTACTCCACCCCATGCCCACAGGATCCGATGACTGCAAATTACGGCTCTACGAATTCAAAACTTGCACTTGTCTTTTCATCGGTACGCATATCACATAATACATAAAGTGATCTTTTGACCTTTACATTTTCACTACCTCTTATAATATGCCACACACACAAACACCGTATAAATCATCACAGGAGATGCCCACAATGATGCCATAAACAAATGTCTCTTCACTTTTGATAATCATTTTATCGTATCCGTTTCGAAGGACGAAAGTAAGAAACGATGCAAGTTAAACAGACATTCACACGGGGAAGAAGAAGAGGGAAAAAAAAAAAAAAAAAAAAAACAGTAGCAATAGCAGTAAATGTAGCAGTAAATGTAGCAGTAAATGTAGCAGTAAATGTAGCAGTAAATGTAGCAGTAAATGTAGCAGTAAATGTAGCAGTAAATGTAGCAGTAAATGTAGCAGTAAATGTAGAAGTAACTGTAGAAGTAACTGTATCAGTGACATTGTAAACGTGCCATATACCCCCTTGGGAAATAACGAAATAAAAAAGCACATAACTCTGTTACGCGCTATGCAATTCATTGATAACAGAAATTATAGAAAAGGGAAATTCCTTAAACTGTGCAGGTATAATTTACTGGAAATTTCCAACTGAAATAAAACACGATTCGTCAAATGAACTAGATGAGTAGACTATTGCACTGTGTGCAGACACGGACGTAGATATAAACACATACATAAGCAAAAGTGTGGAAGTAACATGTGGAAGGTGCTCACCCTGAGGCGCTCTTTATTACTTTACTGTTCCTTTTTTTCACGTTTTTCATTTTTTCCATTTTTTCCACGTTTTTCATTTTTTCCACGTTTTTCATTTTTTCCACGTTTTTCATTTTTTCCATTTTTTCCACGTTTTTCATTTTTTCCATTTTTTCCATTTTTTCCATTTTTTCCACTTTTACATCTTGCCCACCTTTTTCACCTGTTTGTCTTTTTCCTGCTTCGCAAAAGCACCCCTCCCTCATCCCTTGCTCAAACACACGTCACACAGAAAAAAACGCTTCAACTGAACGTGAATATAAAGGAGTTCCTAATTCATGTGCGTGAAGAGCATCTCATCAAACTTGGAAGTGAACCAGATTTCTGGTCCACATATATCTAATTCTATTTGACAAAAAAGAAAAAAGGAATTAATTTTTGCATTTCTGAAATCATATTTATCAAAAAAAATCATGTTATTTTTTTTAATTACTGCTTTGACTTTTTCATCATACATATCGACATTTTTCGATTTTATACTTTTAAGCGCAGATAAAAAAAAGTATTTAAAACCTTGATTAGTGTTGTTTTTATCTAGTCCTTTATCCTTAGCTAGAAAGTTATTACCTCTACTATTTTCATATTTCGCATGATAAATTTCTCTTTTTATGTCTTCACAATTTTCCTCAGTTGTAGAAATAGTAGTATCTTTTAATTCTCGAGGTGGATTATTGCTTAAATTTAAATTATTATTTTTGTGAATCATAGGCGATTTATTTAACAATTTTTTTAATTTTACAAGAGGTGAGTTACTTTTAATTCTCATGGAAATTTTTTCATCTTCTATAAACAAAAAACTGTAGTCTCTATATAAACTCCGTAAAACTACATAATTGGATCTGTTATAAATATCTTGATATTTCTTTTCAAAAAGTCTTAACTCTGATGTACAACTATTTCCTATATTTATTTGTGTTATCTCATCATACAATAATATTTTCCTTGACCATTTTCCCATTATACATATATGACCAATATTAAATCGCAATAATTTTTTTCTCATATCTCCTTTTCTGGTAATTTTTAAAGCAAAAATTCCCTTACGTATTTCTTTAATAGCTGTTAAATAATTTCTAAACAAATTGAACTGTCCAGTTCTATACAGTAGGGCCATTCGAACTCTAATCCCTTCACCTAAGTTCAAATATGTATTCATAGTTTTTGCTATGAATTTTACATCTTCATCTCCTTCTGTAACGTTCATCAAAAAGTCGTATTTCTAAAATGAAAGTGGTAATTGTTGGAAAGTAGCAATGTCCTTGGTTAATGTATGCACATGCATATATATACATACATATACATACATCTACCTATATAGACATAGATATAGACACACACTTTTGACCGGCATAGGGTTGACTTAATGGGCAACTCTACTACTACAATGGATCAATGACAACCTTTCCCTTACTGTGGGGTTTCTTCATCCACTGTGTAAAACTTGTATATATACATATATATATAAACATGAACATGCGTTTCTTATTACACTCGAGTGAAGAACTCCCACTTTTATTACCTCATTTTTCTTATCCTTATCCTTATTCATAAAGAACGGTAACTTTTTCGAAAAATTTTCTTCGTCTGCAAGAAGGATAGAAAAAAAAAAAAAAATAGACTCTTTGGTGTGCAAATCCTTGTATTCATATGTACAGGTTTTACTATTCATCCATGCGGGATGTTACTATACGTGCACAAATCTCAACTACATACATTCTTCGACGTACCATTTTTGTGTTTTATTGTCTTTTCATTCACCCTAAAATGTTGATCAATTTTCCCGCATGCCCTAAAAAAATAAAACAAAACAAAACGAAATAAAAATACACATATGTATTTATTTATACGCATATTAATAGTAACATTTTATTTTTCCTTCAACTGAATTGCATACATGTCGCACTATAATATCCTCCTCCCTCGGATGGGTTATCCTAGTATATTTGAGGTGAATATATATACATATGTCATGCTTCACTACGAGCAGGTGTATATATATATATATAAATACATATGCACGCACATTTGCATATATATATATATATGTACAAGTCTTTTATTCCTTTTCCCTTACTCGTATACTACTTCATTGCAGTTCTCCCTTCTCTGCAATTTTTCCTTAAAACTCATTTTGTTCTTTTAAATATGGACTATTGTGGTAAGGGAGAAATAGAAGAAAAGGAGTGTTATAATAAAAAGAGAGTTTAAATGCTAAGTATTTCAAAAAAGCAGGGAAAAAAAAAAAAAAAAAAAAAAAAAAAAGTGTTTAGAGTTATTCGTCATATTTAAGACTCTTAGTTCTGAACCTGTTTTGTTGTTTGTTTACGTCCGTACATACGTATGTAATAAAGTGGGGTATTGACAAATAACAGTACATATGTTTACACATATATGTATAAATACTCGCGTAAATGCCTTTGTTATTATAAATTTTTTTGTGATAAATATCCCAAACTTCACACGAAAGCTTTTCTTCACCCTTGCGATTATCATGTTATGCATTTCTTTTTTTTTTTTTTTTTTTTTTTTCCTTTTAAAATTTTACGAATAAATGTTTCAAAACGAAAGCACAAATATTATTCGAAAAAGAAATAACCAAAAAATTTAATCAGGTTTTTAGTACGTGGTTGCCGCTTAGTTTACATGTGACAAACGGAGCATCATATAATTTTTCGCGTCTGTTACATTTCTGTCTGTTTCTGTCTTTTCCTAACTTTTGCTGTCTTCCTATGCCTTTTTGTCCTTTTTTTGCTTTTTTTCTTTCATGTTTGCTCTTCTGTTGTTTTATTTTTTTACACAATTTTGCAGTTTCACACCTCAAAATTGATAGTGCTTTGCTCCACTCACTCAATGTTCCCAACTATACACACATGCACGTTTAAAAAAAAAAAAAAAAAAGGGTAAAATTTAAGAGCGCAGAAAAATCACAATGTGAAAAATAATAAAGTGCTGAAATTTCACAGTTGGAAAAATGTAAAAATGACAAAAATTTGTTAAGGAAAAAATGGTTAAAAAAAGAAAAGCATGCACAACAAATAGAAACCAAAAAAATGACCCTTGGTGCAAAACTCCCCCAAAGCAGGAAAATTCATTTTGATTTTCACAACCAATGTGTATATGCATAAAAGAAATAAGCAAATACATGTGTACATGTGAACATCTACACAAATCTGTATATATTTAGATTTACATACGTGTTTGCAAGAAGTGGCCTGGAATATCTTGGTGTGCAAAAGGAACATGTGCAAATCTCGCACATTCCATACTAAGACAGTGCAAGAGAAGATGGAACATCGCCATGACTCCTTTTAGAGAATATATTTCCATGTGCTCATTTCATATGATCATTTCACATACTCATTTTGATTATATCCATTTCATGCGGCACATACCTTTGCAAATTCAAAAATTTTGCAAATAAGTAAACTTAAAAGTAGGAACAAAAAGCCAACGTGATAAGTGTGAACATTGGTATATCTGGCATTGCATGCGTTACTGTGCAAGAGAAAGAAGTTATATTTATTTTTTTTTTTTCTCTCATTTTAAAAATAACGACGTATTTTTTCCTTGTACTATCACAGTGCATCATACTGATTGAAGAAAGCCCCTCTGTCATGTTTTTGTTAAAATATGTGCATAATCAAAAAAAGAAAAAAAAATTAATTCAATTCGATTCAGTTTGACTCAATTTGATTCAGTTCGATTCAGTTCGATTCAGTTCGATTCAGTTCGATTCAATTCGATTCAATTCGATTCAATTCGATTCAGTTCGATTCAATTCGATTCAATTCGATTCAATTCGATTCAATTCGATTCAGTTCGACTCAATTCGACTCAATTCAATTTAAAATGGTGAACGCAAATTTATAAGGTGTGAAATGTGCAAGCGGTGATGGTTTCTATATCCCAATTCCGTGGGTTTAAAAACATGTTCTCCAGGAGTTTTAGATTGTATATTTTTATATACGGGAGTACGAGTGCACATAACGCAAGCATATGCACGAACAACGGAAAAAAGGAAAAAGCACAGGGAAGAAAGGTGATATATACGTATGTATATACATGGTGATAAGGACAGCTTTCGAATGCATGCCACCTTCGTCATACGAGTGCTTCTGAAAGAGAAACTACGAAAAATGTTTGGGGGATGATTGAAAGGCGTTCTTTAAAACAAATGCTTCTGACAAAATGGATTCGATGTCTTGAATCTTCCAATTGTGTGTGGGAAAACGTTGCATGAATAGGAGCATTTGCTGAAAATCCATTTCTTTTAAATACTTTGACCAATGTACTAAAAAAACAGCACAAATATACGGATGAAAATCCGTAAAAATGTCACATATATCACTAATGTACGTGTCTAATAATCTGACAGATATGTTTATTGGGAATTCTCTTAGTAGAAGACAGTTAACCCATCTGAAAGAGAACTGGATGAAATCAATATTATTTTCGTAAATGTGATTAAACAAAGAATTATCAATTCTTTTTACAATTTCTTTAACTTTGATTATTGCTCTTTGAATTCCTGGTTGTCCAAAAGTATAATTATCTTGTATTTGCTCTAACAATTTTGAAAGACAAAAATATAAATCAGATTCAACATTTTTTAATTCATCATCTGTTATTTTATCAATATCATTCGAATTTATTTCTTTTTTTAAAACTATTGGTCTTAAAAATACGATTAAAAATGGAGTTACTAAATCGTTTATTCCTTGTACGTATCCACAAGCCGGGTGTCTCACAGAATATATAAATAATACATGTTCACTTAATTGCTGAATCTTTTTATTATTAAATATGTTGTAACATGATTTTGTTCGAGGTATATCTACCTTAATTTGACGTAAAATTTTCAATTCTTCTTCAGATAATTTATTTTTGTTATAATATTCTTTTTTTAAATTTTCATATTCATCTCTTTTTTTTTTTAATACCTTATCTGTATCTTCTTGATTTAGAGGCAAATATCCTAGGCCCAATTTCCAGCATTTCTCCCTTACGTCAAATGTCATTTCTTCTGATATGCCTCCCCACAATATGTTTTTTAGTTCGTCTGAAAAGTTGGGAATTAGTGGAAACATGAAAAAAATTTGAAAAGTAGTGGAAATTTTGGGCGAAAAGAAAGGGGCATTGTGCCTAACGCAAATCATGCTTATGTCCACATCAACAAGCAAAAAGGAATTTATTGTCATATGCATAATTCTATCATTTACAAGCTAATCAATTTTGTAACAAATAGACATTTGGATATATCACGTAAACATATCGGACTCATGTGTGATCTCTTCACATAGAACAAAAATCACCATGCCCCATTTAACAGTATGCACAAACGGACATTCTTATTTAGGACTCTTTTTTTGAGTGAATATGCACACATGCACAGGTAAGTATGGTTATATTATTCGATAAATGAGACTATAGCCCAATAACAAATGAAATCAAGCATGAATGGAAAAAGTTTCATTGTTCAAATTTTGTGTGTTTATGTGTCCCAGTTGACAAAAATGTATATATTTTATCAAGTATAATAATGTTATTTTTATTATTTTATTTTTTTTTTTTTAATTATTCTATTTTTTTATTTATTTATTTTATTTTTTTTATTTTTTTTTTTGCACTTTACACATTCATTCAGCATGAAAAAATAAACAAGTTCCGTATTTGTTCTATAATGAATAAGCGACGAATGGAGAAAACTTCCCATAAGCATTATCATATAGAGAACACAAGAACACGCATGTGTGTAGTCGTTGTAGACCTCTAGTTCATTCCATGTATTTGCGTAAGCGTGTGTATTTTTACACTTGTACACTTATTTTTTTTAAACCACAAAATGGAATTCACTATACAAAAGATATTCTCGCGATTGTGTGGTTACACAACCATCTAATCAAAACAAATAGGGCACATCTAGCCATATTATTATGTTGCATACTTATATCAATAATAGGACTGTTCAATATAGAGATTAATTTCTTCATCCGCTGGGAAAGGTTTTTATTTTCTGTTTCATCTTTTATACTTTCATCTTTTTGTTCATCTAATTTCATTTTGTAATTTTTTTTTTTCTTTCCTTATTTTATTTTATATTATTTTATTTTTTTTAATAAAAGTGGGGAAAAATCATGTCATAGGGAAAAAGAAAACTTCCTTTTCATGGGTATTAGAAAAAGCGCTATTTGTGAATTTGCATTTTATTGAAATGTGTTTTACCAGATGGGGGTCCGCGGGTTAGCTTCTTTTTATTTTTACTTTATTTTTTTCTTACATTTTTTTCTTGCATTTTTTTCTTGCATTTTTTTCTTGCATTTTTTTCTTACATTTTTTTCTTGCATTTTTTTTTTTAAATGTACATTTACATATGCCCTAAGTGGGGTCCGATCAAGTGATAAGTGCTAAGCAAATACTCACCATGCCATGAGAACAAGTTCTCCTGCACACCAACCCAAGCCCTTTAAAATATCCCAACTGGGATGATGTCACTGCCATACACCCAGAATACATTTTCGAACAACTACTTTGAAGTAGCAAAGTAACCAATTTATTATTTTTCCTTCTTTTCATTCTTTCCCTTTCTTATTTCTTAACCTTGTTGTGCTTAATTTTTGTGCTTGACTAAGTTGACGAGGTCACACACTAAGGGGTTGAGAAAATGTGACAAAGATCAAAGCTTGAATAGGAAAAAACGCTGACATGCTTTTTTAATTTGTCAACCTAATTGGTGAAACATGCGGAAAGCTCAAGAAAGAGCGAAAAAACGAAAAAGAAAATAAAAACGAAAGAAAAGATTAATCCAAAAATGAGAGCAAAGACAAAAAGAAAAAAGGAGGCAAAGATAGATACCAAAATGAAGGCCAAAAAGGAGGCAAAGATAGATACCAAAATGAAGGCCAAAAAGGAGGCAAAGATAGATACCAAAATAAAGGCCCAAAACGAGGCAATGATAGAGACCAAAATAAAGGCCCAAAACGAGGCAATGATAGAGACCAAAATGAAGGCCAAAGCGGTTGTAAAAGTGAGAACGAAAATGTGTATGTAACAAAATCCAATATACATTAAAAAAATGTTCAACGAAAAAGCCAACATATACTACTTCAAAATAGAACTAAAAACGAAAATGTTTTTTACACATGTACTATGAGAATATCTTGGTATAAAACCTTCCATTGCTGAATTTTTCAGTTGGGCATATACACCCCTCTAGATTTATAAAATAACAAATTAAATCTCATCAAATTAAAAGGACGTGTCAAGGTATATATCATGAAGGAAGCATATTTTCAAATGTTACACATATATATATATATATATATTTTTCTTTCTTTTCCACAATATAGTAATATTACGCTGCTCAATAACTATGAAGTGTAATCGTTCGGGACATATTCAAGCTACACAATATATTAAAGTCTTTTTACAAAAACATGAAGTTTTTAACATTTAAAAAAAAAAAAAAAAAAAAAAAAAAAAAATAAAAAATTAAAAAAAAAAAAAAAAAAAAAAAAAAAAAAAAAAAAAAAAAAAAAAAAGAAAGAACAAATAAATAAGCAAGTAGGTAAGCAAATAAATAAACATGCATACCCAATTGGTAAAAACAAAATAATAAATCAGAGTAACAAAAAAAAAAAAAAAAAAAAAAAAAAAAAGGAAAAGTTTTTAAAAAAAAAATAGTTTTTTTTTTTTTTTTTTTTTTTTTTTTTTTTTTTTTTTGTTATTACTTCTCAAATGTGTAACACAAGTGCTAAAATGAGATACACTTTAGAACTACCCCTACAAAATGGTAGTATCCAATTACTCAAATCTTCCTACCGCGCGTTTTTCAAAATAAGAAACTTTAAAATATACATAAATTTGAACCAACAATTTAATGCATTTCTTATATACCTTAGTGAGAAAATATATTCCTTAGATTTTCATTGATGACTTTACTGAAAGCTGTTATATTTTACTTTGTCTGCTCTACATTGAATTTTGTGCACAAAAAAAAAAAAAAAAAAAAAAAAAAAAAAAAAAAAAAAAAAAAAAAAAAAAAAAAAAAAAAAAAAAAAAAAAACAGTAAAATAATAATATATAAAAATAGTAAAAGGATGCACCAACCTATAGGGATCAAAGCAGTCTTACATAGAATAAAACATATTGTGTTCCTTTAATAAAATGTGTGAAATAATGTTTGTTTAAAACGTTCGTTGAGTATATATATAAAAATACCTTATGCTTAAATGTGTTTGATTTTTACCAAGTTTTCCTCGTGTTGTATGCATATTAATAAATTATCAGACAATAAACTTACACACGTTTTTACACAACCCTGTCATTATTTTTTTGTAAACAATGACAAAGTGAATTTTTTTTTTTTTTTTTTTTTTTTGTTAAACCATAGCTTTATTTTTTCATTTCTTACATTCCGTCTGTTACTTGTTTAGTTATTTCATTTTATCATATCATATGCTATTTCATTTATTTGTATTTTTATTATTTTTTTTTTTTAATATGACCTTGTGACGTAGGAAAAAAAATATCCCTCTTTTTTTGTGGTATGGTAGAAAATTGTTTTCATTTAAAAAGAAAAAGAAAAATCGCCAAAAAGTTATAATTCTTTTTTTTTTTTTTTTTTTAAATCTGCTATTGTGTGTATTATTTGTTTTATTTTTATTTTTATTTATTTTTTTGAAAATTAGAGGCTTAAAAAGTTTTCCACGCTTCCCCATTTTTCATGTGCCTATTTTCATTTCAACCTTCTCAATTTATAAGAACATATACAGCTGTACCTAAGTGATTATGTCACAAAGGTTCAGACTGTTATGCACCAAAGTGAGAATAAAAGGGAGAGAATTTTTTACTGCATGTTAATTATTTATTCATTCCATACTTTTTTTTTTTGTTTTTTTTTAATATCTGCAATAAGATAAAAAGGAAGGACATAAAAAAAAAAAAAAAAAAAGAAGCAATAACTAGTACATCATTGTAAATTGTGACGAGCAGGTGATTCGTTGTATACTCTCCTTTATTCATTTCCATGGTCATACACTTTTGCACATACACATGGGCTTCACATGTCTATTAATTTTGCACGTACTTCGCCCTATTGTTGTTTCCCTTATTTACCATCTTTATTACTACCTCATCCCATGTTTTAATTATTTTGAGGAAGATTAGAACGTTTTGCTTCACATTATATTGATTACCAATGTATGTAGAAGTTATATTCTCGTGAGTTTAATTCTGTAACTAAGTTTACAACGATTAAGTATTCAGTAGCGAACGCATTTGTGATATCTGCTATCCCTTCTACATGCACACGTTTATATGCGTCACTTATTTTTATCCCTTCCCATTTGATATTACAACCAGAGATCCAACATGTTTAGAAGTATTGTTCCAACAACGGTTGGGTTAAACAATTCCAAGTATGTACATGCGAATATAGATGAGGAATATAATTTCCATGGATTAAACGAAGACGCAATCAATGATAATAAGAAAAACAATAAGTCAGCACCATCAGAACAAATATTAAGTGCATCGAACTCATATAATATAAATTGTAAACATCTAGAGAATTGCACAACCCCAGAAGAAATAGCACTTAAAATTTTAAAATCTCAAAATTTTCAAAATAAAAGAAAATATACAAATGAAAATCATGTACTTTATGAAAAAAAAAAAAAAAAAAATTCAAACATAGATAATGAGCAAATATGTTACGAAAGTTTTTACTCGCATGAGAGACATATATCACCACCAAAGGATAGACGAATTATACAGAAAAGCAATTTTGGTGAATTCTATTTTTATAATAACCCCCCCGATATTTATATGCACAATAATGTAAATTATACATACGGAAAAAAACAGGACAAAGATTTAGTTCCAAAGTTCAATTCTTCAAGTTTCAATAGATATTCAGACAGGACTAATCGGTTAAGTAACACCTATAGAACCCAGGAAATGGGTTACAATAATATTCACACATACCAAAACATATATGAAAAAATATCACATCATGATCCTATCCATCATGACGACAATTATATTGATCAAAAGTTAATAAATGAAATGGACATGATCAAATTAGCTTATAAGAATAAGTTCAACAAGTTGAAGACAATCAACAAAATTGACAACCATCCTTGTAGTAATTATAAAATTCTTGATGAATACCCTCTCAGGGTGCTAAATACAAAGGAAAATCTTAGAGGGAGAAATACTTATGTAAATTCAATTGATGTTGAGGAAACTCATGATGATTCCATTGATGTGGAAATGGTTCATCATGACTTATCTAATCTTCACCTGTCTAGTGCTGAACAACCCAATGTTCACCTAACTAACCTTCACTCGATTTATGATAATCCGATTAATGTGGATACCATTGATGTGGAGGCTGTTTATGATGATATGCTTTGTATAAACCAATCAAATGTGCAACTTACTGGTGAGGACCTACTTAGGATAGATCCATGCAGTAACATATGTTTACAAAAATCAGAACACCCACAAGACAATCAGAACCAGAAACAATTACAAGTCGTTAAGCACGGTGATAGAAATGGGCAACATATGTATGAAGCGTATGAAGCAAATACAGGTGATAGAATCAAACATTTCGAAGGCGAAAATGATAAAGAGAATAGCTCAGTTAGCAAGTTTTCAAACGTAAAGAAAGAACATGAAATTATTCTTGAAACGGAGGGAGGAAATATAAATCCAGATCTGCTGATTGGGGGAAGCATAAAGAACAAAAAGGAAGAAAAAGGCGTAAGGAGCGAAAAAAATTCGGCAGATGTGATCACAAAAAATCCAAATAAAATCAGCAAAATGGATGACATTCAGATGAACGAGATGGAATCAAAATCGACAGAGTTATCACATGATGAAAGTGATGAGCGGTTAGAAGTAGACGTGGAAGCGGACAAAGGGGATGACATAGATGTTGACGTAGAAGCAGACAAAGAAGCTGATGTAGAAGCAGACCAAGAAGCAGACCAAGAAGTAGACCAAGAAGCTGACGTAGAAGCAGGCCAAGAAGCTGACGTAGAAGCAGGCCAAGAAGCTGACGTAGAAGCAGGACAAGAAGCTGACGTAGAAGCAGGACAAGAAGCTGACGTAGAAGTTCCGAATTCGCTCATGCCAAATAACTTGATAAAATATGACAAAAAGGTGCAGATAAATCAACATGCGATTGATATCGAGTTCCGGGAAAATAACAAAATGTGTACCCAATTGGAATATTACATTGACTTATTTATATATCTAAACTCGAACGATATAAATAAAAATAAAAAGATCAAACAAATTATAACCTGTCTAGAGGAATGTCTGAAAAATGATAAGAACATAACTTATGATAGTGAGAATAAAGTCCAATTTGTATTTGATAAAATTTTTTCGAATGTGAAGGATTACTTGAATAAGGAGATTTGTTATAGGAGGAGTCGACAAAAAGATATGGTGTCATCTGAAGAGGGAGAAAGGAATGGAAACAACAAATATGTCCAAGAATGTATAACTTACAGCAATCATGAGGATGAGCTCAATTTAGACAATGAACGGGACGAAGCTATCCAAAGTGGAAGTGATATTTATAACAATGCTGAAGAAGCAAATTTTCTTGTTCCATTCCATCGAGATAAGATAAAAAAAGAAAGCAAAAAAAGTAGTATAAAGAAGAGTTTTAAAAATCAGAATGACGTTATAATGAACGATTTAACATATGGACATTACAACATTTTACTATATCTAATTTTACTTAATTTCGAATGCTTTAAGAAATACATTGACATAGATCAGCTGAATGAAAAGGCATTAATAAATTTAAAAATGGACTTCAAAAATGTAATATTAAAGTTATGTCTTAGTGAAATAAAAAATAGAATCATTCAATTTTACCATGTTCATGAGATATACCTAATAGAGCTAAACTGGGTATATGAAAAATGCCTTTTTTATATTTCTGATATTTATGTTTATATCGAAAAATATGATACTGTCTTGGTTAATCTCCTCGATTTATGCATCCTAACGTTTCAAACACATTACAACGTTCAGAATATTATTATAAATTCTATCAATTTGATACTGAAACTTTTTAAAAACAGAAATAGAAAAAATATGAAAAAATATGTCTTGGACGAAATACTCTCCAATATAAATAACGTAAATTTTAAGTACAACAAATTGAACTTCAGAAACAGTCATGTCAACTCGACTTACATACATCTGACAACCTTTGTTCTCATCAAAATTGCTGATTCCTTTTCTCATTATGATGGAGATTTGAAAAGGATGTTTTTTTTGGAACAGCAACAGAAGGGCAGCAAAGGAGGAGCAGTGGCTGTTCAGAAAGGGGTGAATACTGAGCACAGGGGTTCTACCCATGTGGACAGTGATGTGGACGTCAGCAACGACGATGATGAAGACTATAATGATGATGAGGACTATAATGATGATGAGGACTATAATGATGAGGAGGACTATAATGATGATGAAGAATACCTTGCGAAGGAGGATCTGAAGTCAAGGTGCCACAGGTATAACAATCGCAAAAAAGGCAAAAAATGTAAAAGCAGGAACAGTAGCAGCAATTTCAACAGAGGTGAAGCGGAGGATGCCGAAAAATCCGATTTGTCCCTGAGTCTAAGCGTCTTCACGAGCGATGATGAAAATAGCATCTCCTGCATTGGGAACAGCTCTAAAACCAGTGAGAAAATAGACAAGAAAATAAAACACAGCAAAAGTAAAAGGGTTCCTAGGAGGCTCCAAATAAGAACAAAAGAAGAACGAAAATATTCGTTAAGAAAAAAAAAAAAAATAACAAGTGACATTTACAACTATGACAATATTATCAGTACACAAGAATTAAGCTCAGAAGAGAAGGAAGGGGAAAAAGGTCAATCAAGTGTCAATAAAGAGAAAAAAAAAAAAAAAAAAAAAAACATTTTGACGATGAACAAAAATGGGAAAGCATATAGCACGAAAAACATATTAGAAAAAAAAACGAGCAAGGAGAGTAAATTTCCTTTAGAGAATGAAAGCCCATCGGATGAATCGCTGAACCAGTTCATGATGAAAAAAAACTACAAAAGGTTAAATCATGTAATCAATTATATATTAGTAGAAATTATAGAAAAAATATTATATCAAGATAATAAAAATGCAAAAACAATACTGCAATGCCTCATTTTGGACCTAATTAAATGTTGTGATAACCCAATATTCAGTATAAGTACATTATTTGTGAAAAATTCCATTCATATATTTTTTGACATTATTAATAAGAGACATGAAGGAAATGTTAAAGAAACTTGTCTATTCACATTGAGATATATATTTAAGTATATATTTAATATATATAATTATGTGAATTATTCTTATTTCCATTTATTATACAACTTAAATAAAGAGCTTTACCAGAAAAAATTTATAAGACCTCTTTTTCAAATTAACGATTTTAAGGAATGCAATTCAAATCTGAGCAAGATTCCATCTATAAAAGGAGATGGTTCAAGTCGAAAGAGCAATGAGAGTGGGTATGTTTCGAAAAAAAAAAAAAAAAAAAACTCAAAAGTGAAGAAAGGGATAAATGCAGAGGTAGAAGAAGCAGAAGCAGAAGCAGAAGAAGGGAGAAAAGATGTGGAAGCTCCTAACAGAACAAACGCTAAGAGAAGCATGGACGAAACGCAAAAACTGTTCAAGTGTTGCGACAAAATGAAGAAAAACGATAAACTCTTGCGATGCCTACAGTGTGAATGCTTCTATCATAGGACTTGCATATATAAATACCTAAATAAATTAAACATACATGGTGATATCCCTGATGAAGGAAAATATGCAGATAATAACTTGAGTCTAAGCAGTAGAGAAAAAAAAACAGACGTCGAAAAAAAGGAATTTCAAGGAGACACTTGCGATGAAGAGAAAAGGAAGTTTTATGAAAAAAATGTGCACAATTCTGTTATAATAGAATATAACTGTGATAATTGCAAAGTAAGAAATATAATCAAAATTTTTATTGCCAGAGAAGCACAAAGGAATAACAGTTTCTTAAATAGTAAATTTAAAAAGAAAAAAGAAAAATATAAAGGATTCTATTGCTTCGAAAAATTTCTTAACAATTTAAAAGCTTTTGTCGTGTATTATTATTACTTACTCGTGCATCTAAAAAGTTATAGATTAAATGAAAACATTGAAACTAATTATAATCACATATTCTCGTATATACTTCTCCTGCACAATGATTTTCTATCCATGAATGAGAATGGAGAAGAAGACATTATTATAAACAAAGCAGTAAACAAGAAGAAGGGACAAATAGTAAAGGATTCCACGTTGAGAAAGACTGTCACACCCCACAAGATGAACAAATTGAATCGCATGAAAAAATTGAACGAATTGCTATCTTACGAGTATAAGAATGCAAAGAACAAAGAAAATGAACCCTTAAAATGGGGAACTGTACACAACTTTGATATATATGTAAATGTAGTATGGAGAATTTACCTCTATTTTTTCTTTTACGACTTTTTTTTCATAGTACTTAATCAGCTATTCTATATATTATATGAAAACGCAAACAAAAATTTGAGATATTATAGCATTTCTATAATTAACAACATTATAAATGACAATTACTTATATTTGAAATGTAAAAACACACAAAATATTTTATTGTCATGCTTGACTGATAACTATGTCAAGGTGAGAGAATATACTCTTTACATATACTATAATTTTTGTAAAAATTTTTTAGAAACCGAATTTTTATCAAATTATTGCAAAAGACAAGATATTCAAAGTGAACTACTAGCATCGTCATCTTTTTCATCAGGACTGACAATAAAAAATACAACAAATAATAACCACAGAAATGGAAGAGAGATGAAAGATATTATTTCTTCTTATGAGGAAAAGAAGAAACTAGTAGATGAAAAAAATTTGAAAAATTATTACGATCAAAAATCGATAGATTTGAACCAGTATATTACGAACGAAATTATAGATTCGATTAGGAGATGCTCAAAGGATATCAAAATTGGAATAAGAATTATCAGTGTTAAGATATTAAAATATATCATATATTTTAATGTGTATGCAAAAAAATACACATGGGAAGTAAACCAATCAACATGCGAAAGTAATTCTAAAAAACATGAGAACATAAACAAATGTAACCAGAACAATTGTATTGATGATAATATATCAATAATGAATGACTTGATAGAGAGATATATATCTACCTTTGACAATGAAACGATGAAAAATACTGTACTAGATATATTTATTGAAATTTTTTTTATTAATATATTCACACAAGCAAAGCAAAAAAATATGAAACAAAATAAAAAAACACACCCAGAATTAGACACGAGTCAAGATGAAATTTCTACTGAGTGCTTTTCTAACGAACATTTAATGAGAGGATATGAATCAGAAGAAAGTCAATCAGCTGGTATGGAGCAGGACTCGAGTATCTACACACAAATTGAAAAAAATATATACACATTATTTATTCACTTATTGTATGTCATGAAGAACAAGCATAACATAAATATTGTGAATAAAATGCTTTCTCATATGGAGAATAATGTGAAAATGTATGACGAAAAGTTGAACTCATTTTACCAATTTTTGAATAAACATGGTACTGCAAGAGACCTCGAAGAGAATCACGGCAAGGCAGAAAATTTGCACAGCACCGCAACAGCAGGAAAATGCAGCCGAAAATGTAGCCGAAAATGTAGCGGAAAATGTAGCGGAAAATGCAGCCGAAAATGCAGCGGAAAATGCAGCCGAAAATGCAGCCGAAAATGCAGCGGAAAATGCAGCGGAAAATGTAGCAGAAAATGCAGTGGAAAGGATAATAAAAACTTCACCCAAAATAACCCAGTCAGAAAAGAAAGAAATAATGACATACTCTATGAACATTATGATGAAACAAAGGATAAGATAGATACAGACATGTACGAACAAAAGGAGCAAAATAGTGTACTGAGAATTAAGAATAATATTTATAACATATATTTAAACAATTCTTACAAATACTTAGAAGTATTGACTAAAAAAAGTGTACAATACATTTTGGAAGTGTGGGTACATAATTTAATCTTCCTTTTTATAAAAAGTAGACGGAATAGTGCCCTTGAAAACGAGACGAAAAAAATTATGAACATTTTTAATACCATTATTGAAATTATGCCTAGCTTATTTATTAAATATGTGAATTTTTTTTATCCCTATATTTACAACAATGATGTGTCAAAAGATGTATGTGAGTTACTGTCCTCAATTATACCTCACTGCAAATTAGATCTAAATTTAAAACTACAATTCAAGAGAGTCAATTTTAACAACTCATTGTTATATCATCAAAATATATTTATTTCAAGATCTTATATGCAACTACTATGCACACTGCACACATATATCTTTTCCAATTTTCTTTATTTTAAATCCTATATTCAAGAGTGGTTTATAAAGCTCTATAAGTATAAGTTGTTTTTCCTCATGAATAATTACGTGCTACAGTTGAATGATTTTGTAAAGGAGTTTTATTTTATTAATCAGGAAGCGAAGCAAAACATCAGGAGAGACTTGTGCCGACTGTATGCACAGGTTGGGGCCGGCTTCTCTGACAAGGGAAATACCATCAGAAGTGATGCTATCAGTGGTGATGCTATCAGTGATGATTCCCCTGATGAGAGTGTGGATGGAAGCCATAGAACAAACGAGCAGAGTAACCCCCAAAGGAAGGAAAATCATCCCAGCCACTTTTTCATTTTCGATATCATCGACATACCGTACGAAGAATTCATCTGCCACCTAGACCAGTATAAAAAATATATCTTCGATATGTTTTGCATAACACACAATGACATTTTAAATGTTAACAAGTACGCCTGGGTCATTTCTGTCATGCTTGAATTTATCAACATTAACAAAATAATCATCAATGACATGTACACTGAGGGAAGCGTAGATCCCCACACGCATGTATGTTTGAGGGATGTAGAAAGGAACAAGGGAGAAACACATACTAAGGGAAAGAAGACAGGCATAAATGGAACCACAATAAACTGTTCCAATTATGGAAAAATTGGAGGAACAAACGGAATAATTAAGAAGAAAAAGGAGAAAATCGAAGCAAACGAATATGAATACAAGAACGAAAACGACAATATGAAATATATCAAACTATCCGATATAGCAAAACATGTACAGATGTATAGCCAAGGAATTGTATACTTTGAATTTATGTACAATAAACAAATGGAATATATTAACAAATGGAATACACTAAAACTGAAAAATGAAATAATTTCTGAAATTTTAAAAAAAAAAATCACGATTAAAAAAATTGAAAATTTTGTTGAAATATGTAATTATAAATTTTTTGATGTATCCCTAATTTTAGTTAATCTAATAGTAGATCTCTTTCACATTACAAATGATATAAAAGGAAAATGCTTTTTTCTTCTTTGCTTAAGCAAAATATTATCAAATTTTTATCATTCCCATTTTATTAATGACTTGAAATTAAGAAATGTTTTTTTCTACTGCATTAATTGTTCTAATCCAATTTTGCAAAAGAATTTCCTCTACACTCTGCTTCAGCTAATTAAGACATATGAACAGTTTCTCAATAATAAGGATAATATGTTTCTTTCTCAAACTACAGAGCAAAGAAAATGTGAAAAGGATCCAAATGGTCAAAAAACTTCCATGATTTTACCTCCCATGGAACAGAATAACAAATTTGCAAAAAAGCCAAAAGTAGTTAAAGCCACAAAAAGCAGTAGTAGTAATCATAATAACTTCTTAAAAGGAGAGAATAAAAACATACTTCACACTTGCATTAGTGACAGTAGTAAAGGTAACCAGTACAAACCTTTGAAAGAAAAAAAGAATTCCCAATTGGACACTTCTAACAGCACTAATACAAGCGAAAATGTTAATACATGTATTGTTCACTCGGATATCCCTAATATAAGGACTCGTGATGAAGCAGAAAAAAATAACAACTTTGGAGATACACATCAAATGGATAACCATAACTATCAGAAAGAAAGAGTAAAACGAGAAGAAACTTTGGAGTATGAGGAAACAGATGGAGAACATCTCAACCACATAGATGAAACGGAAAGAAAGTACTACATACAAGAAGGAAAAAAATATAATAAAGTTATAGACAAACAAATTGAAAAAGAAAATTCAAATCCATTTGGACAAAGTGATAGACTAAGGATGGATAATGAAAGTGATACAAGCACACCAAATTCTGTGAACAAATTTAATGCACAAAATAATGATATCATACATGTCCTCTTAGTAGCCTCTTTATTTTCACAAAAAATTATTGATATACTAAGTGTCAACCGATTTATTTATATAGACTGTTCTATAAAAGAATTGTATTTGATTAAAAATATAGGAGTACAAATTTTGGGGAGTTTATATAAAGAGGGATTTATACAAAGCACAAAAATGTCTCCAAGCATTTTCTGTCTTTGTTTTACTTCAGATGTAAAATTAAAATATAGAAGCAAAAAAGTTATTAGTTGCATTTTAGAGAAGGAAAATTATAACTTTATAAACAATTTGGCAGAATGTTTGCAACATCTACTCTTCTACATAATTGAGAATCATTATATGTGTAATAATTCCGATAGGAGAGGCACAGATGGTTTGGGAATCCACACAAGTGAAAAAACTAGTGGAGAAATAAACCATGATATATTTCTGTTTAACAAAATGGAGAAACCTTTTTTTCAGTGTCTTTTGGATATCTATGACAATTTAACTAATCCAAAATTAAAAATGAAATATGTCAAAACAATACTGAAAGAAGTTGAAAACGCCTGTCATTTAGTTCTGTATGACAAAATCAGGCATTTTATACGAGATGTGGGAACCAAGTATAATAGATTATCTTCTGATGGATCAAGTGGTGGAGGATTTGACAGGTACAGTGGAAACACTACTACTGGCAATGGGAACAATGGAAATAACGTGATTGTGCAAATTCTTCAAGTCAAAGATATCTATGTACATATTATGAGGAACTACTTACTTTTGACAGAACAGGATAGTGACGAGCTGAATGATCCCAACAATGACAGTGGTTCAGATTCCCCTCTCTTGAAAAGGACCATTGTAGCAAGCTCAAAAAGTTCAAACGTAGAGAGTAAAAAAGGATGCAAAATGGCTAGAAACAAGGGAAGGAATAACGAATTATATAACAAAGGAAATAACAGAAATCAAAACGCAAGTTGCAGAAGAAGAGGACTAAAATATTCATCAGATGAAGAGAGAAAAACAGAATCAGAGACAGAACAACAGGTAAAGAAATCAACCAAGTTTAGTGGAAATGCAAATACAAAATGCAAGAACAAACATGACGATACATCGAGTTGTGTCTATCCCAAATCTAACGAAAGGAACATCGAAGAAGACTTGTCCAATGTAGATACTAGTTCAGAACATAATTATAATGAGCATAATATACTACAAAAAATAAAAAAAAAGTATAAATATCTCTTACAGCATCAGATGATCATAGATGAATTTACATATATTAATTATTTTTTATTTTTATATATTCAAATTTTAATCAATCTTCTATCATACTTGAGCTTTACAACATATAACGAAATAGCCTTACTAATTCATGACATTAACAAAGTATACTACATTATTTCTTCCACTATTAATATTTCATCTGACTTAGATTCTCTCAAAAACAACCATATTTACTTCAGTGACATGGACGAACAAATGAAGCAGCTACCTAATGAACACGAAATGAATCAACAACAGGAAAATGAAAATTTTTCTATAATAAATTTTAATTTGAGCAAAATCAAATGCTTCGTTATGGTTCTCCTCAACAATTTCACTAACCACTTGATTCGCCATTACAACGTTGACACTTCCAGGTAAAATGGGAAAAAAATAGAGTATGCTAGCGCGAGCGTCCGCAAAAGGCGTGAACCTATATTTCTCTCCCTATCTCTATCTCTCTCTCACTCTGTGTTAATATTGGGAACCTCCAACACGTGCACGTGCACACAGATGCGCATGCACATATATATATATGTATATATACTAAACCCGTTAACCGTTAAAATGGCTTGTTTTACGTATTGATGAGGGGTGGAAGAGAAAAAAATCTGAACACACCTCCCTTGACAAGGCCTTTATATCTGTTCGCATTCTTCCATATTATGTTGAAAACATATAAATCATATTTGAATACATATTATTCGATACTTTTTACATAAATTTTTTTTTTTTTTTTTTTCATTTACTTTCCTTCTTCCCCCACATTTTCTTGCATTTTCACATTCACACTCGTAGACTGAACGAACTCATCGAAGATGACAACATAAAGGAAAATAAAATAGAAGAAGAAATCAGAGACGAAAAAAAAAATATTTTCAATTATTATGAGTATATATATGAGTGCATAGAAATATATGTGGAAGACAATGCATCGATTATTGATAAATACGCTAAACAAAATTTAAACATCCATAACTTAAGCATGCACAATTTAAATAATGACTACATAAATGGACTTATAAATGTAATACACCTATAATCACCTTTCACATCACATTGGTGAATGATATACTCTTCTTATGTGCCCACATTTTATCAGCATGTCGCTACTTCATATCCATGTGAGCTTCTCTCTGCACCACACTCCACCCACATACACATCCAGGCAGACAGACACACGCACACACACACATATTCGAACGTGTCCCCTTTATCACCTTCGCAGGACGGAAAAAACAAAAAACTGACGCAAAAAAAAAAACAGAAGGAAGCCACACGGCAAAGAAGATTAATCATGAAGAAAAATTTGTAACCAAATCGATGTGTGTCCATATATAAACTGCTAAATGTTTCCTACATTTTGAAGAACGTCGTTTTTGTTATATATGTGATATGTTTTGTGACACATTGAACAATTTTTTTTTTTTTTTTTTTTTTTTTTGGTATTATTAATACGGGGGAAAAACAAAGCAAAGCAGAATATCCCTACAAGTTATGTAATTTTTTTTTGATATATCCCTAGATGGATTAAAAAAAAAAAAAAAAAAAAAAACATTTATGTTGAATTGCGTAAAACGGAAAAGGATAACCAAAAAACTTATTCGAATTAAAAAGCAATACACACATTTGTCATCTCTTTTGTCATCTCTATTGTGGTCTTTTATTTTATTTTTATTTTACTAATTTATTTGCTATGGAGAAGGGGGGTTAACATTTTTATATAAAATGTCAAAACTTAATTGTTGTGGCATTTTTCATCTCTTTTCAAACTTTACTCTTTGTGTTGTACTTTCTGAAACACGCACAAGGGTCTATAATAAAAATATTTCTTTCCTTTTACTAATAACAAATCAAATCATCAACGTTATGGCATACTCCTTGTCACAAGAGGAAAATAGTATCTTCAATATAACAAAAAAAAAAAAAAAAAAAAAAAAAAAAAAAAAAAAAAAATTCTTGCTCGCAATTGAATAAGTTAGGGAAACACCACTTCTTTTTTTTTTTTTACGATATATATGTACATGCATATATTTATTTTTTTGCGTCACCACTTTTTTTAACATTTTTGTGGGGGATATAATATACATATTTTTTTACATGAGAACATATCTACATGCTAATTTGTTCAGAATATGCCCCTCAAAGTGAACAAATTATGTGTATTCATCTCTATAACAAGAATGTGAGAAATCATTTTCCTTGTATAAAGCATTAATATTTGAATTCATTATAAATATGTCATTAAATGATTACTTGAACCTTTAAGAAATTTACAACTAATATTTAACGGCATTTTTGAATTAAAAATTTACCTTCTTTTTTTTTTTTTTTGTGATCTATCGAATGTGAAGAGAAAAGTGTTATCTTGTATATATTATTTACATATTTATCTGGATTCGTTTGGACATATACATGTGTTGAGATAGTTAATACATACACAATGTTGGGTGTTGGGAGGTATCTTCTATGCCAACCGTGAAAAGACTACAGTGTGTAATTCCACTTAGAAATAAAATTTATAGAGATGTCCCCTTATTCTTTGATAATACAAAATTAGGTACAAGCACATGTATGCTTACATACATACTTCCACATTCCGTATTACATAACTTGCAATTATGTGCAAAATTAGCTACAATAAATTAGCACAAAAGGTACCTCGTTTTTTTTTTTTTTTTTTTTTTTTAATTTATTTTTCAATTCCTTTTAACATCAATACGTATTTTAAGAGAATGTTTCATAGATCCAATTCCCCCATTTTCTTTATGACCATCTAATTTTGAACAAGTTAAATCTTCTGAATTTTTTTGAGGTTATGATATTAGTCTATGTAACGATGGTAATTCGGCATTAGAAACTGTTCTCTGACTCGCACTCACACTCTATCTTTTTCATTCACTTTTTCATTCATTTTTTCACCCTCTTTTTCATTCATTTTTTCACCCTCTTTTTCATTCATTTTTTCACCCTCTTTTTCATTCATTTTTTCACCCTCTTTTTCATTCACTTTTTCTCTCTCCTTTTCATTCACCTTTTCTCTCTCTTTTTAATTCATTGCTTGGCTCACTTTTTCACTCTTTTTTTAGTATTACATATGTAACATTTAATTAAACAGTAAAAGCTCTGCTATTCTTTTGCTACATGCCAGATATACATTTTTAATTTATTTTTTTTTTAAGATTATTATTAGTGTTATTTCATCACCCCCATTTTAAACTATCCGTTTTTTTTTCTGCATAGTTTTATGATTTCCTTCCGATTTTTGAGTTTTCCCTTATTCTTTTTATGCTACCCTTTTTGTGTACCTCATATTCGTGTTATCTCTTAGAGTGTCAGATACACTATACATTTTATTTAATTTCAAACTTCTCTGCACCCCCTCCACATCTGCTTTCTTGCTATTATGGATTTAGTTAACTACCTAAACGAAAATGAATGGATTTAGTTAACTACCTAAACGAAAATGAAAAAATTCGTAACATATGCATATTAGCACACGTGGATCATGGGAAAACCACACTGGTTGACAATTTGATAAGCTCCAACAAAATTATAAGTGATAAAAATATTGGGAAAATAAAATACTTAGACAGTAGAGAAGATGAACAGAAGCGGCAGATAACCATGAAAAGCTCCAGTATACTTTTAAAGCACAACTACAACAAGTCTTACTTGCATGAAATATTTAAAACAGAGGGCGATAAGACAAAGAAAGCCAGAGAGACAAAGGGTGTTGAACCAAGTTCGAATAATAACGAGGATATGAACAAATTGAAATCCACACATTTACAAGAAAATAACGCACACGATAATAATCAACTTAAATTCAAAGATGATAAGGATAGAAAACGTGAAAAGGAAAAACAGAAGGATGAACACGAAACATATACCTACGAATCATGCAGAACAAGAAGTAACTGCAGCAGTAGAAGTATCATTAAGAAGAGGGATAATGAGGAAGAACAGAAGGAGCAGCAGAGGGAGGAAGTAGACGATCAAACCCACCTTATCAACATCATAGACACACCGGGACATGTAGACTTTTCATCCGAAGTGTCAACCTGTGTTAGAATTTGCGATGGAGCTTTGATACTAGTAGATTGCATAGAAGGAATGTGCAGCCAAACAAAAATTGTACTTAGACAAACGTGGAAAGAAATGATTAAAAGCATTCTAGTTATAAACAAAATCGATAAACTCATTACAAATCAAAATATGGATAGTATAAGTGCATATGAACATATAAATAATATAATAGAACAAGTGAATGCATACATATATCAGTTATATGTTGAAGAAAATATGAATAATGAAAATATTGAAACATCAGAATTAGAAAAGTATACATACTCACCTTTAAAAGGGAATGTTTTACTATGCAGTAGCACACACTGTTGGTGCATAGACATGAACATTTTTTCCTTTTTATTTTGCAAAAAAATGAATATAGATATTAACAATTCAGATAAAATAAAAAAATATATGTGGAATCAATATTATTTTAATTTGAAAGAAAAGAAAATTTTAAAAATACCAAATGACACAACAGCATACTCGTGTAACAGCAATAGTGCCAAAAAAAAAAAAAAAAATTTATTTTCCTTAATTGTACTAGATTTTTTATGGAAAATTTATAACATTACAACAATAAATAGAGATGATGAGCAGATAAAAAAATTATGCCTTGAATTAAATATATCTAATTACGTTTTAAAAAAAAATCAACAAAATAATACTGAAAATAATACAATCATTTTGATATATATCATGTCCCATTTCCTGAATTTATCAAGGTCTATTTTCAATTCCTGCATTGAAATATTCCCTTCACCAAAAAACATTGAAACAAATCGACTTTTTAAAATTTATCCAGCATTATATAATAAAGATATTTATCAAAACATAATCCAATGTTCTTCAAAAAATGATTTTACAATTATATATATTTCCAAATATATATGTGCAAATGTACAGAATAATACACTAATAGGCTTTCGAGGATTTTATGACAAAAATACTTTTTTATCTGTATGTAGAATTTATGCAGGAATTTTATATGAAAATATGTTCTTATACATATGTGGAAAGGGTATTAAAACTGTTGTAAAAAAAATCTACATTTCCATGGGTGGAGATCTCCTTCCTATTAGTTATGCATATGCTGGAAATATTGTCGCAGTATATTTATCCATAATAAATGTGGAAAATTTTCCATCTGAAAAACACCAAAAAAGTGATGTGATGAAATCAAGAGCAAATGAAGAGTCTTCTAGCAATGATAATCATAATGGAGAAGAAAAGCGAGAAGAAGATTCGTTACACGTTAGGGTAGATCCCCTATTTGAAAAGAAAAATATTCTGAATGAGTCGGGAAAATTAGTCCAAATTATAAAGGACGATGTAGAAAGAAGAAAGGAAGTTCCCATTAGCATGTCATTAAACATAGACACTTACAGTGGCAGCAAAAACGATTTGCAGTACTTATCAAACACATTAATGAATTTAATAAAAAATAAACGGAATAAAAAAGAACAGAACATTTTTATTATGAATGATGATGGTGTATTTTTAAATAAGAATATTACTTTGTCAAGTATGAATAATGCAGATTCATTTATCCTTCCCTTTAAAGATACATGTTCAACAATTTTGCACACAATAATTGAACCTAAAAATATTCAAGATATGAATAAATTTCTATATGGTCTAATATTACTATACACGTGTGACACATCAATTGATATTGACTTCAACGAGAGGGGAGAATATATCTTAAAGTTTTGTGGAGAAATACATATGCAGAAATGTCTCTCCGATTTTGTAAATATATACAGTAACATTGAAATTAAAACATCAGATACGAATATTTCCATTAGGGAAGGAATAAACGAAAATTATGTAAAGGTAAAAAGGAAAAAAAATAAAATTCAAGCAAATATGAAAGATTTGCATTCTTATTATATGAAAATTCAAATGGAAAATCAAACCAAGGCAGGTGAAAACACGGCAAATGATGAAGTGAACAAGGAACTAAACAAAACTGTACCAGATAATAGTGAAAATAGGAGCCTAATAGAGACAGATAAAATCGTTACCCAAACCATGACTCATGAGGGAGACAAGGTTAGCGATATAGATCCCATTGCTTCAAAAATGGATAGTGCAAACAATCTCTCAGATGATCTATTCAAACATATCCAGTTAGAAAAAGAAAATCACTTTTTAAACATTCTTTTTAATTATAGTCACAATACAGTATGTCATAAGTTAAGTAACAATTCTTTTTACGTTTTTTTGAGTGTTCAAAATATGCCCCAAAATATGTTGCACTTTTTTGATAAGCATTATCCAAATATACAAGCTGTGTTAGAAAATAGGACAATATCTCCTTGTTTTTTAAATTATAACAAAACTGATATTTCCAACAAGAGTGAGCACTTTATGTACAATCAATGTTTAATAAACTTAGAGAAATGCATAAATGATTTGTATTTTTCAGACAAAACAGATCATGACAGTGCCATAGATGACATTGGTTTCGAACCATTAGTGCACGATGGGCCTGGTGTAAGCGAAAAGGAAACAGAAAAAAATGACCCTAACGATAACAGTTGTATGAACAAAACAGGTAACTGCACAACTGGGAATCAATTAAATTATGAGAAAACTTGTTTGTCTCGGAAAAACAAGAACTATAAACTTGAACTTTGGGATGTTTGCGTCCAAAACGGAAGTGTTACCCTACTGTACATAAAAAAATATTTCAATAAAAAGAAAAGTGATGAACATATTATGGATAACATCCTCACAAATGAAAAGTACAAGGAAATAATTAACCATCGTTCATTCGTCGACACATACCTCTCAGATACTAATAGCGACATAAATATATACTTGAACAATTTATGTCTTGGCTTTAAAATGGCTTCAAAGTATGGCCCCATAGCCCAGGAACCTATCAGGTACGAAGAAAAAAATATAAGAAAATATAAGAAAAAAATAAGAAAAAAAAAAAAAAAAAAAAGAGTCTAATTTGTGAAGCGGAAAAAATGGACACTTTTCTGTTGCGAGCAATGGCTTTTAACCCCACTTGTGTGTGTTATACTGTTTCATAATTTTTTTTTTTTTTTTTTTTTTTTTTGCTATCATTATCCCAAATTTTTTTGTTGGAACATTTATATAAATATATTCATATTAGCTTATCCAAGAGGCTACTAAAAAGAAAAAAAAAGTGCTCAAGTAGTAGCTTCTTCTAGTTCCTTCTCAGGAGCATAATTTTAGCAATAAATCTGTATCACAATTCTGTACGATATCAAGTAAAAACATTTCATCCGATTTCGTCCCATTGCAGAGGAGCCCTATTTATTATTGAAGGTCTAATAATTGACGAAGCAGAAAATGGAGACCTGTTCGAAGAAATAAACACAAGTAAAGAAAATTCTGAATATAAAATAAATGCAGGAAATATCATAGCATTAATGAAAGAAGCTTGTTTAAATTCCATGTTACAAAATAAATTAAGAATTTTTGAACCTATGTTAAGACTAAACTTAACTTGTGAAAGTAATGTCTTAGGAAAGGTGTATAATGTATTACTAAAAAGAAGATGTTCCATATTATCTGAAGAAATCAAAGATGGCTATTTCTTATATTCAATAGATGCCTACTTACCTTTATTTAATTCTTTTAAGTT